TGTACATTCCTCAATAAGATGAAATTTATCAATTATGTGGTACTTTCATAATATGAGAGTAATGATTAGTCACATAGAATAAGCGTTGATTAGCCTAGACCGTCGTTACGATAAATTTTCCTTTGGATCATTTGTATTAAATTTTTATATGATATAGATTTCAAATATATTATTGAATTTTATAATTTTAAACAGTATAGATATTTTAGCTTGATGAATGGACAGTGGCAACTATTGGTAACTTATTTAAGTCGAAATGACGATGAACTGGGTAATATGAATCTAACACATAAACAGAAAATTTGCAAAGTTTGAAAAAATTAGTCCAGAAAGAAACTATGCATATGTACTTCTTTTGAATTTAAATGTGCAATTTTTTTTAGATCGCACATCTCACTATGTGCACTCTTGTGGAAAGGTGAGGAATAAATTAAATTAAATATCTGAGTTTCATTTATAATTTTCTTTTCATATTTTGATGATTTAAATAAATATATAAGACTAGAATACCAATAACTATTATTTTGTTTTATTTTAATTTTCAAATGAAATGAAATGAAATAAATATGAAGCATAAATATAAATTAAGTTTTCAAATTTTAAAAATTATTATCATCATCTTATTTACATATAGCCAACCCGGCTATATGTAAATAAATAATTGCAATCATCGGTTACATATTTAACAATAATACACGCAAATGTTCATTCATTTGTTGTGATATTTGATGTCAAAATGATATATATTGTGATGAGATATGTATGTGCATGACATTTGTCACTAGGATTTGCTTGTGTTAGATAAATCTACACTTAAAGGAAAAGATAGAACACGTAAACAGTAACAAAAATGCAGCTAAACCCACAACCATATGGTCCAAGTAGGGTATTTAATCCCCATAGCGTATCCAAGAGATAAGGGGGGACTTTCGAAGTGAAGTTTTATAAGTTGAATCCTTGAGAGAGCTAGTACATCTTTAGCTGATACAAGAACATAGAACTTTTAAGTTGAAAGAAATTTTGGCTAGATTAGGATCGTTGCTTTATGCTATGGACTTGATTGGAGTGTACGTGTTGACGTTTGGAGATTAGAGTACATGAATGTGATATGCTTGTTGTAATGTATGTTGTGATATACTAGAAATATGCGTAAAGTCAAGAAGATTAATAGAGCATTTCAAGGAAAATAAATATTCATACACTTTTCTGATAATGATGAAACATTCTGATATTCTTTGTTCAACGAGAGACCTAAAATTGTGCAGTCCAGCTAAATGATTTTGTAATTAGTTGTCCTTAGATAGGTGTTGGGATGAGGTTTTGACATTGACCACACCAGATCTTGTCGATGAATTATCAATCGTACAGTTACATCATCCGTTGAAGTTTGCCTGTAGTCACATGACAGAGTTGGATAATGGGTTTACAAAACTCCTCAGCGATCGGCGAGTAAAGCTGCGGCAGAAATATCAAAGTTTCCTGTACTGGAGGAAAATAAGTGTTGTGTGCACGAATCAAACGGCCGTGGAGCTAACCATTGAAGAACGACTTCGTGGAGATTTACAACAAAGCTTTCAACGGGTACGTTTTAACAGATCTCTTCGTAAGAGTTTTCATATTGAAGACCTTCTCACAGGCTTCACTCAGCAAATAATCTACACCATTTAAACTATTATCTGTCGATTCATGGATTCGACTTCGGATAGTCAGTGTCATGTCATGGTCGAATGGGGCTTTCTGCAATGAGATTCATTATTTTCAATTCTGTCTAGATTATATGCAATAGTGCAGTCCGACTTTCACATACAGAAATTAGTTGACATGAACTGGAATGGCTAAAATACAGATGTCATTTCAATGATACAAAAACTGCAGACGTAAAAGAGTTGACCACTCATGCACATGCCATACCTTGGGTTGGAGTGATATTAACATTGGGTCTAGATTCATCAGAACAGTGCAGCAACCAGATAAAAATAGATGGAATAACTTGAGCACAGTTTCCATGTCAATGACACCAAAAAAACTGCAGACCCAAATGAAATGATGAGTCAAGCACATGGTTCAGTGGCAACGCTGCTACATGTTGAGCCTCGCTGTAACAACTGGTCCATATGGTTGACAAAGGCACTCAATGTCCGCAGTACCCTTAGTCTTCGAAAGTGCTATACGCAGCAGCCTTTAGATTCTGGTCAGTTTACATCAACCAAGATCCCGTCTACGGACATTCGGCAGAGCATGAAACGATCGGATGTAGTGGGCACCTTTGCGCCATCTCTATACATCTGAACTGAAAGCATGACTGAATGCATCGGAACTTTGACCAAGCTTCTTTATTGGGAGTCCATCTATTATTGTGCAGTTCTCTTTGTGTGCCGGTTTGGACGACATCCAATGCCAGTAATAATTAGAAGCAATCGACTGCTGCTATACAGAGGAATGATTGTATGGAGGTTGGTGAGTACTTGACGCTCGTAATCTACCACAATGAAATTTATTTACTCAATAGTTGTCAGGGTTAGTGAAACATGGCAGGCGCAGCACACAAATAAGGTACACGTAGCCCTTCAACGACGATGACGATAACGATGACGACACGACCTGGCGTTTCGTATGAATACCTGAAAGCTTGAGTCAATTTTAATGATTATGTTCTTGCGGGCGACTTCAGCACAGCAGGCACATCTGTCTGACGTCGTGCCGATGTCCTGCTGCAAGAGATGGGAACGGCCAGAATCAAGGAAGTACCTGAATAACGGTCTCAGTTTTGATCCGATCGACGTGAGACGACTCTAGAAAGCAAGCGTCCTACTGTCAAATAAAAGGTAATGTCGATCCCCTTCCAATTCAGGTCTACATCATTACATGAGACAATGCCCACAATGGTTGAATGTTCCTACTCTCGGCGGTCAGCATACCTCATACTCAATAGATACAGTACACTCTTTGAGTCCACTGGCTTGACTGAAAATCGCTAGGATCCAGTCTTCCTAGGCGCTCACAACAGAATGAGGTTGAAACCTTCAACAGCTTTTGATGATCTCGTTCCTCTATACTAAACCGTACACAATCAACGTGGTGAAAGTCCTCGCAACAAGACTTTTCTGTTTGGTGAGCGAAGTCAGCGTAAGAATCATCCGTCCGGCCGGGAGTTTCAATTTAAGGTCTCAAGGTTTTGTTGTGCGTGGTTATGGACGCATCGAACTTCTCGCCTTGCGGCTTGCTTATGTTGAAAGGAGACAGATAGATGTTGAGCAAATAAAAAGGTACATCTTGGTCGGCTCATTCTTATTTGTGGGCCTGTTCCTTTCGGGGCAGAGACAAGCCTCTGCGCATGATCCCAGTCTTACAACAGATTTCACCTTCAGAGACTTCGAGCCTGCGAATCTCCCTGATAACTGTGTCAAGCAATTTCTTGGTGTTACTGGTCTTGGCGTTTCCTCTGTCTTCTAGAAGCTCGACGGGGGGAATTGGTGCATCCACATCTGCACCCACTTTGAGCACAAGTTTTCTTCGTGATTATAGGAACAAGGTCCGTAGGAGTCATCGACATCATGGACATCAGGGGTCCTGTATAAAGCCAACTTCACGTCAGGGGACCAATTCTTAGTTCCTCAGGGTTTGGTGCACTACCAGTTCGCTATACAGAATTCCGCCACTGGTTACTCTGTTTCCAATGGACCCGGGAGTGAGCATGGTCGTCGTGCAACAAAGTCTTGGGTTTCACATAGGCCATGGTTTCATACGAGTCTTGGAGGCAGTGGAGGCGTTTCTCGCCTACCATCGAAAGTGATACGTCGATGCGTATATGAGTCGACTTTGTTCACACGCATCTATCTAAAGAATCAATGTGTGACATATTCTTCGATTTAATGGCATTAGCTAGCGAGGTGGGGTCTACTTTTTACATGTGGCAGTTGGAAGGTCTCGAGCTCTAAACTGAAACATTGATTGCAGATTTTGATCAAGATAAACGACAAAAAAAACTAAGCTTTTTGCCCGTTAATCTGCTTCTAAAATGTCGTGAGTTTCCGGCAATGGATCTACTTCAGTGAGGTGCTTCCAGGAACAAGTGATCACCAAGCAGACACTTGATTTTGGACTTTAAGATAGCTGAAGTCACTTTCGGCTCCTAGGTAGGGCAGCAGCAAGAACTGGATCATGAGGCATCGAATTTAAGGCTCTACAGGGCATGGAATGATATGCGATCTATGAGCTATGAATGAAAAGTCTGCAGTAAATTGGCCGCGTAACATCACTCGATGATCAACAATTCATGTTACAGTAGTGGTGTGTCAATCGGACCATAAAGACTGGTTGAAGAAGCTCATGGATGGATTACTCGCAGCACATTAATAAGTAGTGTGTTGATACCAACCATCCTTGCTGGCCTATACCCCGGCCTGCACCCCACTGTTTTCATTCTACACGGTGTCCTGTCAACGGTTTGACCTGTTGACCCGGATTTGGTGAGATCCTCGTTATTTCCAAGTTTCTGTTCCTAAAATATGCTCCGAGTTCTCTTCGGTGTCAGACAAAAGAAGAACATTTCAGAGCTTTAGTATTCTCTTTGCATGAATTCCATACATAGATCGATCGCTCGTCTGAAGATTATGAAAACCCTGGTAGTCTTTAAATTTGATCTCATATTCCTTTGCCGCCAGGACAATTTAAATCTTTTCCCTGCTCGGATGTTCACAAACGGAGATTCTTCGACCTACAAACCTTCCATGGTAGCCTGATCGAACGAATATGGATTCCTCTTTTATTTGCATACATGTACAGGTGTCATGTGATCTTCCTCATAACTCATTTCAGAATTATCAGCTGCGGTTGTGCATCATTGTCTACGTGCAGTGCTGTTTCTTCTCTTCTTTCAGAAGACGAGCAAAGTTCTGTGCTTTACAAAAATTTGAACTGCCACAACTTCAAATTTCAGGGTTCACGAGGCATTTGTTTCATTTATCCCACAACCAAAAATTAATGCCACAGTTGGAGAACGGGAATCATCGTTTGGATTTGGATCGGCTGATCGTCAGAGCTTCTCGATACAATGACTGGCATAAATTTCTAGCTTTTTTAATTCTTGAGGTTGCTTGCGCTGGAAGTGCTTTCCAACAAATGTGCTAGCTCAACCTTGCAACCTTACAAATCACGTATCTACGAACATTTTGCTGATTCTGACCTTCAGGTATTCTGGCCTGAAGAACAAAGATCTAGATAATATAGGTCCTGTTCAGGTTATCACACTGGAAGCTCTTCGTTCGGTGTGACTCCTCTTTGAGCCAGGCGTCTTATCCGGCAGCTTCTCCAAAGTAATCACTGCACTGGAAGTGCCTGATATAGCAAGTAATCAAGCCTAATATGTTTAATCGATTGGGGCCTTTCATCCTCTGTATTGGCAGACTGGAACTATCTTCCCTACTGTCCTTCCAAGTCAGACCTTTCTCTTCTAGGATCTTGTGTACAAGGCGGCTAACAATGACCACAGGCCGGTCTCACGCTGCCTCATGAACAGTTGAAAGCAGCTGTTACATGTGAGCGGTGCGCGTGGAGCTGAAAGGTGGACTAATAAATTCTCGATTTTATAGAGAGATTTTATAAACCATTGGATATGCTTACATTGAACGCAGCGTGGAGCAGTTACAGCTCGAAGCTCACGGAATGATAGTGGAGCACTACGTTCGAATTTCTCGAGAGGCTGTGCTGCTTGCACTCGCGGGCAACATCTGCGGCCATCTTGGAACCACCGGAAACCAGAACTCCAACATTTTGTCCTGCGTACTGCTTTGCTATTTGTTCGAACATATCTGCAAAAGAACCAATACAAACAGCATGAACCTCAAAAACCATAATCAAAACCCTTAGGGTAACTTGTTCAGGAATTTGATAACACACATGAGCTCGGACAGGACTCTTTCTAGAGCCTCACCTTTCCAATCTGGCCTCCTCCCAAGAGTAACATTGCCAAGCCACGGTGATGCTCCTTGGGTATCTGAATCTGTCGCCTGAGAATTGGCCGTCATCTCGATCGCAGGCGATGAAGGCAAGCTCCCTTTTGATATCACCTTGTTATGTCGCTTGTGATACAGAGATTTTATGCTCATCGACCACAAAAACATGACTCCACCTCCAAAAACAACGACTGCCAAGAAGACACAGGCGAGGAACAACAGAGCTTTGCCATAGTTGGGGTAGTTCTCGTCTATGACTGTGACATTGAAGATACCCCACAATATAAAAAACCCAATCATGGTGGAAAAAACGGTGGTGGCCACCCATCGGCTTTGACCGGTGGCGTGAATGACTGACATCGGTTCGGCCTCGGAGACTGGCTTTCCCAACACTTCTATAACAGGCTCGTTCATGTTTATATAGCTGAAGTCCTCATATGACGAGGAGCTGATTTCTACTTGGCCGTCTGCGTTGTAATTTTGAGGCTTTATTTGGCTGGTAACAAATGGATGAAAAACTATGTTCAGACTGTCTGCGTAGTTGGGACAAAGCTCATGTAAGTTCAAGGTGTCTAATATACACATCTCCTTCGGATTTCTAACACAGTATATCAATTGAATATTGCACGGAACATCTTGCTCCTTCAATCTGTGACGATGCAAAATATCTCGTAAAATGGCGAGGAATGGAGTTATCCCTATCCCTCCTGCTACCAGTACGAGAGACCTGTACCTGCAATGCCATTGAAAGAGAAGTTGTTAGCACACGCCAATCTAGATAGACGGGGTTCGGAGCGCCATAGTCATACACTCCAGAATCGTAAGAGACAGGCGAGTCGAGAATCACGTCATACTTGAGGTAGAAACTCGATTCGTCGCCGTAAGGGCCCTCGAGTGCAAGCTTGAAGGAAAATGGACACACCAGCATCCCAGCTTCCTTCGACTTGTTGGAATTGACGAGCACGCTGTGAAGGTTTTTCGTATACCCTCCCAGCGGTTTGATGTAAATGGAAATCTGGTTCGTGTCATCCAGGGGACTGGAAGCCACGCTGAATGGGTGCCACTCGAACCTCGATACACTCGGAAATAGGACGTACAAGAAGCTCAGCGGGTAGTAATTTAGACCTGGTCAGAAAAATCGACGGACGAAAGTGAGAAAAAAGGACAAAAATCGGCACAATACAATAACTGTGACAGAAATTGCTGTTCTTTCAATCCTGTTGAAGTACAGCCGGAGGGAAAATTCCGAAATCTTCATGGCATCTTGTTCACGATCGGCTAGTTCTAAAGGGATTCTACTTCAAAGACAGATGAATGGAGGCTGAGTGTTACTTGACGGTTTCGAGAATTTCAGCTCCATGGCACCCGACGGAAGGATTCGCGCTGACAGGACATCCACTTTTCTTCGAGACTGCACCATGCGGAAAAACCTGTCGAGGAAAAACAGGAGCACAGGTGCGACGTAGTAGTGCACGAATGCGGCGACATGGAACACGAAGAAGACCAGGAACACCAGATAAAGGTGGTGTACGGTGAAGAAAATGTCAAAACTCTTTCTCCGAACTCTTTCGAGAGCCGTCACGAACATCATCAACCCTGCTGCCAAAGCTATCCATCCTGGCACTATTGCTACCCCTTGTCCATGCCAGTGAAGGATCTGCAATTCACACGTCACGATTGTGTCACACCGTCAGATTCGAAAGCTTGGACCAACGAGTCCTCGAGGGTTGACAAACAGTCAAAGGAGTCTTCTAGTACGACCGAAAAGAGTCCACACAGTCTTCAGTCTCAGACCCACGAGGACCTCACAGTAGGGAGTGCATGCAAATTATGGCGGACTGTAATCATTTGAGATGAAGTTCTTCGAGCACTCACAATCTTAGGCTCGTGCAGGCCGAAGGAGAAAAATACAATGAAGCATAAACCATGCGCCGCTAGTAACCAGATAGTGAGCATGCCCAGCCATGTGTGATATTTGACTGCTCGCTCGAAAGGCACGCCGGTGAAACGTAAAATGGGAGAGCCCCTCGAGACAGGAAACCAAAGCAGTGCGAAAGGAATTACAGCGGCAACTCCAAAGCGCAGTGCAACAGCTTCCAATTTTAATTTCCACCTGGGACAAATGAGCGAGGATTGATACCATCAGCACAGACATAGACCTGATCACCCACTGCAGCTCTGGAAATTTCAGTGGTCAATTTGTAGTACAGGTGTATCAAGATTTTGGCATTCACTGCTGAGTACCTAAATTCGAGAATTTTTCACGTTAATAACTGGCAGATTATATCTTGAATCGCAAGGGGATGAAAATAGAAGTGCTTTACTTTGCAGGTATTCCCGGAGTCATGATCATCTCGTCGATCTCCCGCACTTTATCCACCGTAGACTTCGTGAAATAGAAGACAACGACGAATAAATTCACGAAGATGAAAACGACATCTGCCAGAGTCAACATGCCCAGTGGACTTTGTAGTAGAATCGGCAGCGTCCACACGTTCACTTTTGGTTTCTCCACTGCTCCGCTCCTGTCAAGGGATTTCAGAAATAGTGAATCGTTTATCCGAATTCATGCGTATAAAGTTACCCACTGACGGTTTAGACTTCCGTCAATCCTAATTTCAGGTGGCCTGACGAGAGGTCTGTACATTCAACTGCTTTTGTCCAGATACTCATGACCATGCAGCATCTTCTACGTTGAATCCATGTGTCTGTAAAGCTGCTTCTACATGTGCCCACTGATTTCGAGCGCCCATCTCGATGTGAATCATCGAACAGCAAATTCGCCTCTCATTCATTTATCATCACACTAGAATATGTTCAGAACGACTTCGAAGAACCCTCCTCGATATCTAGCTATATTCTTTCCATGCATAAAAATATTATCCCACAATCATGAGGTATCGGATTCGACACACTAAACAAACTCGGTCTGTCGATTTCCGCAATACAGGTGAATGGTGGTCCGCGGGCGATCGTCAAAGCCCGTATAGTATTCGAGCCACTCTGAGAAAAATAAACTCTTGAATTTCAGATTCATCATTATTCCAAGGCGGCACGACAAAGAATGTCAATGCCGTTATTAGTACTTACTGCGTTCGAAGACTCCTCTTTCTCAGCTCGAGAGCGATGTACGTAAGAAGCGCAATTATGCAGACGGGCAAAGTTTGAAAAAAAACCACGGAACCTGAGAAACAAGAGAGCCAAGAAATCATGTTCATGTTTTCCTGATATGAACGAACTCACAAGGCAAATGCGATTCAAACTGACGAAGACCACGAGCCACTCGGAAAAATCGAGGACTGCTACTGCTCACCTCTTGCACCGAGGAATTTCCATTGGGTGTGACTGGCGATCTTGTTGAGCCACGCTCTGCCGGAATGAGTCGGGAGGAGAATCCAATATAGGTACCACCATATGCCCGCCAAGCACATGAACACCTGCAATGCAGAGCTTGCTCCTCTCGTGGAAGCCGCCATTTTCGCTACAGTCACGAGGCGGCAACCATACAGAGAACTGAAGTTCTGAAGAACTCTGAGCAAACGTAACGACCGTCTAAGCAGACGAATCCATTCGACTGTTGTTGCAGGTCCAATCTTGTACCACGGAACTCAATCAAATCAAGGTCAGCATCGTGGTGCAGCTCTGTGTGCCACTGTCGGGTGACGGAAAATGGATTAATGTCGTGCAACGGGATACAGAATGAACGAGATTCTCACGGAGACGATTACTCAGTCATTATGAGTCGCTTGACAGTGTGGTTTTGGCCACCAACTTCCCGATGCGCTTTACGGGCCAATGCAGTGCTCGACTCCCTTCGAGGGCACTGGTCGAGGAAACTATGCCTGTACGGTTCTCAGGGGGGACACTGCCATTACGGACGACGAAAAGCACATGCACTCGCCAAGTGGATTCCCTTGTCCTTCAGGACATCACAAATGCTCTGTGCCCTGGTCAGCTTCCGGACCACACTCCGATGGACTCGATCAAGGCAAGAGTCTGCTCAGCAACGGGTGCTGTAACAGTCTGGATTCGGGATTCTCAACATCGTCGTTCCAGCGAAAAGCGAGCTACGGAAGTAGCGGAATCTAAGCCAATTTGGTACTGGTCCTAGTACAATGTTCAGTACAGCGTGGGGCTGCAAAAGTTTTCTTTGTGGCTCACGAGCTTCGGACCACAGTATGAGCGGCTGTACACTTTATACCATCTCCATAAGAGATATCTTGGTTCGGAACTGTCTGTCTCTCTCGTGCAGGATTGCAAATTGTTGGTGGCAGGTGCTCATCAGCTTTCGCACCGAGGCCCAATGTAGTACATTTGGCCTCGGTCCGTCCAGACTGGCGGTTAACCGGTTAACCGGTCCCGATTTTCTCTGGGACCGGTTTACCGATCGGTTAACCGGTCCCAGAGAAAATTCGTCACCCCAGTGTAATGTAGTGCATGTCTTGGCCACGATCCGGTCCGGACCGGCTGTTAACCGGTTAATCGTCGGTCCCGGTTAACCGGTCCCAAATTTTCTCTGGGACCGGTTAACCGGTCCACTTTTTTTCTTGACCGGTTACCGTTGACCGGACAGTGGCCAAGCCTGAAATGTACTGTACCACCACCGCGTTCGATCACTTTACGGCAGACCGTCCGAGCTTGGCCAAAGCGAATCCGTCACACTCCGACTGCGTTATGCAAGGTTTCAGCAGTTTTTTGCGGCTCTTGTGCGGCAATAACCCCACCCACTTCTTCTGCGGGAGACAGACAGAGCCCGTGCCAAAAGGTAACCGCCAATTTCGCGGCCGAGGCGGCGCATTCTGACCGGTGACTGAAATACGACATGTTATGCCATACAGAGCTGCTGCTGCGACCGAGCGAATGAGGGAACGAGACAATGAGCATCGGACGAGCCATGCAGAACACTTCCAACTGTGTCCCCTTGGATTTAAAGGCCGATTAGCAGTGGGCCCCACTACAGTCCAAAGTCAAAACCACCTGGTTGCTGCCGCTGCTGTCTGTGCATGAAGCGCCAAGTACATTCATTATACGAGCTTGTGGGAGTGGGTTTCGGATTGGACGCGCAGAAAACAGAGTATAATTTGGGCACACCGAAAAAAACTTCGTCTTAAACCCGACCCGGCGCAGGTACAGTTCACGGTGAGCATCGATTTAGTTCTTGATTTTAGTCTCATCCTTGTCGTCTTTACGGATAATCAAAACTTTGGACCGTGAAGTTGTGAACTGAGAAGTGGTTGCCCAAAATGTAGTTGTCACCCTTTTAAAAATCAAGATGCATGTTAAAACCCCAGCCCATGCCCTACCTTTGTGCATAAGCAACAAAATGATTTCAAGATAATATACATACATCCACACCATAGCCCAACATTGGGTGCCATACCCATGGATTTTGGGTGGGTTTTGGGTGAGATATTAGTTTTCCATGGGTGGGCACAAGTAATGCTAAGGGCAGTATTTGTCAAGATCCAACCAAGAATTGGCCTAATTTGCATAGCATGGGTGGGCACAGGTAATGCTATAAGTGGGCATAGGTCGCTGCTCATGGTTATGGTCTGGTCTGGGTGCAGATTTGAAGATGTCTGAAAATGTTGGCCTGTGCTCCACTCACTCATCTTACCACTTCTATCTTGCTTCGTGAAGTGCACATACGATTGTAGCTCAGCGAGTAGCCTTTGGAATAGAGTAGATCAAACTTGAAGTACATCCAGATAATGATAGTCACATAGTCTATGAACACTACTAATGCGAGAGCCAAACATTTTCAAGCAGATGGATAAGTTCACCGAGGACGTGTCTTCGTGGTCCCGAATTCTTCAGTCCACTCTGTAAACGGAAAGGATCTCGTATGAGCCATAAAGTGGTTGTTATGATGGCTCTCGATAATCTAAGAACTCTTTCATAAAAAAGAAAGCTCGATCTGTGTAGAGGAAACAAACCCTACCTCGGGTTCGAATGAGATTTATTTGCTTGGAATGGAACTCATGGAACCTAAACTCCCATGAAGTTTCGCTTTATCCGATAGGACCCATAGATGGTACACTGTCGCTAAGTTGTAATACATATTATTGTAAACATATGATGCAAGTTTTAGTGGAGCTCTGCCATCTTAAATCGTTAACATCTCTCGCAACTCGCTTTAAAAAATCTCGACAGGAATGTGCTAGATGAAACAAGGGGAAGAAGTACTTGAAGGAGATTGAAACTCGTTTTTTCGATCCTCTCGCTTCCATGGTACCACATCAATCACTCTCTATCTATGAGATAAGCCCCTACTGACGTGTTACACAAAGGAAATCAATTTTTGATCATCAGCACCCAATTTCATGCGCGACTAGAAACTTACATGTGATTGTGAAGAACATGCTGCTCGGGCACAGATGGATTTCTCTATGTGCATTGACGGTTGCATCTGAAGACATCAGGTTTCTCCAGCACCAGGAATCTTAAGCATTTTCGACCGAGTTTGAGAAATTTGATAGACGAAATTTCACTGATTGCAACGTTTGTTGATACTAGAACATGCGCGATGTGACTCGTCATGGGTCCCATAGGTAAAACGAAACCTAAAAGGTCCCAATAAGCAATTTAGGTTTCACAGGTCCCATCAAGAAAATATCTCGTTGGAATGAACCGTTTTCACTTTAGAGGTTTCATTTGAGGCCATGGAGCTGATGGACAAATATTGCAATGCTAGGGGGGCGGACAATTTTTCAGCGCGTTAAGTCAGAACCATACGCTCTTCAGTGTTAAATGCTATCCATCGTTACAAGCAAGATTAGGGAGCGTCGAACGGAGGCTATCCGAATCTGGAGGGTGAGGCGCACATGGTCGAGAGTCCTCAACTTTCGAGGAACCAAATGTGAGTAGACGTGACGCACTCCTATGTTGAGTCGACCACAGCAACATAAAAGCAGGTAGCGTACAGTGCACATGTTCTCTCTTCGAGACGATCTACATCTACCTCTAGCTCTAAGGCATACGTGCTAGATGAACATGATGACAACCCACACACACCCCAGAAAACGATGTCGCTTTAGAGATGTTTTTCCAGAGCCAACGCTGCTATCGTCAAGCTTTTGGAGAAAGCCCGAACACGCAGACTTGGTTGCTAGTGCAGCACTGGAATTGGAGCCTTACGATCGGCTCAAGTACACCACTTTGGCTTCGTCTTTTGGGAGAAAAAAGAAGAAGAGTCGTCTGAGGATCGCGGGGTTAGGTCGGTCAGTTGTGTCAGTACTAACCATGTCAGCTCGCCGTGCTCTAGGCTATAAGTGCCAGATAGGGAGCCCGACCTCGAACGACGTAAACACTTGTAGTAGAGGCGAGAAGCACGGAGGATTTTCAGATTTGTGCCTGCCGTCTTCATCCACAGCAGAAGATCTTATGGCAGAACGTGCCCGCCATGTACGTACAGATTCCTCCTCTCTGGACAACCAGCTCCGGCAAACTCAAGGTGCCCGACGACTGATCTCTGATCCCTCCCTCCCTCCCTCCAGTGACTTCTGCAACAACATCGAGGCCGACTCTTCAACAACTCCTTTCACCTGCGTTCGGACTCTTAATTGTGGTCGCCATGAGCCCTCGGAAGGTGTCTTCGAAGCGATTCTTCGCCAATCAGTTCGTGCGGCGACGAATGAAACTCGTTGCAATGAAGGTTGGGAAGTACATGCACCGTTTATAGGCTTAGTATATAATATCCAACTGCTTGATCATCCCAATATGAACATGGGGTACCTGTAATATAGCAAAAAGTATTGACCTGTCCTGCCATGCGGGTATCCTTCACCAATATAGCAAAAAGGATGGGAATTTGCCATCAAGTCATACACTGATGAAACCAAAACGGGGAACAAAGGGCTGAGCTCCAATACCTATCGGTATGAGCTATATATGACTCTCATATTACATTGGACGGTTTAAGTGCTCTCGATGAATATATGCTGAGGTCAAATAAGATAAGTAATTAGAAATTGATAGCCAGAAAGTATCGTATAGGAGGTAATTGTGTGCTATGAACGAGAACTATGTAACATGAAGACTGGACGAATTGTTCGGGGGTAGATATTTAGAACTTGAACTTGGAGAACGCGGTAGCCACTCCATTAAGTACCCGTCCATGATCATTATGAATGGTCAACACCTTCAAAGTTATATTACTATACTATTATGCTCAACCCCTTCAAAGTCACTTCTAGGATTTATAAACTAAATGCCACATGTGGATAGACTATTAGAGTTAGCTCATTCTTATGCAGTATATATGAGCAATTGTTGTGTCGATTTCATAAAACAAAGTCATTAGATCATACTTACATTCCAAGAATGACTAAGACGTTTGTAGATGTCATACATGGCTATGGAATTTGGAGATAAAGGACTGAAGATCATTTAATTTCACACTCCACTCCTTAAGAACTTCACTTTTAAATTTCCGAGACAAAACTTGGTACTTAAAGATTCAATTGCTTTTCTAATCTAGTTCAGAATCGTATGGTATCCGCCATGTATCACCCACTATGAAGTGGACCACAGAACTTGACACGTCACAAGAAGTAGAAAATAAGAACATTATTAAATGCCATGTGAGATAAGCGTCTTGCCAAAGGTCTCCATCTCTCATTCTCAACCTAGAAAACAAACCTTACGCTCATAGAAGAATCAGGGGAACCCTAAGAGCTCGACACAAAAGTATGAGGTCTGAGAACTGTCCACCAGCCACTGTAAGTTATCTAAATTTGTATCTCTGTGACACACTATTCTTCTATCCATGCTAGCGCCCATAAAGTGCTTCATATCCTACATTTCTCACACAAATGCCACTACGGACGGCTGACTTTCGTTCTGTGAAGTAGAGCTACTCTGCCTACTTCACAGAGTAGCTCGTCGTGATCTATGAAAAGGCTACAATGCCTCCTCTCCTCTACCAGTGTCCCCATATTTGCCTCTCTGTTTCATCCATTGCAATACCCTAGGCTTACTACTTGGGGTGTTGAGGTCACCAGGCATGGTAACGGCCGCCTCGTGCCGGTCAGAGAAGCGTTCCCTCCTCCTTTGTACGCCTTGTAAAATCCCAACAACCATATCAGGGAAATTTTTGATACAATTGTACTTTTCCACACTTGTTGTTGATCTCGCTATACTTTAGGCTTCAGCTGTATGTTTCACTTGATCAGCAAATTCCAGGTCATTGCAGATGAAAACACTGACATTTGCGATGAGTGTAAGTTTACTCTGCTGTTGTCTAACGTTATCGTGCTGGGTAAGCTGATTGCATCATAATAAGGGGTAGATGACGGATGGGTTTAGAGAAAACCCATCTCTTATCTACTCGTTCAGAAGATTTGGCACCAGAGTTCTCTCTGTAAGCAATAATGCTGAATCTTATCCTGAAAGCTAATTTCGATCCACGCACCAGTAGGATCAAGTGGAATTTCGTGCTCTTTTTTTCATCGATCAAGGGTACAGAAGGCAAAGTTCGTCTCAACTGATCTGCACTCACTGCATAACGAAAACAAGACAATCTCAGGTCCTCGTGTACGAGCTGTACTCCAATGTTCGCGTCTACAGCAACCTGTCTCCTCTGTATTTCGGTGAAGAAACACAATGAAGGACAATCGATCAGTTTTCTCAATTTGTCATCATGAGCAGAGGAATTATTTAAGGAAATCAATCGTATCAGCCATAACATACGCACGTCATGCAATATTGAAACGGATTTCCAGAATTTCGTTTCATTACAGAAATCATGGAGGAGTACCTACAGTGGCCGATGAAACCAAAGCTCACAATGCAGCTCACAGGATTGGCGTGAAAATCTTTTCTGCTTATAGGCGGACGAGTGTTCCACCCTACATCTATCTTTCGTCGTTTCAATTGCTCAAAGTGCTGCCGACTTCACAAAATTAATACATAGGATATGTAAATGTTTAATGTAAGCGGAGCAGAGCACGTAGCGTTGCCGTAGACGAGATTGTATAAGCTTTGATTATCCTAGGTTCTGAGGACAATCCCTGACAGTAGCATCGAAGGTATAATGCCCTGGTGACAGGAGCATCTCTGACCTCTCAAATTGTCTTCCCTCCTATCCTCCTACTTCCTCGTACCAATCTGCAGCTACTAGCAGCGCTCTACTGAGAAGACTTTCGACTGCAGTCAATCTTCGACAATAAGAAGGTGTACTCCAGGCCGGTCCTTTGACGGCGGTCTATCCTTTGTTTCAGTATGCCTATGTTTTCAACTTGCCTTGCATGTCAATCTGCGTGCTTCACACAAGGCGTTGTGCTGATTTGCCGAGCCGAAGAGACTATAAATTTATTAACAGGAGTTAATTAATTTACTATTGACTTTCAGAAAGTAGCTTAGAACTCTACACGAGCTTGAGAGAGGATATCAAATGAACTCGATAAGTTGTAAATCATTAGTTTCTTTGCCTGCAAGCACCGAAGAATAGCCGATGGTATCCTACACCTTTGGTGGAGAGAAGAGCTCTTGAAGGTTCTAGTATTCCGGGCTGTTACTAAGACAAACCATTCGATTCTGTATCTGCCATTACTACGGGACCCTTTACGGACGAAAAAAAAGAGTGTAAGTTTTTCTCTTCATATGCAACGTGATTGCCACTGGCTTAGTTGATCCAGAGCCACATGATTCAGTAATTCAGTACAAGATATTATGACGGTGCAATGAAAGCTCCATTGCTTTTCGAGCATCGTCACTGGACACGGAAACAAATCAATGTTCTTGAGCGATGATTCCAATGCAAAACTTGTAAAACTTGAAGGTCGGCTTGAACGTAAGAGTAAGTACGATACTTATAGTACTTAATAAATATCCATATCGACGGTTTTAAATTTGTGGTTACAACTCCGATCATTTCTTCAAAGGTTTTGAGAATACTGTAAGAGGAAGATGGGCGATGAACCACCTCTTACTCAATCGACAAGGACCATAGACGCATTGACTTCCATGCAACTACTCATCTTTTATCGTATCTATAGGTTTCCGGTTTCACATATGTGATCATGAAAAGGAAAAAGATTGCACAATGCGCCCTCGGTCGCTCACACGACTGTTCTACGTGCTTTTAACGTTGTCAGCACCTCAATCCAGGACGAACGCTACTTGATGGTTTTTAGATGATGAAGAAACTCTCAGAAACATGATGAGCTATGTACATTCACAAATGCTGTTCAAATAGTATCGAGCTTACCAGACGCAACAAATCCGGGTATCTTTTACGGGTTACAAGGGTCTGAAAGTATCTGTCTCCCTGGCAGATCTTTCAATCTTCTGTCTTAAATTGTGGTTGTCGACAATTATGTCTACAGCTTGTCCGTTTTTTTGTGTTAGAACGGCATTCTTGACATTCAGCGCCTTCAGGTTGAGGGGCGGAGATACTGCTCACAAGTCCCTGGTAGCTAAACACTTCCACAAGATCTTGGAATACATCTCCTGCGACTAATTGGCAGGCACTGAAGCGAGACAGTAGCAGGAGGGCTAACCACCCATCGCCGTCTCAGGCTTCTCATGTATCTGCAATTTTTCATGGCCTGTAAAGTACTTAGATGTGACCAAATTTTCAGCTGCCAAAGACCTTGACCACCTATTAGGATTTGAATCCTTACTTGCATCAAAATCCATTATGCGGTGTAAGTTCTGTATGAATCTGGAAAGTTTAGTACCCTCATCATTCTGGGGTACTACATGCGGCTGTTCCATACAGTGAGTTTCAGTGTACTTTTCCAGCTTTAGGTCTTACGAATTTCACCAAGTTCATAGTGGCTTATATCCTACAGACTCTGGAGTTCAATATTTTAGTGTGTTAGATAGACTGTACTTGAGAGTGAAATGAAAACGAGCATGCTTCATACAAGTCATGAACGACTGAGCTTGGCGAAATCAACTCGATATATTCTTCTTGTTCTATATATCTTTTCAATAGGGTATACTTACAGATGAGATTTCCTTCGTAAAATCAGAGTGAAGAAAACTTGGGGGTTTCAAACTTTCATAAATGATAAATGAGGAATAGGTCAAGGTACTTTCATGAACGGGTTACAAGGGACTGAAAGTATCATGACCTATCATGAATCTACCAGAATGACCTATTCTTGACAAAAGGGTCTGAAAAGTACTTAGGCTTAGAGGGTGGTCCCCCTGATTGTAAATCCAATGTATCGAATTCCTAAATTGAGATGTCTGTGCTCCTGACAAGGTGGTGTATCGATCAAACTCATTATGACATTCTGAGAGCAGCTCCGTAGGAATTTGGAAACACTGTCGAGGCATTCGTCCCATCAATGTGTCTCCCTGTAAGTTGTGAATAACGGCCTCTGTATAGACTTTCCACGGGCTTTCACAAATTTACGATCACCATCTGTCAGCAATGTGGAACAAGATAAGACGACCGTGCAAGTTCCGAAGACGTCTGAAAGACGTGCATAATTTCAACTTTCAACCAGTGAAAATGCTACCATATCAACCAGCGTACAGAATATTAATTCATCTTTGTTAAGAGCGTAGGTATTGACGGTCAGTGGTCCAAGAAGTAGCGTCTTGTAAGTAGTTTTGTATGGATTTGCTTGCTGAGGTAGAACATCAGACATTATTTATCTCATTCACATAGTGCAATGACAGATATGTCCCTACTTCTACCAGAATACTGGCAGAGAAGGAGTTCAGAGATTTGAATTTTAGTGCGGCCCGAGGTGTCTTATCTCTAAACACTCTTTAAAAACTTAGATAATCATTACTTCAAATGTTCCTGTGCATGCAGGAATTAGTCATGAAATGAAGGGTTGTGCGAAGATAAAAATTAAATCGTTGTACTAGATTTCAGAACTGACCATAGGAAAACACTTCTTTTGCAGGCATGTGAGATACATCATGGATGTCCTATCCGTGTTGAATCTAACACGTAATTTTTCTTGGCAGTTAACAACGCCGACCATCAGTTGAATTGATAAAATCAAATTTATTCATGAAACAGGATGTTACAAAAACAAAAAAACTGTTGTGTGCAGATGTGGAATCTCAAGGTCGACAACGGAGCCCTGTGCAGTCTCCACGTCTCTAGCAGAAGCAGTAGTAGCAGCAACCTGCTTTGAGTTCTTGAAACCTAGGTCTCGGAACCCAGAAAGTGGTTTTATGCGTAAGTTTATTTGAAAGTGGCATTAACCCTGTCATCTGCCACTCGAGTTCTAAGATGTGTATGTGAAGCTGTGGATGACGAACTCCACTTGTACTCCATCAGTAGGAGCGAGACCTTCGAAGAGCCAGAGGTTCATGTGTACTTTACAGTTTTGCTGTGGAAGACGCTGGCTATTACCATCACCATTGTAAGAATCGGAGAGAATGATATCACCAGTGGCAGAGTGTCCATGCCTGCTTACCCAGCTTACATTATTGTTTCGCCACTGAAACTGATGGGATGTATAGTTCCCATTAAGAGCCATTTCCGTCGTCTTCGTGTGGTTCTTGAAATCAGAAAGGAGCGTATTTGGGTAGCTCGTGAAGTTCAAATTTGGATAACTTCCGTTGCCCCATCGAGCAAGCTCGACGTCAATCTCATTGGTTCCATCTCCACCTGCCGCCGGGTACGTGAAAAGTCCAAGCACCACATTCTTATCGAAACTGCCGTTAGGAGATGTCACAGGTCCTTCAATCTTCCAGTTGAATGTCCCGTACTTGTAGTTTCCTGTAGTATATACTTCTGGGCAGAGCCATTTGGTCCCGACCTTAGTTATCTTGAGATGCAGCCAACCATTTGAGTCGACCCAGACATTGCTGGTGCTGTTTGACCACCAGTTGCTCCCGGGTCCCTGCGTTGTACTTGAAGTGTCCCTGACAGTCCAGTTTAACCCGCTGAAGGTAATTGTTCTTGACATGATTTGATATGGAAACCTGCAGTTACCCTTTCGAGATTCATACGAAAGTTCGGAGTTAGTTGGACAGATAATCCACAATTTGCCTAAGACTCCAAAAACACCTGAACAAATCAGGTGTTCTTGGGGTGATCAGGTCTACTTACTACACTTCGTAAAACTGGGAAAAAATGTTTCATAATCACCACCCATAATATTTCGCAACCACCAACGAGTATTCAGAACTTTCGTATTCTGTGACGAGAAATTCATTATCCTGAGCAGTCAGACAGAATTCATCGGGTACTCTCAGATGAACAAACACCAAAACAAGTAAATACAAATTAGCAGCTGCAGAAATCTAAGACTGAGGACACAGTGCGCATCTATAAATAGCATTACGAACGTAAACTGCTGCAAGTGAGGAGCTTAGATCAAGCATGAACTTAGATTCTGCCAGATCTCTACCACTAGTGGCGAAAGCGGAGTTGGAAGAGTCAACCGCTTACTCTGCTTATGACAAAGTTGTGAACTCTGGAGATTAAGATTCTTCTGTCAATAGAAAATCTGACGAAGCGGAATTTTGCGCAGTTAGGATTGCTCCCTGAAGAACTGTCGAGATATCTCAATACATACCAATTTATAGGCAAGTGCATGTGGTGTGATGCCAATAGGATTCGGAATATGTCCATTGTGGAGTACAGACCGGGTCTGGACAGGTAAGAAGCCCAGATCACAGGGCCCGAACCCCGATGTTTGACCTCAACTGAAGTGTTCTAGAAGTCTTCTCTGGTCTGGTCTGTGCAATGTGTCTGAAGATCTTCGAGGCAGATGACGTACAAAACTGGGCTTCATCTTGGCTCAAAGTTGCTGAGTCATGCTCGGATGGCCAGAACGTGCATGGCTTCAACAAAAAGCTTCTTGGATTTAATATATGGCGACACGCAACATAGCTTGCTTGTTGACGTATTCTTAGGACTGGAGCTATACGTACTTGGAGTCAGCATTTGCATGTATCCACCAGCAGTTTGCGGAGTTACAGCAGGCCATCGTTGCACAGCATGAAAAACTGTTGGAGTTGCTCAAAGTATGGAAATCTTTACGAATAGCTACAAACTGAGGAAACATATGTGAACAACTTACAACTTCTCAATCCAAGTTACTCACGATTCTTTCTGAGTCGGAAACAACCAACATAGAATAACTCTATTAAATTCTTCTCTTTTTTAAAAAAATTCGAAAAGTCCACCGATGGATATTGAAAACGGAAAAGAGCATTTAAACGCATTTTGACAAGTTCTCATATCTTCATTCTTCTTCATTCTTTCCTCATCTTCTCAGTGAATGAGAAGAAGAAGACTTGAACTACATACTATTGTCAAGGAGTTGATGGTCTAAATCCAGAGTACTTTCAACACGTTTTTCCACTGTCCGTCTGTACGCATTAAGACCTACTTGGATGCGAGTGCTGGCATACATATATCCAGAAGGAAATAAAAAAGGTGAAGACTCCGGTTCCAAGAACACAACACGTTCACACTCTTGAAAAAAGGCAGGACTGTACAGTCTCAGCAATTCCCAAATAGAGATGTGTGGCTTTTATAAAGCAAAAGAAGCATGACATCTATTCTTCCTCCCCAAGTTTTCTGTTACAACCAATCAACTTATTCAAAGACGGTGATCTATACTTAAGAGACCTTGCCAAGGGGATAAAATACAGGAATAATCTCGTTTTGGAGGGAAGATGAGTTCAGACTTGTTTAGATTACTTCAGACCTCAGAGTCCAACATAGCACTTGGAATTTGAGACTTAAGTTCTCGGCATCGGACAAAAGTCTAATTACCCATAAATCAGATTGAAAACAATGCACATATTTGAAGAATATTCTAGCGAAATGTCTCTTCAGATAACACTTGTAATATATTTTTATCACAACCATAAAACTCTCTTTATATACAAAGTTCCCTAATCCAGTTTAAACGTTGCCTATAGATCGCTCTTTGTATTTTATACATCATCTTCACTTCTCTTGTGAACGATTAGATTCATATTTGCAAACTTTCAAACATCCGCAGTGATTGCTTGTCTATGAAGCCCTATGTAATCTTGAAACTTACAGTCCATCAGATTCATACTTGCAACTTTCAAACATCCGCAGTGATTGCTTATCTATGAAGCCATATGCAATCTTTAACCCTACAGCCCATCGCATAAGCATTGTACGTGTCTTTCCTCTTCTCCTTGATCTCTCAAGGAGTCTCCATACCTTACATCAACTTTTCCAACCACTACATCTTATCTTTATCACACCGGGCACATAGCTGTTCGGCACACATGTTTGCAAGGACCTTTGGTCATGTCATACTTCCATCAATCTGATTCGGACACAACTTTTAACTCTCTCAATCACCTAAAGCTGCAAGATCTTAGCATATACATACCCAACAGTTACTTTGATCCGCAAAGCTCAAGGTAAGCTTGTCTCGAGTTTTGCACCTTCCTCCTTACTTCTGCTTGGTTAGTCCCTTCACTTTATCTGATAAGTACAAAATACAGGTGTTCTTGTGATAATTCAATCCGTGAAATGAACTATATCTCTCTACCAAGTGTAAAGTACCTATGGTTAAGTACTTTGAACTACTCGCCCGAACGATCAAACCCTTATTAATCCAAAAGAAACCAAACCCTAACTAGTTCGAACGAACCCAAAGTCTAACTGTAGACCAAACCTAACTGCGGTTAGACTAACAACGGTTAAGAAGACACAAGTTAACCTTACAAATTCCACTTTAATCCAAGTTTTGTAACCATCAGTTTAGGGTTAGGTTTACGGTGTAAAGTTCAGATTTAGAGTTTAGTCAAATGAAAAGACATGTATGAATTTTGAGAAGTCTTTTTACATTGACAAGGCTCAACAGAATAAGCAAGAGTAGAATAAGTGTATGTCAACTTACAACAAGCAAAACCAAGACCATGAAGAGTACGAGGAGGTAACACCTAAAAAATCGAGTTAGTCTTTATGCTTTAGGGCTTAGGGTTTAGGATATGGAAAGACAAGACTATATTCAAGAATCATTTCTTCATCAACAAGGTACAACAGAAGAAGCAATAGTTCTATAAGTTTATGTCAACTTATAACAAGCAAAAGCATGATGATGAAGAGGACTACAAGGTATCGCTTGAAAAGTTGAGTAGAGTTGTTGTATAAGACGCAAACTCAAAGAAGCAATGTAAGTTCAAGAAAGTCAATATAGTGAAAACATGTCTGAACTTGAATTGACTCTCAACATTGACAATGCTCAATAAAAGAAACATAAGTACAATACCTATATGTCAGATTACAACAAGCGAAAGCAAGACGATGAAGAGAACAATGAGTGAACACATGAGAATCGAGTGAGAGTGTTGTGAAATACGCAAAGTTAAAGGATCATGGAAGTTGAAGAAGGTCATGAAAGGTACCAAAAACCAAACCAAACCAACCGAAGAGATCACCAACTGACTAATTCATCTTTCTTGATGAGTTCAAGAAGTTTTTTAAGTAAGATCATCTTGAGACAAAGGATGTTGACGTGGTTTGCAAAGATAGAGGAGAGAAATGAAAATACATGCTTGAATTTGAGAAGTTTCTCTTCAATGATAAGTCTCAATAGCACAAGAAGTAAAAGTACGATAAGTGTATGTCAGCTTACAACAAGCAAAAATAAAACAATGAAAAGTACGATGAGGGAACAACTGACGAATCAAGTATGGCTAATATGAAAGACGCAAGTTAAAGAAGCAACCAAAATCCAAGAAGATCACAAAAGCTGAGAAAACAAAATCAACTTAAGAGTTCATTTCATTTTTCTTCATGAGTTTAAGAAGACGTTTAAGTAAGATCATTTCGAGGCGAAGAATGTGGTCATGGTTGGCAAAGCCGGAGAAGAAGTGGGAAGACATGTCTGAATTCAAAAAATCTTCATACAATTACAAGTCATTATAGAACAATCAAGAGTTTGCTAAATCTGTGTCACTTTTTAACAAGCAAAAGCAAGACAATAAAGTGTACGATGAGGAAACACCTGAAAAAGTGAGTGAGGCTTTAGGGTTTAGGGAAGTGGAAAGACATCTCTGAATTCAAAAAGTCAATACATATTTACAATGCTCAAAAGAAGAAGCAATAAATTTGTGTCAACTTACAACAAGCAAAAGTAGAATTACGAAGAGAATTACAAGGGAACACCTGGAAAATTGACTGAGTTTGTTGTGAAAGAAGCAAAGTTAAAGAAGCAATAGGAGTCCAAGAAAATCACAAAAGCTACCATAGAAATCATGAACGGATTTCTTCTTCTTTCTAGATGAGTTCAAAAAATTGTTTCAAGAAAACTATCTCGAGGTGAAAGATGTTGCCATGGTTGGCAAAGCCAAAGGATATATTGGGAAGACATGTTTGAATTTAAGAATACTCTTTCATTGACAAGGCTAAATAGAAGAAGAAACAAGAGTACGATAAGTATATGTTAGGTTACAACTAGGAAAAGCATGAACATGAAAATGATGACAAGGAAACATATAATGAAATCAACATCTAATGAACAATCTTCGTCTTCAGTCTTATCAAGCAAACAATTCAATCCGACCAGACTTCTTTCTTGCATTTGATCCTTCCCATCGAGGCGGCATGGATTCTCTCCGCTATATTTGAAAGCTCTTTTGTGTCATCCTAGAGATACTATCGGTGTTAGAGTGGTATAGTTCAATGATCCTTTGGTTTCTTGCTTGGCATACTCTCAAATCCAAAGACAGTATTCAAATATCAAGCCGACAAGACAAGCTTGCTCAATATAAGGACTTTCGTGAAAACAAACTCATCCAATCAAAAGAGTCCATCGTGCAATCGATGTGAAAGTTGATCAAGCAGTACAACTGCCAAGACTAGGCGAGACTGACGAGTGCTTGTGGAGCTACAAGATGAAGCTTTTCCGCTTGATGGCTAAGCTAACGCAAAATCTTTGATATCAATTGTACATCCAAGGCAACGAGTATCACACACCAAAGTACATGGTTCACTTCTACATGAAACTTCTTTGCTTGATGAATATGTAAACAAAAAATCTTGGATATCAATTGTACATCCAACGCAACTAGTATCACACACCGATGTATGTGGTTCACCTGTACATGGAACTACATTCACTACAAAGATACAAGCTTCACTAAAATCAGAATATTGCATCAGAATTCCATAGCCAAGCTCTCAACTAAGTGAAATGAATTACAAAACAACTATAGCTAATCCAAATAGACTCTAATCCTAACTAGCACAAACAAATCTGAATGCTAACTAGAGTACAAGTCTATATAAGGTTAGACCAACAATGGTTAACAAGACCAGAGTTAAACCTACAAATTGACCTTAGAAAGAATTTTTGTTTATAGTTAAAAAATTTGAAGTAAAACTCAAATTTTAATGAAAAAGTAATGAAGATTTGTAGATTCTGAAATTTCTAATAATTATTTATTTGGAAAAAAAACTATTCCTAAATTTTAAATTATTTGAAATTAATTATTTTTTACAAATATACCGAATTTGACTAAAACAATGAAAAATTTCAAAATGATATCGAAAGACAATTTAACATTACAATGACTATTTTATATGTTAAACATATTTCTGTTCTCTTCATACCCTTTTACCGTAGCATTATTACAAGTAAAATCATGTGGGCGATTTCATGAAACAAGTAATTTCAGATGCTTGAAAGGAAGTTTTGCCTCAAAGTCTTCACTCGCGCAGGACACTTGAGTTAATCTTGTTGTCACTAAAAACGTCGAATGGAAGTTGCTACAATTGTCAGAATGACTCCCCAGAGTCTTTCCAGTCAAGTCATGGAACGACTTGACTGGAAAGACTGGAAGACTCGACTGGACTTTCCGGTCAAGTCCAATTTCATCATTACAATTTCAGCCGCTTTCAAAACTTGTGTTCGTCCGAAGTATACTCTCACGTAATTGTAAATCGCTTCGCAGTCTCTCTTAATAACTGGAGTAAGTTCTTCTTACCGATGTGGATCGTGTCATTCCTTCACCGTCTCAGCCTCAGTCTAGATCTAGAGCGCAAACGAGGGCAATGCTGACCCAACTGTCGAGGAGACTTTCAGTAGTGATTTGACACGGAATCCAGAGAAAGATGTCGACCTGTGCAATTTACATTCTGTGCATCCTTCGAAGTCATTCCGGCTACGGAGAATTCACTTCGGAATCCGCAAAGTACAGATCATGTACTTCGCAAAACTTTCACTTAGAAGAACTCTGGACAGATTCCCATCATCAACTTCTCACTCACAGACGTCGATCTGTTGGTTCTGAAAAGATCACGTTCCTTATCACAGAGTCCACCAGCTGAGTTATTGCAACATGCCCGAAATATTCTGTAAACGACTTAGAAAACTCCGTTCATAGGCAGCAATTGTGAGGGTCCCTATAATATCATGCAGTACCAAGGCATTCTTGTTCTGCCTTCAAATTCAGAGCAGTCAAAATCTCAGAGGCCAAATGAATAGAACTCTCTTCAGATGCGCAAGAAACTGGAATAGTAAGAAATAAACATGGGTCGACCTAGTAGATGAAGCTGGATAATTTTGCACATGAATTCTGAATATCATGGAGCGTTTTACGTTCCCCTTGTCTCCATCGTTCCGATGACAACTGAAAAAAGCTGACTACTGTCTCGATTTCCTTTACTTATCCGTTGGTTTCGATTGGTAGCACAAAAGCATGAATGCGCTCATTACGGCGATGGGAAATATTTACCCAGTAGCTTATATATGTTGTATTGGTCTTCATGGACTTCTCGTGGCCGAGAAGTCGATTCCAGCTCAAGCAGCTATGGAGCCGAAAATGCAAATGTGAAATTAAGTACTTTGTCAAGAAGTTTCCAGTACCAGTGGAGTTGCTTCCAACATTTTTGCTATGAATGTGCTCATATGCTGGACAGGGCATGATCTGTCATTGTGATTCGTTCACTACTCTCCGTCACCTGCTATCAACCGAATACCCTTCGGCAGGTTAGGAAGCATATATCGAGCAAATTTGTCCAAAATAACAGTTGGACTTAAAACTTCTTCGGAAGCATACAGTATGTAGAACCAAGCCTGTTGCAGAACAGGTGGTGATCGACTGGCCAAAGGACGTTCACCCGATATTGCTCTCTAGTACGTGCAATTGCGAAACATTCTAGCGTGCGATTTATGTAGAACGTCCGAGCATGTGGCCTTGCGTTCTGCTTATGCATTCACCTTTACTGTGCAGTCCACAGAATATTGAATTCGAATCTAAAGATAATATCTCCAACTGCTACAATTGATCCTACAAAACATAACAGAAGACCTGGTTACATCCGAAATACTCTTCTCGAGTCGCCGCTTGGTACAGTACTGAAATTCGGTAAATTACTATCACGTACTTTGCCAATTCGCCGCAGCAATTGTATATTGGATCCGATTGACCCATCCTGATATATTCATTCTTCGTAGTATTCTCCTATTTACAGAGTAAGTAGGAGAGTACTATTTTCAGCGAGTTTGACGATGTTCTGTCTAAATCTCAGTTTGATTAGTTTGGGGTGCGTTTACGATATTCTGTTAGAATCGTGCACTGGTTTAGTAGGTCCGACAATGCATTGAGTACTGGTTCAATCTTCACAAAGCATAACCATACAACAAGCCTGGGCAGGACGACATACAAATTTCATCAACGGATGTAGACGAGTATGGCAATATTCAGAAGACAGAGATGGCCCAAGAAGAAGACAAGCAAATGATAAAAAGCAAACAACACATATTTCTTCTGGATTTCGTATATACACTATGGTGGAATCATCTTACAAGCAAGCCAGAAATTGCAGATTGCATGCTCAGCCATTCATTCTCTACATTTGCAGCAGATGTCCAGGCGTTCGTCAAATTTTGACTGTTGTAGATGGGAATGAGGATCTACTCAGCTACTAAACAGCGGGGACTTCTCGATGACTGTCAAAGATAGAATCAGTAGCAGCTACTCCGGTAATAAGAGTTATCGCGTATGAAAATATGCACTCTATGAACCACTTGTCACTATTCAAGGCTCCGATCTGAAAGGGACGCAGTCAATTATGCCTTGTGGCAGACATCGCCATCACAAACCCATCCTTCTTTCACCTCGGCCTCGGCGGCTCTGGTAGTCTCAGAATCCTCTGTCCCTGCAGCTTCCTCCTCCGAAACCCCTGGCTCTTCTTTCTCTTGTGCAGCTTGTTTCTGAAGCTCTTTGTCAATACATGCCACATCCACGTCGAAGCCACATTCTGCACACCGGTAAGCCCATCGGTTGACATCGAGACTGCAAAGATCACACGTGTACGACCCGCGTGGATATGGAACCTTCGACAGCGTCAGAATATGAGGATGCTGGGGAATTGTGACCGTCTGCTGGCGTTTCTCCATTTCGTCATCCACGGCCTTGTTCAGTTCAATTTCCTTCTCCTTGGCGAACGGGAAGCCCTCGGCACCGAAGGTCTCGATCGCTTTTCGCCCTTCCTTATTCAAGGTCTTCCCATCGGGACCCAAGATCACAAGAGTTGGGATCCCTTTCACATCAAAGTACTCGGAGAGCTTCTGTTTGGTGGTCCTCTTCGGCTGCCTGTCGCTGTAGGGCAACGCCAGCCACGGCATGCTTCCATAATATTTGTTGAATGCTTCCTCATCTCTGTCGCTCGATATGAAGATGATCTCAAAAGGCTTCCCTTGTTGCTTCAGCTGTTCGTAAACCGCGATTAGCTTGGGAGTGAATCCTCTGCACGGAGGACACCAGTGGGCCGAGAAATACAGCCCCACTGTCTTTCCTACCAAAGAGCTCACCTTCACTTCCTTGGAGTCGTGATCGACGACGAAATCCCGCTCTGCCGTCACCAGCAGAGACTCCAGACTCTGACTGGCCCTCTGAGCTTCCTTCTCGGCTTCCAGAATCTGCGTCATCTCTTCCACTTTCTCGTCCGTGAATGGGTACGCGCGGCTGTCGAACGCGCTGATGACAGTCACAGCATCCTCCTGGATGATCTGCGCGTCGGAATCGAGGATCACGAGACTCGGCACCCCTTGAACATCGTACACCTTGTACAGCGCTTGGTTCGCCTTCTTGTCCGAATAAGGGAGTGAGAGCCAAGGCATGGTCGCGAAATACTCATCGAAAGCCTGCTCATTAACATCCCACGAAACGAAGACGATCTCGAAAGGCTTACCCTCGGATTTGAGCTGGTTGTAACACTCGATCAGATCCGGAGTGAACTTCCGGCAAGGTCCGCACCAATGTGCAGAGAAGTAGAGGGCGATGGGTCCTTCTAGACTCGAGACCTTGACTTGGGTTCCATCGTTCTTGACGAGATAATCACGGCCATCTCTCTCCAGCAGACCCTTGAGAGTGGGATTTTTCTTCAGCTCTGCGAATGGTCTATCCAGATCCTCGAGGTGTTCTTTGGTGAACGGATATGAATCTGCACCCCACTCTATCAGAATGTCCATGCCCGATGTGGTGATGACCTGCCCATCCGCTGCCACGAAGGCCAGCCCTGTGACCTGTGAGTCAGTCTTGCTGGCTGCTCTCAACGCCTGGACGGCTTCGACATTGCTGGGAGGAACTGCACGCCATCTTGCCGGTAAGGACTTGATGAAACTGGAGAACGATTCCTCTTCGGGTCCCGATTCAATTTCGTGTGCTCGATTACTCGCCTGCAATTCATGGATCAAGTCGGCGCTTAGGGGGGTCGGAACAAAAACCATCTGCAATTCCTTCCCCTGATCACATATCTCCTCGATGACATCGGCGAACGAGGGTAGAAGTCTATCTTTCAGCAGCGACTTCCACCATGCAGGCCCGACGAAGATTCCTAAAATCTTGCCTTCGATCTCATCGCTTGTTACCTTCACCCCGTCCGTGTTCACGAGATCCTTATCACCGCCAGGAAACAACAACGACTTCAGAGGCAGTTGATCCACGGATGTATCAGCCGGTTCCATGGTCCCTTCCAGCTGGAGCACTCCGACGTATAATCTGTTGAATGAAAATCACGTTCTCTGGCCCTCCTCTGCCAAATGTGATCGACGCTTGTTGATTGTGAACGAACGATTCGAAGTCACATGAAGATGAATTCGAAGTGCAAATGCAGGAAGAAACGAGGAAGATTGAATTCAGCTGATCCACACGGGACAGTATGGAAGGAATCGGATTTATAAGAGCACATGATGATGAGATCGGTCAAGAGGGATGGATGAGCAGGCGGTCAATTGAGCACCTGCAATCTTCTTACGGAAGATATACAACTGCCACATGGGGTCCTCCCCGTCAGGTTCTTTCACTGGCAGTAGGAGGTCACCATAAAAGTTCACAGCCGTCGTAGTCAGATTATCGCCTCCTTATTCTCAAGTAACTGTCAAGTAATACTAGATTTCTTGTCAGATTAAACTCTTGGTATCTTCACATCCTGTGGCGAAGTCCGACCTCTTTCTTGCTCATGGTGTGCACCGAGTAATATAGCAAAAAGGAGGGAAAATACCTACTCTTAATTCTGGAAATATTAAAGAGTGAGATCGAAGTCTGATTTCTATTTTCAAATTATTCTCTACGTAGTTGTAACAAAGAATATCTCTTTAAGTTCGCAAACATGAAATAGTTGTCATCAGTAGTTCAAATAATAATTTGATAGAAAGTTTTTCTTCTGTTATAAGCCTGCGTAACAAGTTGGCTGACACGTCTTCCGGTTTATGTGAAGTGAAGGCCACTCCCCAGCCATTCCCTACACGCGATATGGTCAAATAAAGCTACCCGACACGAAACCGCTAGGAAGCCTTATTATTTTGGTGATCCCGAATTCAAGAGTACGTCTGATACGAGGTATCACAATTTGGACCTCTTTGATTACTTTTTTATATTCTCTTTTTTTTTGGATACGCTTTGAGAATGATACAGCAAAATTTCAGTTTGTGGAAACTATTCGAGGGTTTTTTCTTCTATTTTGCTATAACGCCCATTCTTGGCAAATGTGAAGCCAGATTAATCAAAAATTCTAATGCTTGCGAGGCGCGTAGCGTCGTTCTAGAACGCCAACTTAAGCCTGCATTGACGGAGTCCATAGAGCGAATAAAAAGAATTCTTTGGCGATGTGCATTTTACCTTTTTTTGTCAGACAGTACCACTTAGTTGATACTGTTATTTCACAGAAATCCTGGTTGATCGAAAATCTGGAAAAGAGGTTTCAGCAATTTCGGCAAATTAGTGGCGCTGCTGGGTCATGGCTTTCGAAATAGAAGGCGGATGTTTTTTTTTGAGATCGATCATGAACACGTCCAGATGATGCATGGCTACGTTGAATAGGAAGGGACTTAAGACAGAACCCTGAGGCACACCTAAGGTCATAGTTGATTCTTCTCCAAGCACGAAGTTGATGACGCGGGCCTTCAACATTTTCCGAAGCTCGTCTTCCACACGTTGGTCCGCAACGTGTTGCTTCAAGAGATTTAGAAACCGTAATTTATCAACAGCAGACTGAGAGCTTGACAGCGTGTATTCGTGCGCGTCACCACATTCACACGGTTAACCGCGGGTCTTCCTTCTTGATCTGGTTCAGCGTCTCTTCCAATGCGTCGATAGTTCTTTGGCGCGCCAGAGTCAAGCCTCCGGATTTCAAGAGCTTGCTAGACAACATAGTCTGATGGGCCTGTGGGCCCTGAAACTTCAAAGTTTATGCCCGCAGGCTCGTAGTGCTCGACAAAAGGGATAAGCAAGTGCTTATAGGCCTCATGCGGCGAAGAATTCGAGACAACAGATTCTTGAACCTAGTTCAAAAAGAGATAAAAACGACAAATTTGTTCTAGCATTTTCCGCACCTCTTGGTCAGGTTTCATAAGTGTAAGGTTCCCTGTTTTGCCGGCCTCCTTCATTTTCCGAGGAGGGAATAATGCTATGATTCAAGGAATTCTTGAATCCGAAAGGAAATTACCGTGAGAGAAAGGTGAAAAGAACCCTAAGAAAGGGAGTGAAATAGAAAACCTGAAATCCGATGCAAACAATTAGAAGGAAAAGTTTAGGGTGAAGTGTTCTGTAAGTAAAGATTCTAAAGTGTTCTGTAACTCGCAGAGTTACAGAACACTTTAGTGATAGCATAGTGCATCATGGGCGCAAGCGCACCAACAGCCGGAGGTGCTGGATCCAAGTACAGTAGTTTCGTAATGGATTGCTTCAATGTTCAAGCGACGGTCACTGCATTTCTTTGCAATGAATCAGGAAAACATACTTCACTAAAACGGCATGAAATAGAAACATATTATACTTGTAAGATGTGGAGCTTCGAGGATCGCTTTCATAGCAAGCCTAGTAGACAAGACGACAGCCGTTTGCACAACGACTTCCGGTCACATTGCAGTTGGCTGGAAGGTGTCTGTCGAGGCATATAGTCAACAGGGGAATAAGACCCATGCCAGAGACAGGCCCGGCACCAAACGTTTCTTGAGGACGAAGCTGTGCATTTAGCTCGTGTCATGTCACTGGTGTATGAAAGTGGGCCCATGCTAATGGGGAGGGATACTCGCCTGGATAGCCGACGTCCAACTCCGTCAGAAGAAACTATGAATATTCCTATAGATCATGCAAGAAACAAACTTTAATATTACAATGGTCCACCGGAAGAATGTTCCAGCAACAGTACTTCTATCCTCCTCAAAAGTCCCGAAGAATCGTTGACATATTGGTCTCCTGTACTCAGCTTCCAAGAACTAACAATAGGTTCCGTTCTTCCCGGATAAGAGAGTATTGTCAGAGTTCTAAGCTTTGTGGATGTGAGGAAATACAGTAAGCTTCGCCTTGTAGCGCTGCCAGCTGGTGATCAGCATCCACCGAGTGGCAAGGGCCAACTTACTCTGTTTTATACATCTTTGGATTCGATGTGCTCCCCATGACCACGGGTCTGGCACAATGCCAAGATTTTCAAACCTCGCTCTGAGTGCTCTGCGGCGAGTACTTCACACTATCGACCACAACAAAATCTCGTGTCAGATGCTGGCCTCGTCCTCAAATATTTCAATTGTTGCTTTAGCCGTGGGTTGGAGGCGCCCACTTCCTCTAATTATACGTACGTCACGGCATTCGGAACAATTGGATGCATGATATTGCAGAAGACCGGTGATTCCTTCGATTCGCAGTGGCCAATTCTAAACAACAGTGCAGACTTCCAAACGCAGGAATTCTGCATGACGGACAGCCTCATCCTTTGGACAAGAGTACAGAATCAAATTTCAGGATCGCGACTTTTAACAAAGTCAGATGTGATAATATTACTAGCGGGAATAAACGTTCCATCGATATTAACCATCCGAAAGATTCACCTCCCTGAAAGCTTCACAGTTGTCATATCGGACGCATTTACTATATAAACAAATTGGAAACTTGTAATATATTTATAAATGATAAATTATTTTCTTTGTGAAAAGAAAAAGAAGGAAATGATAGAAACGATGGTGAATTACTGGAAGTAAAAGACACAAATGACCTGTCCGAATCAGAATTGCACTAAGACGGCTAGTTCTTGTGTCAAAGTTATATTCTAGTCTGAAATTAAAACATTTTTATGTTGAGAGATGTCCAGCTTGAAAAATCCGAGGATTCATATCCATTTTTATTATTTGGTTGAAGTTAAAGAATAAAATCATTAAATTTTCTAGTCTAATTTTGACAACTTATTTGGATTATAAAGGATGAACGAATGATAATCAACACAATAAATGATGTATTACACTAGATGGCTGGGCCAGCAAGAGATTCGTTACACGGTTTATGGGATTTAGCCTCATTGAAAATTTTGAATACTCTTCTATTTAAGCATTTGGAATTCATTTCATATGTTAATGTAACTGAAGTTTGATGTTGTATTATTTTTTTGTGTCTCACAAGATTTGATAATTATTTTCTTATGAAAATCTAATCTTAATATTATCTCAGATGGATGGGCATTATCACCAGTACCCGTGGAAATCTCATCAGAATTCAATCTGATGAGCTTTACGCGGTCTTTCCCGGAGGTATCAAGGAATGTGATAAAGTGGACTCCAAGTTATCCGAGTTTGCAGAGCTTTATGAATTTCTCAACAGACAATTCACATCAACGCGAACGGGGGTTTGAGTCCATGATGCCTCAGAGTGTCTTAACCCTGAACCTAACAAAGTTGCTTACTAACTCTTCTGAAGCCACTTCTCCCAAAGATAATGGATCGTATATGGATCTTGAAGAGTACATACATCTATCAAGTACGACCACATCAAGGACAGTGACGTCCACATCAATCAGAGACCAATCGGTCTGAGCTTCTTTAACAGAGGCTCGCTTTGGTCAAGAGGTTTTAAGACTACGCGTGAAGGAGAAGCATGTGGAGAGAAGCTTCAGGTGGTAATAAAACAATGGCCAAATGGTCCATTTGAAATGGACAACAGAAACGAAATGAAGACCCCAGAAGAATTAGTGGTGGTATTTAGATTAAAGTTTGCAGGATCTAGATCAAAGTGTAGTGTTGACGCGACATCACTTGCCACACATCACCACCTTTCTTGTATTTGTCCTCGATCACAGCAAAGTTCTTTTCTCCACACCTGAAAAAGAAAAGAGTGCGCAATATTGGGAATTGCGAGGTAGAATTCTTTTTTTTTCGGGCGTGCTAGTAACCCAAAAATATAGCGCACCCAAACGGCCCCGCGAGGACCAGAGGAAGAGGAGAGGAAGAGGAGATGAATAACAATTCCCACAAATCTTCCACCCGAGCCGAAGTGGTCCAACAAGCTAATCCCAAAAGAGAATCATGTAAAGCCAAAAATGGAGCAATCAAGTATGATCTAACTCTGCAACCATGTACAAAATGGAGCAGCCAAGTTTGAACTAACTGAGCGACCACGTATGAAAGCCTCGGAGAGGACAACCATGCATAACGTGGAGTGGGGGTCAAAGGTAGTGCCACTGCGGTAGTGGCACTGCCAGCAGATGCGAAATTGACTCCTTTGTCGTAGTAGGTGAAATTTGGAGTCAGATATGGCAGTAGGAGTGGCAGCTTGAAAAATCAATCAATTTATTCACAGTTCGATAAATGAATCCATCTGCTAGCTGTAGAAATGTTGCAGGAAACTCTCATCTGAGTGCATGCTAGTCAATTACGCTAGATTACTCACTCCTGCTTTTGTGGCATCCAGAAGGCCACTGCCAGCAGATGCGAAATTGACTCCGTTGTCGTAGTAGGTGACATTTGGCGTCAGATATGGCAGTAGGAGTGGCAGCTTGAAAAATGCCGCTGAGACATTTGGCCAAAGAGCAAGCCAAGTCAACAGACGGAGTTAGATCGAAATGTCACCTTCATATTCCGATCTGATGTCCATCTTTAGCAGCGATAGCGTTTGTTCAGCATCAGAAATTAACAGTAGTAAATCTTCGAGATGTGAGAAATGTCGATCCAAGCTCGTGTGTATAACAAGAAGAGTTATAATTACGAACATTGCTGATCCGAAGCAATATAAAATGCATTCATGGCAGCGTAAGCTTGTTGTATGCATGAGTCAAGAGTTTCTTTTTGAAAGAAGCAGATGAACTTCATTCTCCTAGAGCTCGCCACTTTACACACGATTGGTCAACAAAAACCCAAACGAGAAGCGGAGTGTGTCGCTCAAGGTGAAACGAGTGAAACCTTCATGTATTTGATAATATGTAATATATTCTAAATATGATCAAAGTAAACTGATTCATGTTAAATCCATGATAATGCATACTGTAAATGGGAAATGAGTTGTTTGATGAAACCAAACAACTCATTTCATAAATCATGATTATCTGAACCATATTCTTGATGAATCAAGATGTCATGAATCATGATAATTTTTTGATAATTTATTATGTAGATTATGATTTATGCTAGGTGGCATTCATGTTGACATGAAAATTTCATAACTTGAGTAGGTCTTTATAGTTGAAGATAAATGTATTTATTGGAGATCTATTTCGCCAAAGTGCATAGCTAAATTAACAATAAAAGCCTTGTATGTATAGGCAATGAGAGAAAAAAAAAACAATTTGATTGAATAGATTTATTAATTAAATAAGATTGAAAGAAAATGTTGTCAATGCTCATTATGATAGTTAGAGATTTCATCCCACCCTTTGTAACTTCATATTTCAACTTGAATATGAGACTAAGCAACTGATTTTTAGGATACTGAGTTTTTCTTGTTCAATAAAATGATGAACAAGGTAGCAAAATACTTGAAGAGAGAACAATTCAAAGTGTGTAAGAATAATCCAGTCTTTCCACCAAAGTGCATTACATTTCAGGGTAAATCAAATGAAAAAAATTATTTAATCAGAGATTAAATAATAAGAAGATTAAACTTATCAAAATTGATGGTAAAGTCAACCCATCTAAATAATAGACCAAAATTGTTACTTTGAAAATGACTTTGTGTAGGTTTTGTGGTAGGTGTAGCAAACATATAATTTACTAAAAAAATTTGTTCATTCTATTTTTTTCTCTATTATATTTTGGTCACAACTTACGATATTTTACGGAGACACATATCAGGTTAAAATCTAGCACCACTTACAGAGACACATCTCAGGTTAATATCTTGCATGACGAGAATATTGATTATAGAGATTACACATTCCAAATCATAAATGAATGGGAGTATGATCAGTAATGAATAGTATAAGGTTTTCTATCATTGCATATGAAAATTGATTTTAACTCTATGTGACACAATTAGAATTTTTTCCGTAAAGATTGTGGTGTTCTTTCTTGATGTAACTTGAAGTGATGAACAAGATATATACTCTCTCCTCTCTTTGCTATGTACGTGTGTTGTGGGTTGATTAGATTTAAGTATTAGACACATGACAAATTTTATCTTTTTACAATTTTTTCATATCTACTGTATAAAAGAAAAGATTACCTAATTTTTTTGAATTTTTCATGTGCATAGTATTGTTTGCAAGATATCTGAAGTAAATATTTTATGACATATTATCATAATCATTTCTAGCTCAAAATAAATTACTTAGTACATATTATCAATGATAATAATTACATCTGATTTTGTATATGAAGAAATGTGGCTTTAATGTTTAAAAAGTCATAGAATCTATCCATCAGAAGAACTGTGGACAGATTCTCGTCATCAACTTCTCACTCACAGAAGTCGATCGCTTGGTTCTGAAAAGATCACGTTGCTTTTCACAGAGTCCACCAGCTGAGTTGTTGCAACATGCCCGAAATATTCTGTAAGCGAGTCAGAAAACTCAGTTCATAGGTAGCAAATATGAAGCTCGCTATAATATCCTGTAGTACCAAGGCATTTTTGTTGTGCCTTCAAATTCAGAGCAGTCAACATCTCAGAGGTCAAATGAATAGAACTCTCTTCAGATCCTCAAAGAATACGCTGTCACTGGAATCGTAAGAACTAAACATGGATCGACCTAGTAGATGAAGCTGGATAATTTTGCCAATGAATTCTGAATTTCTTGCAGTCTTTTACGTACTCCTTGTCTCCATCGTTCCGACGACAACTGAAGAAAACTGACAACTGTCTCGATTTTCTTATGTAGAACCAAGCTTGTTGCAGAACAGGTGGTGATCGACTGGCTGAAGGACGTTCACCCGATATTGCTCTCTAGTACGTGCAATTTCCAGACATTCTAGCGTGCGATTTATGTAGGATGTCCGTGAATGTGGCCTTGCGTTCTGCTTAGATTGTCGGATTTAGACTGTTGTAGATGGGAATGAGGATCTAATCAGCTACTAAACAGCGGGGACTTCTCCATGGCCATCAAAGATAGATAGATTCAGTAGCAGCTACTCCGGTAATAAGAGTTATCGTATGAAGACATGCACTCTATGAACCAATTGTCACTGTTCAAGACTCCGATCTGAAAGGGATGCAGTCAATTATGCCTTGTGGCAGACATGGCCATCACAAATCCATCCTTCTTTCACCTTGGCCACGGCGGCTGTGGTAGTCTAGGAATCCTCCGTCCCTGCAGCATCCACCTCGGATATCCCTGGCTCTTCTTTCTCTCGTGCAGCTTGTCTCTGAAGCTCTTGGTCGATACATGCCACATCCACGTCGAAGTAACATAATGGACAGCGGTAAGCCCATCGGGTTTCAAAGAGATTGCAAAGTTCACACGTGTACGTTGCGGGTGTATATGGAACCTTAGACAGCGTCAGAATGTGAGGATGCTGGGCAATGGTGACCGTCTGCTGGCGTTTCTCCATTTCGTCATCCAGGGCCTTGATCAGTTCAATTTCCATCTCTTTGGCGAACGGGAAGCCCTCGGCACCGAACCTCTCGATCGCTTCCTGCCCTTCCTTATTCACGGTCTTCCCATCCGGACTCAAGATCACAAGGTTTGGGAGCCAAATCACTTCAAAGTACTTAGACAGCGTCGGTTTGGTGGTCCTCCTCGGCTTTTTCTCGCCGAAGGGCAACGCCAGCCACGGCATGCTTCCAAAATATTTGGTGAATGCTTCCTCATCATCGTCGCTCGATATGAAGATGATCTCAAAAGGCTTCCCTTGTTCGTAAAACGCTGCTCGTAAAACACGACTAGCTTGGGAGTGAAGCCTCTGTACGGATGAGGACACGAGTGGGACGAGAAATACAGCCCCACGGTCTTTCCTACCAAAGAGCTCACCTTCACTTCCCGGGAGTCGTGATCGACGACGAAATCCCGCTCTGCCGTCACCAGCAGAGACTCCAGAGTCCTCGCTCTGAGAGCTCTACGGCAAGTTCTTCACACTGTCGAGCACATTAAAATCTTGTGTCAGATGCTGGCCTCTTCTTCAAATATTTCTTCTTTGCTTAGCCGTTGGTAGGAGGCGCCCACCTCCTCTAATTTTACATAGGTAACGGTATGCGGAACAATTGGATCCACGATATTGCAGAAGACCGGTGATTCCTTCGATTCGAAGTGGCCAATTGTAACCTACAGTGCTGACTTCCAAACACAGGAACTCTGCATAATGGACAGCCTTTGGACAAGAACACATAATCAAATTTCAGGATCGCGACTTTTAACAAAGTCAGATGTGATAATATTACTAGCGGGAATAAACATTCCATCGATTTTGAACATCCGAAAGATTCACCTCCCTGAAAGCTTCACAGTTGTCATATCGGACGCATGTACTACATGAACAAATTTGAAATCTTGTAAAATGTTTATAAACGGTAAAATATTTTCTTTAGGAAAAAAAAAAGATAGAAATTTCTGGAACGATGCCGAATTACAGGAAGTAAAAGACACATTTGACGTGTCCAAATCAGAATTGCACTTAGACGGCTAGTTTTTGTGTCAAGAAATATATTCCAGTCTGAAAGTAAAAGATTTTTATGTTGGGAATCGTCCAAATTGTAGAATCCGAGAATTCGTATCCATTGTTATTATTTATTTGAAATCAAATAAGAAATATCAGTAATTTTCAAGTCTAATTCTGACAACTTATTTGGATTATGATGGATGACTGAATTATACTTAACCCAATAAATGAAGTGCTCCACTAGATGGCTTGGCTAGCAAGAGTATTGATATTTTTTAATCCAAATCAATTATCTTAAAATATATCAACTCTAAGAATTCATGTAAAATATTTAATTATTTTTTGCAGTAAAAGTGTTGCTAAGAAAGTCAAAAAAATAATAATTTTATGTTTATGTAATATTTTGAAAAAATTTGTGCAATAAAAAGTGTTACCCAAATAAATGAAATAAGAAGATTTAATTTGTATAGTCATTTATTTGCTTCACAAACAAAAAATTTGACTAGAGTAAAATTATTCTCTCATTTTTTGTGAGATGAAATTGTTAAAATTGTAAGATTAAAAAATCATCATTTGACTTTGATATGTTTTTTTAAAGTAAAATTTTTTTAACTTTCATTTCATTTTAGAAAGTCAAACCCAATACACTTAATAATTATAGCTATCATCTCAATTTGTCAAATTACTTAGATTTTCACTTGCTATTTGCTTTCAAACAATTTTTTCTTCCCGCAAATGAGATGAAATGAAATTTATATTATTCAGCTGGTTGGTATATTAATCCGTGGTAACGATAAAATTCTTGTTGTAAGATTTTTATTTTAGAATTTAGGTTTAGTTAGAAATCCTAATTTTTCTTAAATTATAGTTCTTTCTTGCATCTGTTTACAATGTATTATGATTGATTATTAATAGTAAAGATTTTTCTGGAGAGCAGCAGGAAGGAGAGTTTCGTTTGATTTCGGATTGCGCAAGTCAAACATGAACATGTAAGCTAACTACTTGAGCAACTTCGTGGGGACACTTCACGGACAGTTTGTGGAAAGTGACAAGTGACTAATTTTGAGATACAAGGATAAACTGATCTAGCCGATAATTAAACAAAAAAATATTCTTGAAATGTTTGACAAGTGATGGGAGAAAGGAAGATCAACAACAAGGAAAACCTTTAGATTAAAACTCTGGTTGTAAAGAACATTGTGTATTAGGTGATCAAGTTTCTAAAATACATCCACTCCACTCGGTGACATAGTTAGTGCACCTTACACAAGATCCCGGAAACCTCGGCGCTTATACAAGCTCAAGATGTCGTCTTGAATGTTTAAGCTTCCGAAGACCATAAGCGGGCACTAATCAGAGTTGTCTACAATTAAGACTTGCCTCTAGTTAGAAACTTCGTAGATTGTGATAAGTAGCTTTGCTATTAGCTCTTCAAGTTGTGGTTATTGGTGGTGTTTAGTCCTGCAGTCGATACCCTTCGGAGTTTCAATATTTTAAAATCTCCAAAGATCCTTCTCGGGGCCACTTCGAGTCATACAGGGTAACATTGATGAAAAGCATGCAGGAAATCCAGAGACCTAGGACCAAGAGTGCCAATGGAAGGACGAGTCGATCATTACAAAATGTGAACACCGACCTCACAGAATTCTACAATGAATCCATATGTTGTCAGACAGAAACTGATTCTTTTCATGCAGACGGTTACCTTCTATTGCAAAGCATTCTGCAGGCACCGGAACTCGTAGTAATTGGAGATGAATCCCACAACAAGTTCCATCTTGTTTCTGTTGAAACTGGCATAGCATTTATTTGAGTTTGTACATGGTAGCAGAATACTGCAATTGCAACCAAAAAATTCACAGATCTGGATCAACGTTGTCGAAGAAAGGATTCAGAAAAGAATACCCTTTGTTACTTGTAACAGAGCAAAGATTCTGCCCTTCTCCTTTCAGCTTTCTTCTCAAAAAATCTGAACATTCTTGAATTTGCTGTCACCTTTACAGAGTCGTCTGAAACGATTAAAGCGAAGTCCTACCAACAAACTCATTATTCTGGATCAAATTCTCGTATTTACCGGAATCGACGGATTCGATTCCTCGAGCTAAGGCTATGGTGAACCACTTTGAATTATCATATGACGAAATGAATGACAGCATTCAGAGGTATGATGCCTCTCATTCACGGTGAATTAGTCTTTCATTAAGTGGAGACGAGTTTTATGCTTGATGTTTATTCCGGGTTACCAGGTCAATATGGACTACATGGAACTACTGGGTCACAAAGCCGCTAAAGTAGAGATGTTAAATGGAGCGATAGCAGCAACCTTGCCGAACAGGTTACCAAAGAGGAAGAGTGCTGCAAGCGTTTGGTAAGCTCTGTCTGTGGGATGAAAGAAGTCCCAAAACACGTAATGATCGAGCTCTTCGTCCGTGCACTTCGTAAACAAATCGTTTCCGGCAGAGTCTTGGAACCCACATTGATTACCGACTGCACCTCTGAATGGTCCTCCTCCACAACAAGCATTAGATCCTTGTGTGAAACCTGCCCGAGAGAAAACAACTTGTCAGAAATTACAACGGGACCCCATAATACATGTCGAGTTATTCTGTAGTTCATGAGAAGTTCTCTAAATTACGAGCTCTTATCATTCTCATTTTTGCCGCAAGTTTCTTGAGCATTAGGTACTCTGGAGACGGGTCAAGACTTCTATGTACTAGTCAAGAATTTTTTTTATCCACGAAGAAACTTCCATATTCAGCAAAAAATACCCTTGCAGTCCTTTTTGTGTGTAAAATAAATGATAGAATGAACTTTATCGGCAAGAACAACGTTTTCTGATATTAATATGATTACAAAAATCACAGGCGGTAGAAGGAGATGTCTCACCAAAGATTTCACCATTCTTAATAAGCCCATCCAGAGTGTCGTACACATTTGCAACAACAACGATAGATCCAAGAAGTTTGATAGTGATTCGAAGTTGGAACGCTGATAACTTCTTGTTGTAAAGTCGCGCTATCTGATTGAGGGACTCATTGCATTCACCGCTGGCCAAGACTTGAGATGGAACACAGCCGAGAGGTGACAAGCCCACAAGAACAAACTTGTTCGCACCCTCTGCATGTAAAGCCTGCACTTTCCACAGTCCTTTCGGACAAAACTTTCAGCAAGTGTCATACTAGCTCGAGCTTCTGATACGGGTTTGGAAATGGCCAATGATTGGTTCGGTGAAAAGCCGATGGACTCGACTCGTAGGGGTCAATTGAATCATCAACTTCTCCATAGTCAAAGGTAAGAGTCGAATCAGTGCAGCAGGTGAGAGACGAATTGATCAACTTCGACGGACAGCACAGCCCAGGCCTTCCGAAAGTTGAGACTTACCGTGAGAGTCTTTTCCAACTCATTGATCATAGTGTCAGTGAAGGCCTCGGGAGTAGTCTGATTCGGGAAATAGCTATAGTATATATCATTACTTCCGCTGCTGATGGTGAAGAGAGAACGTGCCATCGAAAGCTTCACTGACAATGATCCATGAGTCGATACTAACGACTCCTTAACCTTTACAAATTGTTGCACTTGCTCTCGAATGTTTACGACCATCTGAAGTTGGATAAAACAGAGAATTATGTTTATACTCAGCGTTTGCAAAATTATCGAAGTAGATCAATCAAATTATTAACAGTTCAATAAATGAATCCATCTGCTAGCTGCAAAAATGTTGCAGGAAACTTTCATCTGAGTGCATGCTACTCAATTATGCTAGATTACTCACTCCTGCTTTTGTGGAATCCAGAAGGCCACTGCCAGCAGATGCGAAATTGACTCCATTGTCGTAGTAGGTAAAATTTGGCGTCAGATATGGCAGTAGCAGTGGCAGCTTGAAAAATGCCGCTGAGACATTTGGCCAAAGAGCAAGCCAAGTCAACAGACGGAGTTAGATCGAATTGTCACCTTCATATTCTGATGCCCATCTTCAGCAGCGATAGCGATTGTTCAGCATCCCAGATTAACAGTAGTAAATTTTCGAGATGTGAGAAATGTCGATCCGAGCACGTGTGTATAACAAGAAGAGTTATAAATACGTACATTGTTGCAATTCGAAGCAATATAAAATGCATTCATGGCAGCGTAAGCTTGTTGTATGCATGAGTCAAGAGTTTCTTTTTCAAAGAAGCATATGAACTTCATTCTCCTAGAGCTCGCCACTTTACACACGATTGGTCAACAAAAACCCAAACGAGAAGCGGAGTCTGTCGCTCCAGGTGCAACGAGTGAAACTTTATGATACACGACAATGTCGGCTTCAAACTACATTATCACACAAAATAGTTACGCATCTTCTGATTTCTGCGATCAGTGCATCTCAGAAGCTTCCTAGGATGGTGATCAATCTATAAGATTATTTCCACATTGAAAGACTGCGAACGTTTTCCCAATGAACGTACCTAAAATGTCAATGACCAATCTTCCATCGGAGAAGCGTCCTGTGGGTCTGTTGAAATATGTCTGTCCATATGGAGTAAAATTGGCCAAAAATGCAGGATTTGGGAGATAAGTATTAGTGCCCGTGTCTGTTGTTGAATCTCCAAAATTGAATATAGCCTTAACAAGTGGTTGGGCACTGCATACTAGTGCCCTGTGACATGTACAGATGATCACCAGGGCAAAAACGCTTAAGGCTTCCGAATGCTTCCTCATTGATTATCTCCCTGTCTCAACGTCGATCTAGACTTGCTTGCAAACACAGAGAAAATTCAGAGACACACTGTTTCTGAACGTCCTAGTCCCTCATTTAGATGATTCACAAAAGCAGGTAGATGAAAGAGATTCAGAAAGCGGTTGTGTTTTCTCTGGTAATGAGCGATCACATCCAAAGGATGTATCCTACGAACAAGAATTACTATATGAGAACTGGTTGTGCTGCGTTTAGCTTTACAGCAAGCATCCAAGCCCGACTTCGATACTACTGGAGAAACTGAATACTTCACTCTAGTCACTTTCAATGTCCAGCCTGAAGGACAACGTTTTGTGTTTTTATACAGAAGACGAAAAGAGGCAGCAGCATTCTGTCGTAGCGTCACATGAAGCAAAATTTACTCGACGCAAGTCCTAAAAGGGAATTTCAGTCACGTTTTACATGACCCTGAGGGGACCGTCAAAGAAAGTCACGAAGCTCCTATTCCTCTCTCTTTCTCTCTCTCGCAACTATTTCCACAACCCGAGTCCCTGGGATCCCTCGAAAGTAGGCTCCGCAGGTATTCACGATCGTGAGAGATGTGAATCGTCGTCAGAACCGTCGATCCGAAGAACACTGGTCTGAAAGCGGACGAGTTTCTTCACTGTATCTGACAAACAGGAAAGAAGGACCAGGATCTAAAGATATGTAGCAAAACATTAATGAACCTTCCTTCTCCTTTTCCCACCTGTGTTCTGGACTAACTGAAGATGGTCTTACAGTGCGCCAGGACATGTGAATCTTGGATTTCAGATTCAGAATTATTTTGATTATTATTTCTGAGTACTCAAGGTAGTTGATGCAACTATTGCTATAGCTAAAGCTGTACTCCACGGATCTGATCCTGGTGAGCGTGCAGATCACATGTAAACAGTTCATACATCTGCTTTGAGTTTTCAGAAAGGGCCATTTGATCATATGACATATGTTCTGCAGATTAGATTTCCAAGCCCAGGATATTTCAGGCCACTTAGTTGATCCAGAGTATTCACCTCGAAGAATCTGAACTAGGTACCACTGAAGGTAGTAAGCAAGAGTGATAGAAATTAGTTTCCGATGCAATATTTGCAGGATTCAAACCAAACGTCGAGAAGCAAGTGGATGAAAAACGTTTGACTTGCAGTCTTAATTTTCACATCCTTCTGGCTTGTGAGAAGATAAGGAAAATTGCTCATCAGATTGAGAATATTTGAGACACAAGAGGGGTTTACAACAAATTGACTCAATCCTGGAGAGGGAAAAGTCTTCTCATAGGATAAACGCCTTCTCTGTTTCTGCTTTCATCAAAGCAGCTTATGTTTTCATGTTAACAGGAAGGGAACTAGTGACTGTAACGGGATTTTCGTGCAAGAAAGTGATTGGCAACAGTACCACTGTACCACCATCAGAAGATTGTCGTCGTTTTCTGAAGAAAGCGCAGTGAAACTTCTACATCTTTTTACTTTGCTTCATTTGGAGGTGAGATGTACAGGTTAAAGTGGCAAGAATCTCAAAAGATACAGAGTCTTCAAAAAGAAAAGTCGTGTTGGACAGTCGGTGGGCTTGTAACAGAAGTATAGAAATTGTTGTTATGGTTCAATTGAGTAAATAAATGTGGCTGATGTCAGTAGGCATGTCTTTCTAATTTATCTTGGAGCACGAAAAAGTTTTCAGAGGACAAAAAGAAGTTCTTTTGTAGTCCTCAGGCAAGACGCTATCTATCAAAAAGCAACTTGCCGTCTGCAACACCGCGACTAATTAGCACTCTTCCACTAAAAATCATATCTGCCGATTGGAAACATTGTAAGAGATTCAACCTTAAGATTATGTTTCTGTAAACACAGCTGGAATTAACATTCTGAATCTACGTTCTAACACATACTAGATGTATCACGTCACATGAACAAAACAGAGTGCCAATCTGATCCTAATCTGACAGTAGAAATTGAACATAATTAGCCCGGTCAGCCCCCATGGCCGTGGTTTAGTATATTGAATCCATGTTTCCAGATAATTTCCGAAACACGGAACAAAGATAAAGTACAGAAATGATTTTACTATTTATAGTTGGCGCTTTACGCTTTTCATTTCGTGTAAGCGCTTCCACCAAAAGAATGAGCATTGTTGGATATCCTTCATTGACAAGAGAGATCATGCAGACAATCCTATGGATTTGCATTGCAGTTGTCTTAGATTTCTATAAAATATTTCGATCCATCGTTTAGACGTGCCATGATTAATCTCTGACAACAGTAAATGGTTGTTACAATCGGAGTCGCAGAAAGCCGAAATTGTTGTAGGCTAAGAGAAGACTTCTACGAGGGAAGATTTACAATTCTAATCATCCAAGCTTCCAGTACATACAGTAATTGAGGTTGGTGCATCTGGAGTCTGTTTCTGATGCATGAAGGGTATCGTGCATTGGTGTAAAATGACGCTTCGTTGTATTTACTCAATCTTACGCACATGTCAATCCTGAAGGAAATGCATAAATTATGTAAATACTACCCTGCATCGCAGAGTAAGTTTACGTATTAGTGGACTTTTCCGTGAGGAGTAGGCACTAATTTACACAAATACAAGCATGGGTTGCTGATGTCGAGAAATCAGCTCCAAAACATGTGAATAAATGCCCCAATTTATATAATCTCGCCTCTTCCTTCCTCTCCTTCGCTTCTGTAAGACCCATGATTTGTCAAAGCAATTGTGTTCGCTGCTCATAGGACGAGGCTGAGTGCTAGAGTCTCAGTTGAATTGACTTTCAGGGTGCAGTTGTCTAAATTGAGGACTTGGTGATTTCTATCGAATGGTTCTGAATCTACTGAGGTAAAGTATCAAGTTTGAGTATACCTTTTCCATCTACTTGTTTGCTAAAGACAAATTGATCTTATGGATCGAAGCAACTTGGCAGCAGGAATAGGTACCAGGCGGCCATGTTAGAATAACGAAGTGAGACATGAATACAATGCAACAAGGTTGCCCGCTGCGTGTGACAGGTGCCAAAGGTCCTTCTAATATGACCAAGCCGCTGGATCCCTACAAGTTTGATATGGAAATCGTGGACAACTTCAAACACTGAAAAACTGGAAACTTGCCACTGGACGCAGGTTCTGTGCGTTCTTAGAGACCATTCTGGGTTCCTTCATGAGGAGTTCCTCCATACTGTTCTACATTGCAGTAGAAAACAAACCTGACCCAGATGCATGGCAGAGTAACTGTAAAAAACGTGGACCGATTCCCGGCTCAATTGGGCCGAATCTGAGATATCCCTGTACGGGATCTGCACATGTTGAACCTGTGACTTCCCACAACGAGCCCTGCACCGTGGCATCAGACGAAATTGACGTCCATTCTGAATAAATTAGATGAGCGTGAAACATTCCGTTCGTCACCACTTGACTGCTCTGAGCTGTAGTGGTAGATGGCCGCGAACAGGAATAGGTCTGGGAATCTTGCCCAAATGTTACTGTGGTAACTCGTGAGGCAATTTGATGTGAGGTTGAAATCTCAGTGGATCGGTAAGAGATAGGCCCTTTTCGATAGGACTTTATCCGTCGCTGTGCCGATCGTGTTGGACATGCGCTGCACACGCCAGAACTCGGTTTGTTATTATTTGTGGCATGTCACGAGTGTTCCGACGAAAAGTCGGCAAGAGTCCGGTGGAGCTGTGCAGGCTCTGAGACGACTAGGAAGCGGATCGACATTATTGTTTCCATCCACTGATAAGCATAAAGGGAGAACTCGCTGAAAAGATTCGTCATTAGTTCCCGGGATAACTTTGAGAGGAGGATCCGGGTGGTTGACCTTTCTGCTCGGGCCAGAGTCCACCAGATTTAATACTTGAACGGCAAAGAATCAAAGTTGACTTCCAATTTGACAAAAATTTTGGCCCTGTCCACTTCCATCTTGTCGCTTTATACAGTTTAAGGCTCACTTGTGGAGCACATGCCGAGTCCACTGTATGAGCTCAACGCCAAAACGCTCTTCCCTTCAGAATTGGAAACTTGAAACCTTGTCTGGTCTGTCCAAAACATGACCTGGGGACAAAACCTCTGACTTCCCCTGAGGCTAGGCAGCAAGGTCTGCATCTCTTGCTCTCGTGCGAAGTTTCTCGCGACGCCCTCGTTCGGATGCTGGAATCCAGCCTGGGCCGATGGCGATATTCTCGTTCCCACCCTTGGACAGTCGATGACCTCGTCTCACGATTGTATATCCACCTTGACATGCACGGTGTAGGGGGAAGCACGTACAAATTTCATGCACTAAGGCGAAGAGAACTCGGATACATCCAGTTTCTTAATCAGGTTTCCATTCCACCTGGTGCGGTCTTTCCTTCGAAGTCATGCGAGGTGAAGGTGTTTACCACATCTAGCACTTCCTTTAGGACACCTGAGAAATTAGTCCGCAAAGGACGCAATCACACTCGAGGAGATTTCACTAAACCTTGTCCATAAGCATATGATGCAGCGGCACAGTGAGGTGGGGTGGGGTAATCATGAAAAGGAGATGCATCTTTCGCTGATTGAGCAATATCCACATTTGCTTCTCACAGAAAAAACCAGTCGATTTCGAAGATATTGTATCACTCAGGGAACTGGGTACTCTTCCAAAGTGTACTTCTTCAACAGTTGATGATTTCCATTGAATCGAATCAATGGCTTTACAGTTCGACCTGTACAAAACACCTGAATCGTTAGTCAAAACTGAAGTCAAGCAGAGAGAAGGCTCGCTAACGAAAGACAGTTGTAAGTGGACCCTGTTGCTGTAAAGATTGGGTTTCTTCTGTTGTTTCGCACTTTAAGGCCGATTCTTCTCCTCGTAATCCGAAACTTTCCTCCTGGACCAGGTCTCACATGGGCCTTCGATTCTAACACGGTGCCTACAGTTTGACTTAATATGTAAGCTTCGCTGTCGGACACAAATGTTTGGAAAAGACGGGAGCATATCCATCGGAAAGAACCTTTCTCAAACTAAAATCTGAACCGCGGAGAAACGTCTCTCCTTCTGTGACAGATGAAGCTGCGAGGTCTATCTGCTCGCGCTCGCATCCAGAATCTCGTATATCCAGACATGCGCTCGCCTAAATTCCGAACTGTTGTGTATGCAAATGGCCAAGCTTCCAGCTGGAACCCCATGACTGCCCCGGCTTTCTCGGATGCACCCATCGCTGAGAATAAAAGACTTGAGATCCAAGGTGCTCTTGCAGAGCATTTAGGCTATGTGCCTTAGACAGGATGGAGGCTTAGGTCTCGCCATCGGATAGTCACGATCAAATTATAGAAGGCAGGGGGGGAATACAATTGCGTTGCACCGCAATTTTCAAACCAAATGTGAGTCCTCGATGCTACTCCTTGACCTCGAGATGGACATTAGGAAGCTCGAGCTGGATGCATATATGTAAAGGAAAATTTTCACCAGATCTTGTTGGTGACTCTTCATATGCATTAAGTATGATTGACATTTTATTGAGAACAATCGGGCATTGAAGATAGACGATTGACATGGCATTTGTGGAATATAGTACTGGTCTGTTGTACTTGTCTTCCACCCTATCGGCATCCACAAGTGCCTTAGCCTGTGAATAAGAAGTACGAGAATTTTTTCAGCAGTAGGAGTACTCATGATCTGTGAACAAAATTGTTCACTGATTCACCACGCATTCATGTCCTCTGGGTGCAGATCATCAAAATCGACCAGGCCACAGGTCGGAGTGAAAATATGTAATGTGGTATATGTCTTGGATAGCACTAATTTCTATCGTCATTTTGATGAGTGGATGGAGAAGCGACGTTTGAAGTCTAACACGGTGTCTGTGCAGCTCTCAGGACAGAAGCAGATGGACTTCGTGCTTGACGTGGAACCTGTAGAAGAAATCATTTCGAAAATCCAAACATCTCTATACATAACATGTGCATAATCACAGGTACTCCAGAACAATGTGAGTACCGGCTCAAGATCTGGGCTTTTCTGTTGTTTTCTGCTTGTTTTGACGTTCTACTAACGAAAATAAATGTAGCAATTCAAAATTTACCGATCATTTGCAATTGATTTAGCTGTCTGTCTCTCAACATTTTGAATGTCAGGAAAATTTCGAGAATTGACGACACCAAATGCACCTACTGGTATAATGACTGCACTTTTATCGTCAGCCCTGTGACTTGCGTAAGGTATATTCTGGATTTAAATGCATCATAAGAGTACTGGGGGAGATTATGACCAGAACGTACAATTCTCATGGTCACAGCTTGCAAATAGTGCTTGCCAATCCCCAAGTGTCGATGCTATCCACACTTTTGAACAGGGTTTGACTCTCGTTTGAATGAATAGGAACCTATCAAGCTCACCCTCTCCGTACTCTTTCAGCTGATGAGAACGTCCTGAAGTTGAATTCGGTAACGGTCATTGTGTGTACGACATTTCATGCATTTCATTGAATGCATGAATGCAGTCCTTGACGTAGTCGTGGGTGGAAGAAGTGACTGTACTAGCTTTGCCCTTTTACTTGTGCCAAGGACAACTTAAAATTGGAGTGAATCTTGAAAGCTCAAAACTTAGGAACTACTTAACAATATACATCCAGCACTTTTGGAAGTTTGCATACACAGAGATCGAAGTCTTGGAAAGTGCCGTACACAATGGAAAGAAAAGGTCGAGACCTGAATTTCACTTGTTACTTGTTCTCATTCCAATTCTCGAAGAAGGATGTTTTTTTATCCACATTCATTTATCCAAGACCTTTATCTTTGACGGTAATCTGCAGCTTTTGTTGGAACTATTATAGTTTATTCGTCTCCCACTTAGAAGTATAGGATGTATAGTTATTTTGTCTTGAAACTTATTATAGTCTTCGAAAGAGCTCCTTGTGATTTGTGCAGTTTTGTCTTCTCTTCCTGAGTCCGCTGCTTCACAACGGCAGAATTGTTCTTATGGTCAGTGGAGACAAAATCTGTTGTTTCTCTGCGGAGATTCTGTAAAGAAAGACGTACGACTTGTATACGGTTGAACCTCTTGTCCAACCTATTGCAACAGTTGGAGTCTTAGATTGTATCCAACATCTCACTGATGAAGATGCAATCCTATATGCTTTCAGTAATTGCATCACTGAAACGAAGACCAGCCAATCTTCAAACTTTAGTCCAGAAGTCCTGCTGTCATTCTGCCTCCTTTTGTCCAGGACAGGGATGGCAAAAGGAGGCACAAAGGTCACTTGCGCTGCCAAAGGTATACAAGTCCTTGCTTTCCTTTCGTCTTCCCAGCATCTGCTCCTGTTCCCCTACAAAGTTCTTCTACTGTGAGCTTCATTCTCTGAGAAAATAGAAACCAATAGACAACAGATGTCTAAACAATCTGGGACGGTTCCAATCTTGGTCGTGACTCTGCAAGTCGCTGCTCCGAAAGTTCCCTTGTTTCTCTAATTCATTTCTTTACTTGTGCACTTTCCTATCCCCGTTCCTGATCAAGATCTGCTCTGGTCCAATGGCGAAGCAGTTAATTGTTACGCCATCTGCTTGAATGTTATCAGTCAAGCGGATCTTGAGCTTTTGGAATTTCAGCAGACGGTTTCTAACATGATTAAGCAGAAGACGTGGGCATGCTAGTTGTCTGCATGACTTGTTTCCATCGAATGTACGTAAGTCGGAAGTACGGAATGAACCTCCAATTTCTGCTGCGATGCTGCGATCCTGTCAGTCTTTCCCATCTAGCGTACCATACCGTCGGATCCTTGAAACCCATTCGTAGCTTCAGGTCAGTCGATCCCTTTCCAAAATCTTTCCTCCTTATCGTGAGCCTATCGGCAGCACCGTATTGGTTACGGTAAAGTGACGAAGGTCGAATCCTCTTGACCAATTAATGTCTCCAGATCCGATCCTCTGAACTTTTCCCAACGGTGTTAGCGAGGAAAACAGCCTCGCTATTACCGTTAGTCCAGAAGTAGTAGATCCATGAGCTAGACTCCCCGAGTGACGCGCTTGAAGTAGAACCGTCCCCTTGAGCTCAAACATTCTACGAGATCGCTATGCGAGCTGCTGTGTGATTGTGCCCAGCGGAGGATTAGCTCCAAGCACGAATGCGTCTCGAGTCCTAGCCAGCTCTCGTCGATCATCAGGTACTTCCCGTTCGCAGGAATCCATCACCGTACAGATATTGGCAGGGCGTGTGAGGCTAGTGTAGGGGAGGGCAGGCCTGACTCGTAGTCCTGGTGGAGCGAGGTGTGCCATTGGCTACTCTCTTTTCACCTACTTTCACAACTCTGATCAATAGACCCGACGGATGATCAGGTAAGAAATGATTTTAAAACAGAGAAACTTAGATCCTTCAAGTAGCAGAAAATCTATCTATTTCCATTCGAGTAGGACATGCAATGGCGTTGTGAGAGATGAACTGAATGAGTTGAGGTCTGAGAGGCAAACTTACGTGCTGCAATTTGAGCAGCAGCCTTGCAGCTCCTTGCGCCGAGTCGAGGTTTATAGCTGCTGGTGTAAAACACCTGACCTCCGTACGCAGTTGAGATCCTTTGTATGCAGTTTTATGAACCAATATATTTCAATCGTTGGAGGACCCGTCTCTGTATGTGCGCACTCGAGCTCTCGCTGCAAGCAGAGCAGGGTGTGATATATTTGCAAGTCCTCGGTCTGCCGGGCTGGTCATCACACTCGCTGGTTCATGCAAATGTGTCGAGAAATTGTGTCAGCAACCACTGACTCCAGACGCTGATGACATGACTTCGCAGTAATTCCCCGGATGACGGAGGACATATAGACCGCCATAGGTGCGGGACAGCGAACGAGCCTAGCAGGAAGGCATCTTTTCTCGACGTAATCCATGGCAACCCCCAGCAGCGATGTTTATAAGACGAAAAGCCTTTTGCAGCCTTCGGTTGCGAGCTTCGTTTCATAACAGCCTTGCCCTGCCCTGCCCTGCCCTGCCCTACTCTGCCCCTGGAAGGAAGCAGGGTGTGATGATCCCACCTCAGAGCATGAACGATCGGGTCCTCTCTTATCCCATGGAGCTCACTCAGCTCGTCTAGTCCAGAAGAGCCGTAGGGAGGCTCGGAATTCCTTGAAGGAACGAGGCGGTCACACTGCTGCGGACCAAATGCCTCGTCATGGAAGGGAAGGGGACGGAACATTGGAGGGAGAGGGAGAGGGAGTGCAGGCTGAGCAGCTCGTCTAAACCCAGCCCGCAGCCAAGGCCTGATTCTGTCTCTGTCTCTGTCTCTGTCTCCGTCTGGGCGCAAAGCCCGTCGGCTTCCATGAATCCAGGGCTCCTTTCCAGGACCAGGTCTTGAGAGAAGCGGGCAAGGGCGAGAACACGATCTGGATAATGATTTCCTGCGTCTCGCGGGATCATAATAGCAGCAACAAAGCCCAGCTCACCATAAATACGGGCCCACACCGAGAATAGGACATGGCTGCGATCGTCCGCAGAGGCATCAGTAATGTCGAGGGAGGTAGGAGTGAATGGATAAACCAGCGGAACGATAAGATGGTCGGTGATTGGGGACGGTTCGCAGCCATGGGGAAGCAGGGCGACATCGGTGAAGGGATGCACGGGGCGGCTCCCTGGAATTAGGGGGTCGCAGTCGCCACTGGCAAGCCAGCTCTGGAAGTCAGCCTCCCATGAAAGGACGTGTCTGACGCACAAGCATCGGCACGAAAGATTCCGGGGCTTGGGTACGAGCAGCACCGAAGAACGAGAGAGAGCGAGCGAGGGAGAGCAAGAGCAAGAGAGAGAGAGAGAGAGCAGTAGCGTGTGCATGGACGACCATCTCCACTTCCACTTGCGCAGGATACCCTCACCCGCATTAATCATCCGCCGGTGCTGTTTGCAGGAGTCACTCGTAGAAGATTCCGACGCGTATCTACATCGGTGGTCTCGGGCCACTAGCATTCGTAAGTAGGGGGAGCTGAGCTTGAGCTCCGGGCCGTAGCCGAAGCGGCCCCCGAGGTGAGGACCGATGAAGCTAACTCTTGGCTGGAAGATGTTCAACCGATTGCTGGCATGGGCGCTGCTGCTGATGGGGGCCCTGGGGGCAGAACCACATGAGATCAGCACCACCACCGCGACAGGGACGAGCCACCACTGTGTCTAGCTAGCTTCTCGAGGCCATCTAGCGGTCGCCTCTACCACGAAGGAGCGAGCCCACAGGGAGGGAAGGAAGGAAGGAAGGCAGGGAGGAAAAGTAAGCTAGCTAGCAAGCAAGCAAGCGAGGGGTGGGGGAAGAGGGATCGAGGGAGGGACGCATCCATCCATCGACACTATGCTCATTGCCCAGGCATCGAGCGTACGTGCGACTATTTCCCGAAGCTGCTGTTCCTTGTCCAGAGTCTATTCTTGAGGAGGCTTGAAGAGCAAAGTGCGCTACAGCAGCAGCAGCAGCAGCAGCAGCAACAGCGGCGGCACTATGCAGCGGAAGTCGTAACCCGGAAGGTTCAGAGGAAGAGTGAGGGAGTGAGGGAGGGAGTGAGGGAGAGTGAGTGTGGGGGCATCCCAGCCCAGCTCGAGCTTTGGACTCGCCGTCGTCGGCCTCTGTAGCGAGCAGCAGCAGCAGCAGCTAGTTAGCACGAATGCCGGATGCTGCAGAACCCGATTATTCTCCTTTTTGTCGGGTGCCTGCGACGACATCTGACCTCGACAAGAAAGCCGGGCAGTGGGATTAGTCAGAGGAGGTGCGCTCCATAGCACGCGTACTTAAGCCTCGTTTGTCTTGTGCATTCTTTGGCCAAGGCTGGTGGCCGAATGGGGGAGTCGCATTGCCGCGGGCGGGATCGCTAGCGTGAGCTCGGGGAGGGAAGGAGGGAGAGAGAGAGAGAGAGTTTACTTGATCGATAAGAATGATTCAGATATTCGAAACAGTGTAGAAAATCAGAAGATTCGGATATTGCTCGCGATTTTCGACCGCCGCGTCCTGCGAGGTCGAATTCCCACCATCTGCGCCTCGCTGCTGCTGCTGCTGCTGCTGCTGCTACACTACTTACTCGGTCTCATTCGTTCGCTGCACTCTCGGAGCGTCGATGGAGAGGCTGGTCCGATGAGAGGAGCGGCGGTAGCATGAGCACGAGTGCCCTCGGGCGCTAGCTAGTAGTAGTAGCTCGGGGTTCGGTGGTGTCCTCGAGGGATTGAGAAGCCGAGCTGCGAATTGCATTCTGGCCGGGCGTATGACGAGGACGATGGTCGACGTCGACGCCGCAGATGGCAGGAACCAAGCGGTTTCTCAAGTGCAGGGGACTCGTGGGGCCTGAGGATTTCCGAGGACTGAGTACGAGTAGGAGTGCCGCAGACATTTCTCCAGTAGGTGAAGAGGAGTCGCGATCATGGATTCGGAGGCGTCGAAACGATCGGGGACTGACTCAGTCCCCGACCTGGAGGCAGGACTCGCTGCTCCACTTCTGCCTGCAGGACCTGCTGCTGATCCGGAGCCCCTCTCGAGCGGAGCGCGAGAGCGCGAGCACTGGCAGGGGCAGGCGCAGGAGCAAGGCCGCTACATTTACGAGGACGATAGCCCGCCGGAGCTCGAACCAGAGGTCGGTGCTGACTTCGTGTCCAGGATGCGGAAAATGGTACACTTTTGGTGGAGCTCTCGCGAGCTGACTCCGTGCAGGCCGAAGCTGTACATGGATCGCCTGGTGTTCCTGGTGGTGGCCACGGCGCTGGCCGTGCTAGCCGCGTGCAGCGCGGTGATTCTCACGTACATAGTGGTGATGATGGTGCTGGTTCCTCGCGTGGTGGTGGTGAACTGCCTGGTGGATCCGTTCATGGCAGAATCGCCCGACTGGGGGCCATCGCTGATCGCTTGTGGCAGCGCTCTGATTCTGGGCGTGCTGTTCATACTCGACGGCTGGGCCGAGAGGACATATCGCAAGGAATGGTTCGGGCTGTGCGACTGGAGCGACTCGTGGATTTGCCTCGGGGCGCAGCTCGTGCTGCTGTACCTCTTCTTCGAGACCGTGTACATTGCGCTGAGCACCTTCATCCTCTCGTTCCTCACAGTGTCGCCCAAGGTGGCGTCGCTGGGCGTGAAGCTGGTGGCGGCGGCCGGGCCTGTCAATGTGCTGGCGCTGCTGCTGGCCAGCGCCACCGTCTGCGTGCTGCTCGCCGTGTTCGTCTTCTACACGGAGCGCAGAATCGATGCGGCCGTGGCTCGCAGCACCGATGAGCATTCTTCGTCGATGAAATCCCTGGCCTGGAACACTCTAGTCTTTGTCGACACCGTGTTTCGCGTTATCCACTACTTGTTTTTAGGCGTCACGCTCTTGTGTTGCATCTACTTCATTGTGTACGGAGCTTTTCACTTTTGTTCATTCGTCATCCACCACATCATCAACGCCTTCTTTGTACACGATCTCCCCGCCGTCATCCCTTTCCCTTCTCTCGATTGATCAATCAGAACAAAATTCAATAAAAAGAATTGGTGAGCATGAGCACATTCGTCCTCGTCTTCGTCTTCGTCTCGTCTTCGAATTCGAACGCATTCTTCGCCTCCTCATCATCATCCTCTTCCTCCTCCTCCTCCTTCAGCTTCAGCTGCAGCTCCAGCTCGTCCTTCATCTTCTTCACTCAGATCAGATCCCTCAGTACTTCGACCTCGAAAGCGTGCTTGCAACGAGACGATGTCGAGAACTTGCAGTGAGCATCAAGCTCCCACCGAGCGAACTGCGTATCCAAGAGTTTCTTCCAGGACGGACCACGTGGATAGACGGAGAAATCCTCTACCGATGCTCTCGAAGGCCCCTGATGAAAAGAACTCGAGCTCCTGGTGTCGTCCTCTGTTCTCGAAAGACATCCGTCACATCTGTACGTGTACTGATTCCAAGAAGTTACAGCGATTCAAATCCATGATCAAAGTAAGAAGAAGCAGCAGGCAGGCAAGGCAAGGCAAGGCAAGGCAAGGCAGGCCGGCGTGCCCACCAGTTTCATTGCGACTTGTGCACCACCCTGGGTTCAAACATCGTACGTGAAATTACCAGCTCCATATTTGCTCTGCTAGTGCATTCTTTCGAGTGAAATTTGCAATTCGGGCAGAATCTTCAGTTAGCGTTCCCTCATCTGGTAATTCTGAGCACTCTGTACTTACTTGTACGGAGACTGAAGATTGTTACTCTCGATCAATATACTTCACATGCTCGAAATTTGGAGAGTGGGAGCTCCCAGTCAGTTTCATTCGATCTTACATTTTTCATTACTTGTGCTGTTTCAAGAGAACGAGACCTTGTCTCACTCCTGAGTGCAGAGTCATGCCTGAGTCCAGTAAATCTGAATGTTGCCAGACTGACAGATTTGGTCACCGAAGTTAACTTTATCGTTTCTGTTTTGAGTGTACTAATACTGACATTTCTGAATTATCACATGGTAAAGTCGGGCTTTTTTCTGTCCACGGTCCCTCCTAGCCCAAAGCATGGTTGAGTCAATCTATGGGCCGCAGTGATGCGTCCAGAACTGCAGTCTGCAGCAGCCGTACACAACATTGCACACGTAGAGAGTGTGGAAGATTTTCACTATTTTCCATAGCAGCTCGTGGCTATTCGACTCACAAGTTCTAGACCTGGACCTGACGCTCTACTGTGCTGAGCCAACTCCGTCGTCGTCAGCACATTGTTACTGTGGACGTGCACTCAGTTTCGTTGACTTAACTTTGTATATTTGGTTTAATTTTAAGTTATGTTGATTGGAGTGCAATAAGTGTGTGGATGGAACGTCACATTGTTGTATACCAGGCTAGCCTCCACCGCGAAGCAGGAGACATGTGGTTTGGAGGTGAAAAAACCCTCAGATCCACAGCAGGATTCATTAATGGATTCGGTCAGAAGGCAGAAAAGCAAGCCGTACTCTTTGGACTCGTGCTCCTCTCGGCACTAGATAACTCTGCTCATAATCACATATAGAATGAAACGGCCTGACATCGCCTTCGTCAGAACTACAGCTACATAACTGAGGACCAAACAGTGCCTAGCCTAGATGAGATCTATTGGTGCGATGATGACTGTAGTGACGCTGTTTCACCCTGACTGTAGCATACGAACGCTAGTTCGCACCTTCCATATAAATGGTCGTGAGCTCTACGACCTGCATGTTTGAATGGCGCTCGTCGCTTGTTGCTCGATTTTGTCTATCAGGATCAAGCCGTTCTCGTGGGAAAGTCGTGCAGTGCATTTGATTGCTCACTCGTGTTCAAAGCGACTTCCTGGCAAAGAATATGGAATACCGTGAAAGTTTCGGTTGGGATTCCAAATCCAGCCAACCATCGCTCTCACTTCTCCCTTGCTTTTGCTACCAAATGATTGTATCATACTTTCACAGTGTAAAGGGGGCGACCCTCAAGATTGAAAGTATGAGGTATAACCGACCAAACAGAATGCAGTGCCGAGGCCAAGAAAGGCCCGGCTAAAGACAAAGAAGATTGAAAAGGTCTCTCTCCGGTAAAAATTTCGATCAAAGCGAGGTCTCTTGAATGTCCTGGACCCAATTAAATTGATGTCTCTAACCTGCATACTACATAAGTAAATTTCTTTTAATTCGAAACGTAGCTAGTGAAATGATACACTAATAGAGAATTGCGGACTAAACACGGGTTTGAAGAATATAAACGAATATTCGTAGTCACTGGATAATACGCCTCGGATTTCCTCCATTGTGCGGCCTGGTATTTGACGTAGTTTGAGACCAGGTTGATTCTAAGCAAGTCAGTAGAGGCATGAAACTGCTGTCAGAGAGTATATCCATGGTTAAATATGGTACGATGGACACAAAGAAAAGGGTGCCCCTCAGAATTTTATTTTACACGGAAAAAGTCGAACTTCCATGTGCAAACCCTGTTACTCCCGATGGAAGAACAAAGAAAAACATGAGATGGTTTCCAACTCAGGTCTACAAGACGACGATGAACTAGTGACAAGACGGGAATGTTTGTGATTTGTCTTGAAGATGGTGAACAGAGGAACTCCAAGAGAAATGGTCAAACCCTTTAAATTCCAGTATATTCTGTTGTGATGAAGAAAACTTCTGGTAAGGTGGAGTTCCTTCCACACAACGTACACCAAAGCTTACAATTCAGGAGCATTCCCATTGTAATCTAGTCAAATGTCCAGGCTGAGATTCCTGTTACCAGTATCACGTCGCTGGGATTTAATTTGATCGATGCCTCGAGACCAAAGACCAAATTTAGATGGACTCCTTGTACCTGGTTACACCTTCAGAAAACGTCAGAGAGTCTGGACGGAAAGTTGGCTTTAATAGATTTCTTCGGTTGTCACTTTGGGTATCGTATTCAAATCGAATCCCTAACAAATGTTCCTTGAAGTTTGGAACCTGCATGAATGAACTTTAAAATCGAGGGATAATCCTACAATGAAATCATCCAATTCGGCTTCAATAGTTGTATTCCAATGTCTCAGTTAGTGTTGTCCACTACCTCCTGCATGTCATGTCTGCTGAAATCCAAGGTTACTGGTGTGACTTTTACATTCAGTATCAGCACATGATCGAGCGATTGCAATGCAGAGTGCTCTCAGAGGAATTGAACTAATTGACGTAGCATGGGCTAATATTGTCCTGAGGTTATGTTGTCAATTGAATCAATGTGGTTGGAATCTACAACCACAAAATACGACTAACTCGATTATGTGCCCTCGCAGACCAACTAGGAACTGGATTTGCTTTTTTGGAGATACACTGGCTTAAATACGTATAGGTTGTTGGTGTGTTTTGGTGTCACTAGTTATTACTACAAGAGATGACTATTCGGCGTGCTAAGAAACTCCGCTCCTTGGAGCGCAAACCATAGATCTACAAACCGGTTATATTCCAAGGTGACCAAAAAAATTGCATTCTCAGTCTTCTCAATTCTATGCTCGTTGCTCCCACAAGCTCAGAATTGCCCATTCCTCTGTTAAAATACGTTCATCTGCAATCGAGTGAAAACTCTGGACACTACGGAACAATTTAGTGATCGGTGTGTATTAGTGTGTTATCGTTAGAAATTACACCATCAAAATGTGGCAATCAGAGGACATATCTCAGAGCGCGCCATTCATTTTCGTCAATTGTATCTGTAATCATAAACCTTCATACGCGTTTAGGTGCGAAGAAAGAACGAGTTCGGCTCGGAGAAACTTTTGAAATGAAGTGAACCAATTGCTTGTAGATATTATCTGGTGAGAAATTCTGATAAGATTCAGCGCGGTAGTTCGATACACACAGCATCCGGATTTCATGGTGTAACCTCTGTAATCGGACATTTTGATGGTGTAATCTCCAACGATAATAAACGTGTAATCGGGAAGAATCCTGTAATAGCTGATTCTTGATGTAACTAACAAACACTTGAACACCCATTTAATTAGGATGTCGACTTTGGAGCCGATGTATGAACTGAAGTGCAGAACTTCTTTGGAGCAGCCACATTTTCAAGGTGACACGGACCATTCCTTCATTCGAGTGGCAAGCGCTCGAAATATGTGGTAAACACAAAGATCTCGATCCGCATTCCTGAGATGTGTTGAGAAAAATATGGATCACCATGATTCTGTCCGGTCCAGTGTTCACGGCATTAGGACTCTGCATCTCATCGTGCTTCACTTGGTTAACTGAAATGAGGACGACGACCACGAACTAGGGCCACTGTAGGAATTGCGCGAAAGAAATAGCCCATTGAAAATGCTCGGAACGCATCGATTCATGGCAGTTTACCTGGACCATTTGGTTCGAATCTAAGCCAGGTAGTATCGGAGAACAAGCGGGCCAGGCGGATCTGGGGGCGTGACCCAAACCGTTCCTTCCTTTGGGAATGCCGGCGGCTGCGGACTGAGGAAGAGCCGTGATCGGATGAGCTAATTTTCTTCTGGGGAAACATGTACTGCTATCGTGACTTATTTTACCCTGATCACAAGATGGATTAAATCCGACAGTACTGTACAGAATTGAGCCTGATCAGGAATCTCGATTATCCCCTTCATTGCTCCAAACAAACTTTTTTATCATCTGCAAATCCTTCCTAGCCATTACGCATCGCAGCTAGACAGACCGGTGGTGCTCTCACCACTGGTCTAATTAGCAAGAGTTCGTATGATCGTCGTCGACATTCGTGACAATGGACCAGAGACATGTTTTTAAGATGGGCGTTACCCCCATCCGGAGATGGAAACTGAATCCAAAAGAAGAACAGCCTAAGGAACAAAGGCAAAAGTAAACGGTTCATCGTACTTTGCTTCTGATACATGTTCAGAAGTCATGGACAGATCAGAGAACCGTACTATGACGGAAGGCTGATATAACATGATCATGGCATGATAATTCCAGAAAATTGATGAGGTATTATCATTTAAGAATATCGCAACTTTGAATCACTGGATGCATGGGTAGTCCTATGAAAGTTATTTCTCACCTTTTATACCCTCAAAGATTCAGGAAAATGGAAACGAAAAAGAAACTATATTCACTCTTGATTTAGCTTGATTAATCTATCCCAGATAGGCGCTGAGAGAACATTTTAGAAGTCGGACTGGAGACTCCACTTTACCCACTCAACTCCTTCCATTCCACCCTACTTTGTGTGCATCAGCTACCCCAAGTTCATAGCAGAGCTCAGACAGTGAGCTCCCTAGGAACATCCACCCGTCCATCTCTGCTAGAATCCTGACTTGGTATGGTTTCAGACAGACGATGAGGGTTGAAACAAGCTCGCAGCGCGCCAGTTGGTAGAAGAGTTTCGCAGAGTAGCACAGTCGATTTTGACAAAGCACATTCACTGGCCAGCATGTGACCATGTATGTGTTTCATGTTCGCAGTCAACTACGGCGTGATGTTAGACAAATATAGAAAAAGTGTGTTTGTTTTCCCATGAAAATTATCGCCTCAATTAAAACAGTACTATTTTCTACTGATTGTCAGTTAAACCTCACTTTTTATGCAGATCGCACAATGTTATCCCTCCTGAAAGCATATGTTCCCAAAACCACTTAGAATTTACTATCAAATGTAATTGCCCAAGCAGTAGCGAACTTGCACTGCTTATGTTCGAGCCTGTTATGATCCTGCAATAATGTATAAAATCAGCAAATATGCATCATAACGATTAAAACGTTGATGGACAGTTAAAACACTTTCAATGATGGGATGGGGTGGAATAATGAGACAGCAGTGGAAAGTGTTCTAGCGAGGGGTTCTTCTTGTCATTGCTTGGATGTTCTGGAGATCATGACGATTGGAAGACGTCCTTCCAAATGTTTTGCATCTCGGATGTCGATCGTGGGTTGCTGCCTGAAGGACCTGGAACAGGAGAACGGCACTTGGATGGATCTGGACGACATATATTGAAATTCAACAAATTGGGCGGAGTCAACTCTATTCTATGAAAGTGCTCCCTCACTGCGGGCTCGATCCATCGATGGTCATGAGTGCATCCATGACAACCAGCAGATTCTCACTCAAGCATACCCAGACATCCACAAGGTGAGGTGGAAGTTTTCAGCAAAAGACACACTATTAAAGACTTCTTGAACCGATCAACTAAATTCCAGATTAAACTTAAATTTCTTCAAAAAAGTTTTCCAGCATCTTGTGCCAAGCTCAATGTGCTGTTTTGAGCGTATTTACTTAGATTAGCCCATTAGAAGATGATTTGAGGCCGATTGCCCATTATCCTGGCCAAGTGACAATGGGGCTTGGTCTCTTGAGACTGAAGAGTGGCAAACGATGCATCTAAGCCTCGTCTGAAGTGAAAATTCTCCAGACTTTCTGTCTGGGATCTTTGGGATCAGAGAGAGATTTAGGAACATGGGAAGCCATGCATCGTTCTGGGCTCGAGCTTGAGCTTTTGTGTCGGGTCCACTCACGTGCAGGAGTCCACATGATAATAGAGAAATTCTTGCTAATTGCACAGTGGGAAGGATGCAGGGAAGCGCAAATGGTGCGGCACAAGGGAGAAGTTTGAGAGAGAGGCCCGTAGGAAGCGAGTGTGACTCATGGAGAGCTTCGACCAGCGCACATGCTGCAACAGTTGGGAAATGTGGCGGGATGTCACATTCATCAATGGGGATATTATTCTTTACTGCTCAGACCATGGCGCTGACCGCACAGTCCTGGCGCTGTGGGGAAGATGCCGGCAACGCCGATAAAGAGAGGGAAAACCGCATGGCGAGGACTTTCATCTGCCTTCTCCAACTCCTGCAGCTGTGCTATCTGCTATAGACCAGGACAGGAGTTGGAGATTTTACTTGACATTACCAATTGCTGAAACTTCTGCTCACCAACTCGTCGATCTAATTGAACGTCATAGGTAGCTAGCTTTAGGTAGTCGATCGCCGGCGCCGCAGCCAAGATTCGAAAGGCAGTGCGCAAACAAATCGGTTCCCCTTCTTGCAGGAGTCTCGAGAAGCAGATCGAATTTCTCGTTCGACTCAGGGAAGAGCTCAGGCGAGCGCGAGTCTCATCACTGGACTCGCCACCTCCCATCACTGGACTCTGTACCGTGTCGAATCGCTCGAGGATTCATCAATCACCTCGGGTGTAATCGGATTGCCTCATCCACGTCTCTGAGGAAGCAGGAAATGGATCGATAAGACTCTCCCTCCAACACTAGATTTCGCTCGCTCACATCTTATCGTGAAGCATACAGCAACTAGGTGAGTGGGATTCTGGGTTCTTGTGATCTTTGTCTGGATGAAATTGCAAGCAAATTCTTTCACGGACAGCGTCAGATTCACACGGTAAAATGCTGTTAGAATATAATTTGCGTCGACCATCATACGATCGCAAGTGCTGAGACTCCGATTGCTGATTGCTCTGGCTTGCAGATCAGGATTTTTGTTTCAAGTCACCAATTTGGATTGAGGCGGCAGCGGCAGCAGCCCTCTGGAAAGGACAGGAAAGGGAAGGACATTGTGGGCGGAATGGGGAACGGGGAATGCAATTAGGAGGCAGAGCAGCATCTAGAACTCGCCAGATCTCCACCTTCTTAGTTAGAAAGCGTGGAGAAGCTGGTGGCGTACATGCGAACGCCTGGAACAGGTTGGAGATCGGTCGATTGGCTGTGCAGACATGAGGGAACCTGCGGGCAATTTGGGGGGACGGGCGGCCATGGAGACAAGCGCTTGCGCAGGTAAGACTCGCATCTGCCTGTACGTGACGGATGTCGAGGCAGGGATCATGTACCCGGAGATGGAGGTGGTGTTCAGAGACGCGACCGAATGTACGACGGCCTCGATAAAAGAGGCCGAGGACAAGAGGGAAGAGCAGATTTTCCATCCGGAGATGGAGAAAGTGTTCGGCGACAACACGCACTGGGCGACGCTGACGGATTTGGAGGCAGTCCAGAAGATGACGCAGTCTCGAGGCAAATCAAAGTCCGTCGGCAGGTCCAAGTCGTTCGATCACTTCAACACGAAACGCGACGTGCTGGAGGCTCTGCACTCGTGGTGGAATTCCATCGACTCCATCAACTGCAAGCCCAAGCGCCTCATGATCCTGGCCCTGTGGTTCATAGCCGTGGCCGTCTTGCTCATGATGATCCTCGTCTGCTGCATCATCGTCTTCGTCTTCACGTCCGTCGTCCTCTGGGGCCCCATGGTCGGCATCATCTTCTTCTGGCTCCTCCCTTACTGCGAGCAGGCGCAGGCCCAAGCTCCGGCCTACATCGCCGGCCTGCTCACTGTCTGCAGCGCCGCCATTTGTGGATTCTTCTTCGTTGTCGTGGTCACGGATGATAGTTATGTGTACAAGCATGCCCTCCCGGACGCTTGGGGAACTCTGTGCGACATGAGCGGCTACTCCTTCAGCTGCATCGCTGCGCAGCATCTGATCGGCTATGCTCTGTTCCAGGCCGCTCACGTCTGCCTCTTCATCGTCGTCGGCCTGGCCTGCTACGCCATGTCGAGCCTGTGGTGCTTCTTCTGCAGCGACTAGCTTCCAATCCATTCGAGCGCATGGATTGGCAATCGAGACCCTCGAGCTCCGATTGGTATACATACTGTATGTTTGTAGTTTAGCCAGACACGACGTCCAAGTTCGAATGCTTGCACAGCAACTTTCTAATCACCACTAGTTCTTAGATTAGATAAGAACGGCTAGCGTACATGCTGTTCATCAGGCGCATCCTCAAACTGCAGCCGGATGGCTGACTTTGATATTGTCTGGACAACGACAAGTTGAATAATTTGTAGCAGAGTCAGATCCTGAGCTGAGCTTAGATATAGAGTAATTGAACACATGTTAGGGATGCTTGATCAACAGTAGCAGAAGAGAGTGTTTGAACAGATGAATGAATTTTTGGTCTCTTGGGGGCAGACAGACCAGCCACAGAAGTGGCACTAGAGTTGATCGAGGCTGATCGAGCTTGCTAGAGAGTCCGAAGCGAATTTTCAGGAAGTTCTCTGGTGTCAACCAGTCCCTCCTTTCAGAGTAGAGAATCTGGGCTTTGTACCATGACTTGTAAAACACAGCATCCGGATGATTCCATCGAGAACTCAACAATCTTCGAGATTGATAACTCACGGGCAGGCAGAGCTAGGCCAGGAATGCCATTGGGCTCGGCCGCTTGCATCAGTTGAAGTACATACATGACATGACATGTCGCGCCAGTACAAGATGCTGCGCGACTGTAAATGGTTTTGAAGAAATCAAAAAAATCTTTATACTATTCCATTCAATCTGAATTAATTGAATTACGAACGACTGGATCTCTGACGGACAATTTCAGCGTTGTCTGTCCTTACGAAACAGTCTCTCATTTCTTTTTAACCTGATCATCCTTCACTTCCAGCCATGATCGAAGTGCATGTTCTTGTGCATCTCGAACTCACAGATATCTTTGTGTGAATTATGCCGACGTTGAACTGCCTTGTGCGCCAAGCCCCTAACTTGCTGACCTCGAAATTTCCATTCTATATCATCCAACGTAACACACAAGCAGCCTGATTTAGTAACTCCAACCGGTTCCATGTTACATTCTGTTGCATACCTCCTCGTGGAAGGTGAATTTCCCTTTCGGCGCATCGAAGCTTCTCATCACATGAGCAAAAAACAGAGTCTAGCATCTTGCTTTCTGAAATTGGTCAAAGGCATGTCTATCTTAAGTTAAAATGTCCTACATAGTCTATATCGGGTGTATATGCGCTTTGGCTGCAGCTCTGAATGGTGCACCGATCGCAGGACTCACAGCTTATTCATTACTACACAAAGCTGCGGTCCTAGTCACATTCATCTCCTGGAATGAGGGTCAAACGAAGAAATTTTGACGTCCATCCAGATTCTTTGGGAAACCACGAGAAGCGGGAGCATGCGAGAGATTTTTTTCTGCAGTCAGAGATTCTGATAGGCAGAGCTTGTCCCATAGAACAGTATTCGACCTCTCACATGAGGCTGAAACAGAAGACTGTAGTGTCTGACGCTTACAATATGCGTATCACCACCACTGTAAATTCGAATCTCAGCATCCTCACCACAATGTTACAGGTTGCATCTAATAGTAGAATGTAGAGACAGGGCTTGAACACTGTGCGTGTGAGAGGTACTGTACAATATTTACAACCTCTCGGTGTTTTCAATTTATGCTTGTATGTGGTCAGTACAGAACTGAACACAAAACCATCCACATAAATAGGCACACCACATTACCTTACTCCACTTTATTTATCTACCACTTCTTTGATCAGCCACGATCAAAAAGGTGGCAGGACTCACAGATGGTGACACTTTGCGCCCTGGAATCCACCAACAGTGAATTCAGACAGACTTTCAGCAAACTACATGCCAGAAAACGCAGAGGAAAAAGGCACACTTGTCCGAGCTGAACATGGATATGTACAGCTATTTGGTTTTTTGTACACATTGAGGAATATGTTTACAGGGAAGCACTGTTAGCGCTGGCATGATGATGAAATGTAGGAACTTAGGCTGCGTCTTTATGGGTCTCAGCGGGCTTCGTCTCTACATGAGGCTTGGTATTCTACAGACAAGAAGTAACGATGCCGGATTAGCTGTCAGTTAGGCAGGCATGAAAGAAGGGTTTTTAAAGACTTTGTTACATGACACTGCCCATCACTGCAATTCCTCGTCTTCACGTTCATATTTCTGGGCCTCGTCTTGCAGAAGGTAGTATGTTTGCACCAATCTTCATCACACGGACAATGAGGAAGGCAAGATCTTGCAAACGGAATTTTGAGAAAACTTGACTCTCTAGTGACTTTACTCGTTGTCTTCAGCAATGTTCAAAGTGAAACAAATAATCTGCTGAACAGAAATCTATGAACTGCAATCTGCGAATGTGACTAGAGAAATGTCGTGAAGTTTAGCGAAGGCAGGCACCAAAGGTAAATCATTGTTTTGGGAACAAGTTGTTGGACTTGGTCCGGTCAGCTTTGGCAGGAGCATAGGAGACAGTCTCTTTGGCATCACCGGACTGCATGGTTGCCTGCTGATTTTCACTTGATTGAGAACCCTCGAGAGTGTTGATGTCCTCGAGGTTCTTAAGCTTGGCAGATAACTAGGTCATAGATACTCAACCTACGGAAAAGACTGGGACTCGACTGAAGTACACGGGAAGCTAAGAGAGTCAATTGGACACGAAAGCAGGAGAACACAAAATCCAAAGCCAAGTACACAAGCACACTCAGAGCAACCTCCAGACGAGTTAGATGCAGCTGAGAGATAAAGCAAAATACCCAAGGCGTTCATCTGGATGACAAGACAGCGTCCAATTTAGCACCAAAGGCCAGATTACTGAGGTTCACCACTTTGAATTTTCACCAAGACTCAACTCCGACGCTTACGAATAGAGCGCTCTTTTCTCTGCCAACCTTCACTCCGCTGCTTTCATCACTCCTTTGCAGAACTGTACAATTGGGACCCCACTCTAGGTCGAAGAGCCATAGCCATCCGAACACAGAAATCCCAAAACTTCCGCCCCACTAACAACTCTCAGTTGATCCCCGGGATAGGCCCATCTCGCGAATTCAAGTTCAGTTGCGGATCGAAGGCTCCAACATCCATGCCCAATGCAAAGTGATCCTCACGTAACAGGCACCGCCCACTGCTGAAGAAACAGAGGCAAATCAACTCGATTGCTCCGGCCTCAGTCTAAAGGCCAAAACCGAAGTCGAATTTTCCTCTACCAGTTCCTTGCACATTACAATCGAGCGATTCCCTCACCTGCACTTCCAAACTACAACTAGATTACAATCTCACGAGAACCTTGATTACTTCCGCAAAACTTCTCCCGTCCTCCAAATCACCAAATTATGGTCAATTGCGACCAAGTGGAAAGATCGCATCACCACTCACTGAACTACTTTCGAACATGAACAAAACTAAAACTTGAGTTCTTCTAGTGAAATTGACCTATTTTTCCACACTAGAAAACATGTGAATATTGATTGGTAACATAACCTTCACAATCACTCCAAAAAAGACTCCAAGTGAAGTTGTTCTACTCCAAACGCTACGCTCCGCTCCGCTCGAATAACTCAAGGGCGAACATCTCTTCATATCATCCGTCTTCCTCGAATGTATACTTCGGTGCTCTTCGGAACCCCGAAGTAGTTAAGAAAGGGACACTCCATGATGTCCAATCTGGACAGGTTGGCCAGATTGCCGAACGATTCCGGGAATTTTTGGATGATGTCGCAGTCCTGCATCGTCAAGTGCGACAACTGTGAAAGCTGCCCAAAAGTATCCGGCAAGGCTTGGAGTCGCATACAGTAAAGCTCCAGGACGCGCAGACTAGCGAGACGGCCGAAGCTCTTAGGCAGTTCTGAGATTTTCACTCCATCTATTACCAGGCTTTGTAGCTGGGACAGATTTCCGAAGCTCTCAGGCAGTTCTGAGATTTTCGTTTCACGTATTTCCAGGCTTTGTAGCTGGGACAGATTTCCGAAGCTCTCAGGCAGTTCTGAGATTTTCGATCCATGTATTTCCAGGCTTTGTAGCTGGGACAGATTTCCGAACGAGTCCGGCAAGGCTTTGAGGCTATTCATCCCTATTAGCCTCAAGTCTTGCAGTCGAGCGAGATCGCCGAAGCTCTCAGGCAACTGCCTGAGAGGTGAGATTATCTTTCCATGTATTACCAGGCTTTGTAGCTGGGACAGATTTCCGAAGCTCTCAGGCAGTTCTGAGATTTTCACTCCATGTATTCTCACTCTTTGTAGCTGGGACAGATTTCCGAACCCGTCCGGCAAGGCTATGAGGCTACTCATCCCTATTAGCATCAAGTCTAGAGCGAGATCGCCGAAGCTCTCAGGCAGTTCTGAGAATTTCTTTCCATATATTTCCAGGCTTTGTAGCTGGGACAGATTTCCGAAGCTCTCAGGCAACTGCCTGAGAGGTGAGATTTCCTTTCCATGTATTAACAGGCTTTGTAGCTGAGGTGAGATTTGCACTCCATGTATTACCAGGCTTTGTAGCTGGGACAGATTTACGAAGCTCTCAGGCAGTTCTGAGATTTTCGTTCCATGTATTACCAGGCTTTGTAGCTGGGACAGATTTCCGAACGAGTCCGGCAATGCTTCCAAATACCAACACCGATGAAGTTTCAAAGACCGCAGTCGTGAGAGTCCTCCGAAAGCTTCGGGGAATGAACGAAGAAGTCTGCACAAGGTAAATGTAAGATGACGAAGCCTGGAAAGTTGTCCGAATGCTTCGGGAAGACCTACGAAGAGGCATCCTTCGAATTTTATAACTTCAAGGTTTTGAAAGTCGCTCACGGTTGTTGGCAAACATGTGAGCGGTGCCCTCAAGTCCAGAACAGCCAAACTTCTTGCGAGCCCTCGGTCTACCAGGTCATGAAGAATGTTCACTTCTCCACGGAGTCGTAGAAGGATCACAATCTTTGGAAGCTTGCCACCTACTTCATCCCGCATGGATACCTCGGAATCCAAATATTGCAGCTTCTTCATCTGGCCAATATCTCTCCAGATATTGGCCAGATCCTCTCTCGTGTCGAGGAGCCACGAGTGTTCAAGTCGTAGCGCTATGACCTCCTGCACCAAAACACCCAGGGCCTAGTTCACATCCCAGGCCACAAATATAGTCCATGATCTAAACTTGACCTACCAGACTTGTAGCATTTCACTTGATCAGGGCCATCTAGTCTTCAGGTTCAAAGTCAATGACATCCTTAACAGGAAAGTCCAAATTGAGTGAGGAAGAGCATCCGTTAGAGATCACAGGCTCAACAGAAACCAGGTATTTGACAACTTTGTTCGTAGGTTAGCTACGATGCTGGGGGACGGATTGCCGACAAGACGCTGCTCGATTCAAAGTCCAGATAGGGTCAGGATGAGCAAACCCAGTAACGCGGTGTAGAGACTATATAACGTGATGAATATCCCGACAGCAAGATAAAGAGAGAAAGTGCGCTATCAATGACATTATGAAAGTAAAGTTGTTTGATCCCTAAGGGAATTTCTAGGAGTAGCAAAACCAGTGCGTTGATTGTTATGAATTACGTTTAAGAAGGAAATGCTGCAACTTTATAAAATTATATCACTGATTTCTCACAGAAGCACTCTCAGTAACAGTGAAGTGCTTCAAAAGACATTTATGTAGGAAAGATAGAGGATCTACTCAGACAAATTCTTGGGTTCAAGAAAGCAGTATGTTGACCAATAGGAAGGGCAGTGAAGCTTTGGAACGGTCGTGTACAAGAAGTCAATAAAAAAAGTTCAGCGAAAAAAACCCGACCGAACAATGATGTGCCTCTGTTGAAGTGAATTTTAATGATCTACAACAACAACCGATATCTGACATGGGAGTGTACTATAGAGAGAAGACTAAACCTTGAAAGTCAAAGTAACATAATCTCGTACCTCAATATGTGTTGCCATACCAGTGCTTGATGAGCCTGGATCATTGGAATAGAATTGTCCTTCTGCAATCCTCTCATTGTAGTTTGAGGAATTAAACCTCGAAGGAAAATTTTTGGAAGTCCAAGTCCTACATCTGCCACCTGTTCCCCATCCTGAAGCCAATCTATTTCCCAGAGACCTCAATTGCTCATGCATTTGTATACTTTTCTCTTCCGTTACATTGTAAACGAGAGACAAGTCTACCAGAGTCTGCCATCGGAGATCTTCGAGTCCATAGAGCACACGCCAGCAAGCCTTAGCTTCTCGCAGTTTCCAGGTGGAATTACTGAAGAATGACGCAGCATCAAGGAATATATTTTTCTCCTGACTACCCAAACGGTCGTAAGAAACTCTCAATTTCGCCCACAACTGGTCATCCAAACGCATTATGTTTTCTGCTTCATCCAGAGCGTGGAGACACTGCATCCATATGTTTTCACTGACTTTCTTCTTCAGATACTTGCCTATCACCTCTAGGGTTAATGGTAGTCCATCACATTTCGCGACGATCTTGTGTACCCAATCCTCCAGTGATGGACTCGGTTCGGTCGGATTCGGAAATGCGTAGCTTTTAAATAACTCTGTAGAGCTCTTGGGATTCAAGAGTTTCACGTCGAACACGTATGAATCCAAACTATTCAAACTGCTCAAAATGTCTCTATCTCTAGAGGTAACAATGTAACGACTGTTTGCACAATCGTTCTTTGAAGCTATGTCCTCGAGAAGTGCAACATGACTACCATTGTCAATGTCATCCAGAACAAGGAGAAGTGTTTGCTGTCTCAAGTCAGTCGGTTTCCATTTTTCCACTCCTTGTGTAACCTGTTTGCCAAGGTGATATATAGACGAATATATTTTGTCTTCTATCTCCTTGGTATTTTTCATGTTTGTACAACTAGGAACGAAACAAGTGTATTCGTATTCAGCACACAACTCATTGAACACCAGCTTTGCGAGAGTTGTTTTCCCTATTCCTCCCATGCCGCAAAGAGCAACTGCTGCTGGACCTGTGCGTATAATGTTTTGAACCTCTACAAGTAAGTCAGAATGTAGGCTCATTGCCATTTTCGGCACCGTCTGGAGATTATCAGGAAGTCTTCTCCTGTTCACCTATATCCAATCACAGTAGCCAAACGCAATTCAGATTTGTAGGTTAGGAAGAATCTCACTCAACTAGAATGAACTCTTGCTTGAAAGCCACAATTTGAAATCTTGTTGACAGGGATCTAGTTATCTACGGACGCCCACAATAAATTCGTGTGGTTTCTTGAACCTACTTTGGCTCTCATACATCTGAAAGAGGGTCTCATGGGCTAATCTTTGCTTTTATTGACGAACAATTGCAATTGCCAAGACAGAGGACATGTTCGTGTGCGCAACCTTAATGCTTTGTAACCTTTGCAGGAACGATGTCAACCGTATGTAAGTATTTGAAGTCCTGCTCTTGGGCTGGCAGAGAGAGATATGATCCTCAAGCTCCACAGTAAAGTCGCCGTACCGAGCTGAAGCCTCCTCAACTACAATCATCTCACTGCTATTTGCGACAGCATTTTGAGAGTCTGCATCCTAAACTTCGGAACAGGTTGGAACATACCCCTGGTCAGACTAGTAATCTGAAAATCTTGTATGGTGGATGGACTTCCAAAAGTGAAACTGGAATTCGGCAAACTTCATGAAACCCATCGAGATCTATTGTGAGTGATATCCGAACAATCTCATAAAAGTGCTGGTTTACAAACTATGATATTTTGATGCAAAATTAATGCTGCTGTTTCAGCAGGTCAGAATCAAGAGGATAAAAGTAAAGAACAAATATGTCAGTCTCACACTCACTAGCATGAACGTAGTAGGTCTGGATTCTCCGACTCCAGCAATGCTCCACTTGTAGGACAGACGTAAAGCATCAAAATTTTCATGAAGGCGACCTGATTCTGCGCAAAGCAGCTTGACATAGTCGAGTAGAGGGCTAGCCTCCTTCAGTTTTGTTCCATTTGGAGTGAAGAATGATGAAATTCCATGGTGCGGCGTTCCATAGAAGAAAATTCCTCTGACGGAGTTGAGAAAGTGAGCTATTTGTTTGTCAGAGCGGTGCAAGCTTCCGCTGGATTGTGCGTGGAGGCACAATTGTTTGATCACAAGGCCTCCGTAACTATGCCGACGAGTATAACTGGACGCCAAGGATGCTGCCCCACCTTCGCAATTATAAGATTATGCATCAAACTTTCGGCTGTGAGGTAGAGGTCTAATCTTCCATTCTCTGCTGATGTACTGATAGAAGCATCGTACTCGACAGAGAGAATCCGAGCTCCCGGAAACTCTTGCGGGATCCAGGTCTGCGGCCATACTTCCTTGTGAGAACCGCTTGATATCCATGTTGATAAGTGAGGTACAGAGGTGTGTGACGATTGTAGGCCGTGAAAGAATACAACGTCCAGCACTGATTCAACTCCTGGGTTATAAAGTTCGTACACGGAGTCGCTTAACTGATACATCAGATGCAGATCAGATCAGCAATCAAACAACCTGGACCGATCTTACCTAATGCAGCTCTGAGATTCTTAGATTTCAAGACAAAATTGGATATAGCGCAAACACGTTCCAGAACTGCTAAACCCTAAACTGCTATACTGTACTTTGCATAGATTATTGCGATTTCCTTACCCTCGACGTGGAAGTGGCCGAACACGCAGGGGGCAGAGACATTGTATTTAACTTGCGTAATCGACGCCCGCCCGCTCTAGAAGCACGATGGAGAGCATGCGATATATTTGATTCTCCGCCTCGTCAGTAGAGAAACGCTAATACAAGTGCACAAAGATCACATTGCTCAGACGGAGCTTTGTGATGTCGCTCAATCGAAATCCTCAATCCCTCCAGACCATCCCATATGTGCAAGCAGAAATTACCTTCTCTGTTAGATTCCTTCTTGTGTGGGTGAGTTTCTGAGTTTCCTCGGAAAGCCTTTTGGGCCAATGGTACGCGGTCCAGCTCACATAGACGAGTGAGCTTCAAAACCGTGCGTGGAATCGCGGAGTATCTTTTGACTTTTGAGTCATTCTCAGAAGGTTCTCGTTTGACTTTCCTATATTCAATAATTTTGTACAAGAGTTAAACGTTTTAGCCTCGGGCAGCACACAGTCAACGATCTTTAAAGTGGACTTGAAGATTGCCTTATCTTGCTTTCTTCGAAGTTCTCCAGCCGAGTGAATTCTGTGTAAAGAAGAAAGTGAAGCGGCAGCAAAGCACACGGATTAAGGTGCAGAAAGGTCAAAAGGTGAAAACTGCAATTGCAGGAACAGCCGACAGGCTCGTGCACAGGAACAGGTCGGCTGCCTGCTAAATCCTCAAGCACTGTACCGATAATAGTCCGAGGCAATTTGACTCGATCGTATCGTCTCGTTCTTGTCAAACCAAATCCTTGTGTAACTACACAAGGATTTGAATTCCTTCAACGAATGACCTTGAATTCATTCTCCATTTACTGACAGATATCTGTGTACTCATGTGCACATGACAATTCCATGTCGGCAACTGTTGTCTGGGGGGATGAAGGACTTGCTCTGGTGTATGAGTCATGGTACAAAACACGACGCACTCGAACTTGGATGATTGCACCTGGGAATCTTGAAGCACAAGGGCGTAAGCTTTTTGATCGCTCATCAGAAGATGTCTACGCAGATCCTGGTTCACCCATGCTTCGCAGAACTTCTCTTGGAAGGTACGTTCTTGCAGGTGTCAAAGACGCTGATGGCAAGAAGAGGCTGCTCCTGAATGGAAGTGGCGCGACCCCACAAGGCAATATCCCTTTCTTGGATCTGCTGGAAATGTAAGAATAATATACAATTTCATCATTGCTTAGGCCTTTGTCGCCTTCATGCTCATTCATGTAACAAGCCTGCCAGGAGAATTGTGAGTTCCTCCACCAGGGCTTTCTGATCTTTGCAGTCCAGTTATATCGGAGCCTCCGTTACGAACACGGGACTTACCTTCGATACTTTTCTCAATTGTTTCAGTTGGTGGCTACTATCCTTACTATGTACGCTTTCCCCTCTGGTTCTAGTGTGGGCATCCAAGGCTTGACTGCAAGAAAGTAATAATTAAAACTCAGCGGTCCTATGATTTCTAAGTTCTCGTTGGTTTGGCAGCGAGTCAGGTGAAAAACAGCGAATTTGGGAAAGCAGCAAGGAGACTTATTTCGAGACAGTCGTAGCTTTGATGTCAGATCAGTTGGATGGAGATCTGGACCTGAACAAGTTACGTATTTTGGTCTCAAAGGAATCTCAAACCGAACCACCTCAGTATTATCTGCGATCCTGGCCTGAGCAAACTGTCTGTCAAATTACAGACTTCCCTCATCCGAATCCTCAAATAGCTAATCTGAAGAAGGAGATTATACGATACGAACGGAGCGCTGGTGTGCAACTTACAGCAAATTTGTATTTACCTCCAGCGTATGACCCGGCTACTGATGGGCCACTGCCACTGCTAATGTGGGCATACCCAAGGGAATTCAAGAGCAAAGATAACGCTGGCCAGATGAGAGGATCACCTTATAGTTTTGCAGGCATTGGATCTACTTCAGCATTGTTGTGGTTGGCTAGAAGGTAAGCAAGCCTAAGTGGTGAAGGCAGCAACAGAGGAAACTTTCTATGCTGTGGATTCCTTGGTTTTGTATTCTCATGTGCTTGAAATAATGTTTTCTGTTTGTTTTGTTGTTTCGGGTAGATTTGCTATTCTGGATGGTCCGACCGTGCCCATCATTGGCGAAGGAGACGAGGAGGCCAATGGCAGGTGAAATTCATCTTGTTTAGAGAATGGATGGCATAGTTTTACACGATTACCTGATTTTCAATAAGTAACGTAATTGGTTCTCGTGGAAACCATGTTTTCAAATCAACCATAGTGTATATTTAACTATCACAAGCCATAGTTCGTACATGTTCAGTAAGCTAGATGGTGTTTAGGTAATTCATATTCTGCTCAGGTTATGCCACTCTTGATTCTGCAATGAACTGCAGCATACCCAGAGATGTGTGTCATTCTCTTGCTGAAGGAATAATCTCAAGAATGATTTGGATATTGTGAAGTAAATATGGAGCCTTTGTGCTTGACTGCAGGTACGTGGTCTATCGTAATTTACTCGCAATTGTTCGCTTAGTGACGCTGCATATCATTTACCTTCAGCCGGAGCCCCGATGTCACAAGGTATTTCAGTCCTCCAACCATGAAAGTAAGACAAATCGGCACTCGGATCTCGCTAATATCGGTTAGACGGCCACAGTGGAGGTGGTTCCTCATCTGAGTCAAAATTGATTGTGCTGATCTCAGAGTACTTGCGAAACGGACGCGATGACATCAGAGACGGAAGTAAGTACTTGCGTGCGTGCGTGCGTGCGTGCGTGCTATCATTCGAAAAGATTCACTTCGGCCCCGAGCCTGGTATGGTGGTATAGGATAACGGGCTGAGTGTATATGAGGAAGGGGCTGTCCAGAGCAAGAACGCAAGAACTTATAAAGCAGACACACCGAGTGAAGAGAAGAATGCGCATGGTTCTTTGAATGGGACGTCTTCTTGCGTGTGATTTGAGGACTTGCCTTTGGCGCATATCAATTCGACACATCCAAGTAAGGTGGGCGACATTTTTTAGTCCACAACATCGGTCCGTGCATGAGGATGTGCTGCAGCACCGATGAACAGGCAGGCACTGTACTGGAATACTTTATTACAGATTTCCAGCAGTCTCAAACGCAGCTCCCCGACCTATTATATTGTATTGACCCCGTATTGTCTACACACATGGAATGGTCTCTCTTTTTTGACTCACCTCACAGGCCAACCTCCGGACCACACAATGATTTACATCCGGCCTCCGCCGCCTTGAGGTCGCTGGAATAGCCCGTCGTCCCCACGAGACCATGTGGCTCATTTCAACCTTTTTCTACAGTGCTCGCAGAACCGACATGTTTTTAAACTAAGAAGACAAACTTGACAGTGAGAGAAAGCCCCCAAACCTTAGCTACAAGTTCATGTGTGCATGTCCGAGCTTTCTAAAAGCGTCTGGGAGCGACTTCTCCTGCCTGTCCCTTCAACCAGGCTGGACTAGCTCATACCGACATCAGTTGAGCCTCCCTGGCAAAATTCACAACCTTGGCGTATCAGGATGATTGAGTCGCAGGTCACCATCGTCAAATCTATTTTCAGCCAATTCTGTAAGTCAGATTTCTTGGAATTTGAGTTGTCCATGTTTGCTACGTTCCATCCAAATCTTGAACCACAAGAGCTCAATGAAATCTGAAATATGTTCTATGGCTGGATCTCATTGCTGGCAGCAGTCTTGGTGTTCTCTCTCTCTCTCTCACTCACTCTCTCTGACCTGAACGTTTAGGGTTTAGAGTTGTTCGAGGGACACAACCTTTTTCCGGTCTGAGCACACGGTGAACAGAGTCTGGCCAGTGGATAAAGAACAAATCGAGGCCATCGACCGTCATCCCTTACTACTTGTATAACATGTAAATAAAAATCTAATTACACTTATGATAATAATCACATATTAAATATTAATATTTTGATAAGGAATAAGTCATTCTATTGAAAAGCAATTCATAATCGATTGTTTGAACTGATTTCGAATAAAAATTTTTTAATATTTATATTAAAATATATTCTAATTGGTTTTCCAAATAACTGTTAAAGAAAAATTTGTGTTGTATCAAATTTATATAATTTTGATAAATAAAACATTTATGATGCTGATATCAGAAGATAAAATTCATAGGATGTAATATTTCGAATCATCCTAAACAATTAAATATACCAATATGTTTAAATGAAATATAATTATCTTAAGGTTATTCTAAATATTCAAATTTATTGAAGAAATCATGATTATTTATAAATACATGAGTGAAAAATTCAATAACAGAGAAGTCAAGTATAAAGTGCTAATTATTTATAGCACAATAGTAAAAATCAAGAATTGATGATTTTCATAATAAAAGAGTATGTAAATTCAAGGTATAAAAGATCTGATGCGTAGTCAACTTGTGACGAACATTATTATTCAAAATTTCCAATTTTGTAAAGTGTTATCAGACGGGAAGCACGCCGAAAGATGCACTCATCTCTTCTGTACGTCTAAAGCACTACACATCATTCCCTCGTAACGGATTCAGGCCCGTCAGTTATACTCGGCACAAGGAAGTCATTCGAATCTTGCATCTTCAGATTATAATGTCGAAATTCTTCTGGTCCTTCACAGAGAAGAGAGGAGATTCCACCGCCGAGTAGAGCGAGGGGCTGTACTGTACTCGTGCCGCTGTACAACGACCCCGAACGGGGCCCTGACAAGACACGCGGTGAGATGCACGTGATCTTGCGAGCCCCTCCTGCCTGAATAATTCGGACCTTGGACTTTCTCCTTCCAGAAGTGGAAGGCCGCAAGGCCTCAAGAGCATGATCATTCTATTTTCTTCCGAGCCTCGAATCAAATGGAGCATCAAATGTTTCCTTTCCTTTCCATTCAACGGAAGGTGCCGTATCGACGTAATGGAAAATGTCCGCATTCATTAAACAAGTCGCGATTGCGAATCATGGCCCCTCTTCGCGTGACGAGCAATTGTCAACAAATAATGCGAATGATGACGACGTATCTGCAGTACTGCGACGACGACCGTGCGCGCGCGCAGGACGTCGTCGTGGGCGAGTCGCCGCCTGTACGACGTAGCCATGCAGCCAGCCAGCCAGCCGCAGGAGCGCTGGACCGATGTGACCCCGACTGTACGTGGTAGAACTACGAGGGTCTACCACGCAGATAACTTGGTTCATATTGAGAAGGTCAATGTGACTCTTTGTTTCAATCTTCTCGAGGTTACCCTTTTTCATCGACCCCACCTTGTTCATACACATACGCCTACCATGTACGTAATGTTTGATTTTCCTTGTCTAGCGCTAACTATGCTCGGAAATTTACCCTCGACAAGCCAGAGACATTGAAAAGCCTTCGTAGGATCACTCGTACAATCTCATACTTTTATCATATATGTTGATTGAAATCCAGACATTCTTCAGTTTCTAATCATTCATGTAAGCTTATCATATGGAGGTGTGCAAAGTGAAGACCACATCGATCCATGTTGATCATAACGCGATCTAGCACCTAGGCTAAGACGAGGACAACAAGATGCAGTAGAAATGTTTAAAGGGATCAGACTTAAAGAAGAAACGAGATCCAAAACCACAAAATACTTTGTGGTGAGGAAAAATTTGTTAAATTCAAGCACGAAAGCTAAATCGCATTTTAAGATAGTCAAAGGAAAAAAATGTTAATCCACTGACAAGATCAAAGACGCAACAAAATGCAAGAAGTGTCGTCATAAGTTGAAATAGAAGAATAATATAGAGGGATGAAAGAAGCAAACTAGCCAAATGTATAATGATACCAAGAATATTTTTTGAACGTCTGTAACATATATTCAATAAATTCCAAACAGAAATGATTTTACATGAAATTAGTTGATTGCTGATGGTTTGAATAGCTGGAAACTCGCCTAAAATTTATGTTTCCTAATAAGTCTGTCTTCATCATGGAAATATTGCGAGATTGAATCTATAGAAGATACCTCCCATACTTGACTGAAATACTTCAGGTTGTCTAGGGATGAGGATTAATTTCTAAGGTGTTGATGCCGTTCTTGGAGTTGGGGCAAGAGAGAAAAAGCTTCGAAATCCTTATTGTTGAAGATTGAGTTCTTGTATGTGTCAATATAGAAATACTGTGCTGGTATATGTGAGATTTATGTTTAGACTGCCATCATACCATCCTATTGACACACTGGAAGTTAAGTGGCAGCTATAGTTAATTGATCGGCTCGTTCATTAACTCTCATACCAATGTGTTATGAACTCTAATATAATACTGTAGTGTCATCTTGATATTGATACATTTCAGCAAAGCCATGAAGGTACGTACGATTGGCGATTAGGATTTATCTATGCTCCCACTTTACATCATGTACTACAAATCACTTCCCCTCCTAAGTACTTCGATCCTGTGCACTCATATTACTCTGCATTCAAATCTCATTGAATCCTGGAACGAGTATCCTTCATGAATATTCGATCGAAGACAAGTTTTTTTCTTGTGTCAAAGACTCCAAAGAACTAAATCAAGTGTGAAAAGCAGTATCTTCTCTAGCTTTTGCTGTATCTGCATTTGAATCACAGGAGCATCCATCACATGAACGCATTTATTATGGTGGTATATGCCTGTTGCATTTTATTACTGAAGGCAGCCATCGAATCCGACAGCATAATGACCATTCATTACAGGAGGCATTTCAAGGGAGGAGTTGGTCCCTGATCTCAATATGACTGTACACGCAAATTTTGTTGCTCCATGATTCTGCTTTTATCAGAACGAGGATGATCCAGTCAGATGCTCGATCCACATAGAGAGGAGAGAAAGGACAAGAAAACTAGAGAAGCTGTTTGCTCGTTATGTAAAGACTATCTCAGAGAAACTTGTGCTCATTCTCCAACATCAGAACAAAGCTTCAGAACCGATTTCCAGGAAACCAGATGGCTAGAGCAGTCTTATGACACTGAGTACTCTCCTGGATAAATATTCAGCAGGTAAATTCCTCAACACCCTTACTTTAGCTTTTTTCCCTTCTCATTAAATGAGGACTTTTCTGCTCTACCCGTACATCGATCAAGATTTTGATAACGAACATGCGGATCTGCTGTAAAGTCCTGTCTTCAAAGACTATCGGTCGAAAGCATTTTCTACGGTAATTGTGTGTCAGTCAGGATGTGTAAAGCAGATAGGAGGGGTTCGCTCAAACATTTGAAGCAATCGACTTATGTTATGATGGCTCCTGGCACAAGAGATGAAATTTAGTCGAAAGAAGATGTTTGCGTTCTACATTGTTATGGGAGGTGTAGATTCCTGGACAGAGAACACATTGCAAATAATTTCAAGTGTTGCAGTTGGTTGTGGATGAACTCCAAAACACACCTAACTATCGTAATCTGTGCAATGTGTTTCTGATCCGCAAGTGTACACCAGGTTTCTTTTGCAAAAAGAAAAAAAACACTCGATGCTAGACTTTCACACTGGCCATCGACCTGCATCATTCGTCAAGCACCGTATCAGTAAAGTCTGACACCCTGAAAACCTTTACCGAAGCGAAACGGGGTGAGACGGGATACGTTCGATACCCCCTCGACAACCTACATAAAACCTGCAGCCAAACATAATCTCCCAGATCTGTGGTTATTCTTCTTGGCACTTTCATCTGCCCTATCCACTCGACCGTCCAATGATCTTTGATCATTGGACAGTCAATGTCAACAATGTCAGTGTCAATGTCAGTAAGTAATGATCAGAAAACTTTTTGTCAGATAAGGAAGGAACATTAGACCTGCTGGACTTGAATTCGATTACCATGTCGTCCTTCTTGAAGCCACCTTTTTATTATCCGTATCCAACGCCGACCAAACCCACCCTTAGGCTCGTGCAAGAGCTAGTCTAAAGAGCTTCATATGATCGACCTCGCATATGATAACGGTTCAACTTGTCGTGGGTTCTGTGTTGCCAGCAATTAGAGCTAAGTACTCATCACAGCTCACCATCCAAAATGGTTTTCTAGATTCTTGCCGCCATATTTTTTAGAAAGCAACCTTAAAGAAAATGATAGTTGGTGTTCATGGTGATGAATGGGAACAAAGGGAGATCCAAAGATGGAACTTCATCAGCAGTTCGGGATAAGTGCATCAGCCCATCGTACATCTTTCTTCTTACTGAAATACATATAGTTTTGAGCGTAATGAGCGAAGCGTTAGCTAATGTGAGAAAGTCAGTAGATGGCCAAAGGGCATCGTTATGCTGAAGTTAACATCAAACAAGGGAACGTCTTGCTAGTAACATATCACGAATTAAGGAAACAGAGAGAGGTAGAAGTAGTACTAGTATAATTGTCTATTAATTTATATCCCTCGTAAAATATGAATTACAGTTCTATCGGAAGTATGACACGCCCCACGCTGATCTACCCCATCCATTACCGAACAAAGTCTGATGATTTTCAATAGCTTCTTTGTTATTTCTATATATTGAGGAGTTGTATCCGTTTAAAGTAATTTCGATATGTAGAGACACTCATTGGATATAGTGTTACCTTCCGAAGAAACAGTCAGCTGCCGAATGCTACAGTTTGCTCTGCATCACGCGAACCTTGATGTGCACAAATCAGTCAACTCTGACCTGTGTTTGGGAGAATTTGAGAAAGGTCTTCTTACTTGATGAATGAAGAATTTACGAACTGCGAGTTCTGGCATACTTATGGTATGATCGTCAATAATTTCCAATAATTTCCTTAAATTTAATAACCAACAAGAGAACACGGAATGCACATGGGCATTACGTTCCGTAATTGTACATGCATATCGGCACACCTGACCTACCAAGTGCACGGTTCATTGTCATACGTGGCTGCAACAGAAGTATAGTAAAGACCCGTCCTGTTTCTCAGCAGTTGAGTTGTGCCTCCTGATAGACAGTCCCATGCTTGTCGATCCGAAGTTCAGCAAATGCCTCCGCTTGTCTCCTGCAAGTAAGCCTGGTGACCCCAATGTTACTACTAAAGGAGAAGAGAGTAGAATAGGTTATGCAGTTCGGTTATTGTTTACCTACTTTCTGAACATGCACACATTGTTCTATTCGACGTGTAGGATCTCGACATAAAGTTCGGCAGTTGATTTCCGTGAGGATTCTTTGCAACTTCCATATCTTGGTTGTTGTCTGTAAACAAGTGACATCTATCAGATTGAAATCTAGCAGTTTCCTGTATTTTGTGATGTGTCAAGTTCCTGGAAATTTTAATGTTAGAATGGAACACTGTCAGTTTCGTGTGTAGTAGCACATCGGTTCGTAACTCACACAGTATTGATTTTTGCCGGATACGAAGCCGCAAGTCGAAACGAACCCGGCGGAAACACAGAGGACACCACACCAGCTGCCGGATTCGAGCAGCGTAATCCCGAAGTGAGTGCTCAGAGTATCTTCCTGTGATAATGCTCGAAGAAGCTGGTAAGAGACGTGTCCCTTCAGGTAAGTTTTTCTCTTCTTCATCTTCACGTCTCTCAAGCCTGGAGCTTGCTGAAAGCCACCATGGACACCGTTGTTGTGTGGGCCCTTTGATCTTGGCTAACACCACTGCCCTGGTTCAAGCTACCGTGTTGCTCATCATTTTGATGAGTGTTGTTCAATTTGTCAAGAAAACATTTTCTCAATGTCGGGAAGGAACGAAGGTTGTCACGTTATGTAATTCTCACAAGAAACCAGAAGCTAATCATATGAGAGTTTAATAGTAGGTCTAAATCACATATAGAACACAATGACAGTCTTAGTACTCTACAGGGTTACTGTACTCTTGTTAGTCAAAGCATATACGTAGTTCGAATTGTTGCATGTGCTCATGAAACAAGTCATTGAGAAAAACTGAACTGTAGTAGCTCAAGAGCACGTAAGGTAAAGTTCTCATTTTCCGCAAAGGTGCGGGATTGATAATGAAAAGGTAATGTCAACTTAGTGTTCCAAGAAATCTACGTCTGGTTCTTTGATTTTGGTTTTTTCGTTTTGATGTACATTCAAGACAAGAGGTACAATAGATTTCACGCGTTGAAGGCAAAATTGTTTTACTTCAATAATATTAAATTTTAAGTTTATTTTGTTTTTCATGTAACTTAAATGGTTCACATATTTCATTATTATTATTAACCTAATGTGTGGGAAGTAGCAACTAAACTCGATAATTTCTTAGTGGGGTTTGGGTAGACTAAGTAATCAAAGAATATGGTTGATGTGGTAAATCCACCATCAATGTACTTGCCTAGTATATAGAGTAAAAATACAAACGAGATTCGACAGATTATCCTAATCGTTTTAGTACATTGCAATCAGGAAACTATATGCTAACAACATATTGTGATCTTAAATAATCTCAAACTCTCTAAATGATACTGAGAATTCTAACATGATTGAGTACTTTAATATCATTTTTATTTTGATACAATTGAAATAAAAAAAAAATTGTCTGCCCGTGAATAAAATAGATTTACATAGTTCAGTAAAGTGAAGTAAACTATTGTGACTAAATAGATTTACATATTTCAGAAGGGTGAAGTTAACTATCTTGATCTTAAATAAGATTAAACATTTCAATGATACGAAGATTTCTAAAATTTGAACTTTTATGTAGAAATATTGTAGTATAATTTTGAACAAACTTCCATAATTGAAGGAATGAATGATCTTCAATTCTAATGTAACTTGCAAATTTTTGAAAGTGTCAAGATTTTTTTAATCAATGCTACTGCACCAAGACTTCTAACATTTATCAAAAGTCAGTATTTTGAAATGCAGTTTTTATCGCTTTATAAGTTAATTTTTTGTGAAAGTATTGAGATAATTTAATTAATATTTTTATATCCAAAATTATTTTGATAATTTTGATATTTTTAAATTTATTTTTGATAAACATTTATCGTCTACAGAAAGTTATAATAAAAATATTTCATATTTTTATAAATTAAATAAATAATATAGATATGTGTCATTAAATTTATATTCAATATATGATAAGATGAAGATTAAAAATCGTAAAATGTATGTCAACAACCTAAAGTCAGAACAAAAGATGACTAAATCTATGTTTAGGTTCATGTTAACTTTATACCATGTAGATTTTCAAATGACAATTTGAATGAATCAATGTTGATTCATTGATAAAGTGTTTATTATTAAATCATATGATTGATTTTTTTGATGTATCACATCACAAATATATAAAAATCATCAAAAATATACATTTAAGATAACCTATCAGAAAATACTCTAAGATTTATTTTTACTAAATTAAAAAAAAATTACTCAACATTCCATAACTATTACTGAAAAATGATAATTTATCTCACATTGATGAATCACTTTGTTGAGATTACTAAATATCAAGGAGAAAATATATTCATTCATTGATATAGTGGATAAAGAAAATTAAAAAAGTATTAAATATATTTTTGATATATTGAAAAACAAATTTACAATATTTCTAAAAAATTAATTCGCAAAAAGATTTATTTTTTATGAGGTAAGAATTGTTATGAATATTTAGAAATTTCTCTGTTATAAAAATATAAAGATACCAATTTTATATATTATTTTCTTAAGAAAAAAATTTGGAAAAATTAGGCACCATTTTCAAAAAACCTATATATTTTATAGTTGAAAAAATCGAAAAATAATCTATACATACTTCACATTATTATTTCATCATTTATAGATATTCAGTTTTTAATGAAACAATAAATCAGATTTACACATACGCTAATTTTTTTATTAATACAAGCAGACTATTTTTTTTTATTCAATTTGAAATAAATATGTCTATTTTATAAAGGTAACCCATTGAAACGATTGGATAAAAATAGTATTAATCAAATATTTCATTCTACTCTAATAAAGATTTTATGTCTAGCTCTGCAAGTATCTTGAAAAGAAAGAAATATATTTTGAATTGTGAATGTTGACAAAGATTTAATTTTAGCACATGAACATATATCTTTTTTAAAATTATCATATTCATGTGCACTTTCATTTAAATAATATGTTTTATAAAAACAATTCTCCATGTTTTATTCGAATTTATGATCAACTGACTTATATCTTAACTAATTTTTTATGATAAAGAATAACTTATATTGATCCAAAACCCAAACTTTATTTTCAGAATTTGTTCTTTACTGTACATTATGAAAACTGTAAATTTTGTATTCTACATGAATATTTTACGGAAAGTATGAAACTGTAGTCTAATAGAAAAACTAATCTAACTTAGAGTTAATTGGACATAAATCCTATTCAAAATATATAATAAAAAGAACCTCAATGTTAGTCTACTCTGTTTGTATCCATATGTGATCATTACAATGTAATACAATAAAGTTCAAGTTTTCTTGGAACTTTATCTCTAAATTTTCTTGTTGGTACAAGATCTTACATTCAAAACTCGGAGTTCAAGAGCATTTTGAGCTTATCAACATCAAATTTTTTTCTAGCTACAATTAACATATTGTCCACATAGAAGACTAAAATGATAAAGCCAAAATTTTTGTTACTAATCTTTTTATATATACAAAAGTATCAAACATAGTTTGCTTCATGACTTGTGATTTCATAAAATAGATTTTTCCAAGATATTTAGCTGATTATAGGCAAAATCATCTTGGTTAATTCTGAATAGAACCCATAGGCTGTATCATGAAGATAACTTCATTCCAATTATCATAGAGGGGAAAACAGAAAACGGAGATTTCGTAAGATTGAATGATAGCTTTTGGAATAAATTATAAGTCAATATTATTTAGATGAATCGTTTGATTGATAATAACACAAATTTGATAGTCATACTAATCATAAAATCACCCGATGTCATTCAAGAGATTAATGAGTATAATCATGTAGATTTTAGTATCATGATACAATTTTGCACATTACACCAACTTCAAGTAATCAAAATGAACCAACATACAAACAAAAGGTGGAAATAATGCAGGCTAAACAGACAAATTATGTAGATGTAGATTGAAAAAATAATAAAATTATGGCTAAGTCAATGCTTTTAAAATTGAATTAAAGCAAAAGGGGTTGATAATTTGAAGGCTATAGCTACAAGAGACTACAACTTACTAACTACAACTTACCTAGGAAGTCAGAGGGCCCGTATTACCTGCCTACCTGAAAGGGACCTAGCAATAGGAAAGCGCTTGATAACAAGCAGCAGGGAACGAAAACTAAATATAACACTGCTAACTAAAACTACACCAATAGTAGAAGAATGAATTTTCCAATTTCTAATTTTTTTTCTTAGTAAGGATGATAATGACTGGGAAAGAATGTCAATGGTTTCTTATGTACAATATGACTTTTATTTATCTCTATATATCTCTTGGATATTCTACTACTCAACTTGATGTGAAGAAAGACGGATGGCAAGCGAATAGTTACTTCACCAAGAATATACAATACTAATAGCGCCCGCGGATCTGCAAGCGCCCATCATTTGAGCAAGGGCTTCATTTCGCCCTCGTCAGCATCTTTATGCAGTAGAGCGGATACACGTGTTGCAAGATTTATTATCGTATTTCGAAAGACGCCCATTATGTGCCTTTAGTAACAAAGCAGCTTCCTACCAGCTGACGCTTTTGCGAGCCTTCTGTTGGGCTGAACTCACATGTTGCACTCATGGCAAGCGAATAGTTACTAAACCAACAATATACAATGCAAATCAACAATCCAGACAAGGAAAACATTAGCGATTTCAGTATGAAGTCAGATAGGGCAAAATGCCAAATAACCCAATCCACAACACGGTCTTAATTCTTCTTCATTTTTTATCTGGACGGTAACATTCAACAAATTGCCAAGCCCCACAATCTATGTTATTCTCTCTTTCACTGAGTTGTAAGTTGAGAGTCGTATGAGGGTGGTCTGACGAATTTCCGCTAATGTGGACCGTAAGAAATTATTGCTAATGTCGAAAGCAAAAATAGTAGATAAGAGACGTAAAAATATAAATATATATGCATACATATATTGTGTAATAAGTGTTATCAATTGACTCCAAACTCGAGTCGTGAAGCTGATAGGGTTGGGCAGAGAACAGTTTGGCAAAGGAGGGGAGAAAATGTTCATTGGCGAACCAGCAAGAGATGAAACAGCTCCAACTGACACAGAAACTGAGAAATTTTGGATTTAGAGCTGACATTGTCGAAAAAACTCAAACGAGCAAAGTTGGAGATAAGACTATCATCCGCAAGAAGGAACCTTTCGAGGAAGGGAAGGACATCAAATGGGGAAGAATCTTACGGTTTGTGGACCGCTCTTGTCTTGCAGCCTCGAGGACAAGATGTCAGCTAGCACGAGGTGTCGCGAACTCTAAAGGTAATCACTGTTTGGGGTGATACGTCTCATCCTCTCTCACTTGTGTGTCGAGACCCTTTCCACCCTCCGAGACCTTTCGAGGATCACGGCAACTGAAACTCTTCGCGCACAGAGTCCACAACCTATAAATGATTGCGTGCCAAAACTACGATCGTTTCTCTAATAGAAGAAAGCGCATTGATCCCCTTCCATTGTCTGCCTTTGCGTAAATTCGTCTCGTTGCCAAATTCTTGCCGTTTCTTGAAAAGATCAAATTCACCCAAACCAGCATGATGCTGTTGTCCTCGTGCTCTGTCCGGCCATTATAGTGGGAAAAAGTCGCATTCCTGTTTATCAGCGGATGAAAGTAGTTCCATAGCACTTTTGAAAGGTATCCAGTGTGAATAAGAACCGCCCGCATAGAACGCAGAGGATGCAGATTTGGAAGAACGATGGGAGACAGAGGAGTTATTGACGGAGCTTAGTGGTAGTTCTTGTGATGTTGGGAAATGATTTGACAAGTGAATTGTTGGGAGGGCCTTTTCAGTGGCGTGATGTGCGGGAAAGGGAGAGCGAGAGACCGAGCGAGAGACGTGGCGGGAGGGCGTGTTAGGAACAAGGTGTCCAGAGGGAAGGGTGCACCGTGGTATGCGGTTAAGGTCTGAGTCGGAGGCGGGGCCCAGGACTGAGACCTTTTTCGTCTCGCTGGTTGCATCAGTGTGCCCCTTCCTCCGTTCGAGAGAGTCAACTAGACTCTAGAGGACTGCCAGAGGAGATCTGAGACTGAACGAATGTGATGGCCCGATTCTGATCGATTGTGTACCTTCCTCTGCTCCCAGCTGCACAGGTGTAGAATCAACAAATCCTGAGCTCCCTCTGCATATTGTGGGCTGAACACCAGAATTGTCATGTGTATGATTTGAATGCCAGAGTGTCGACATGCTGAAGTGGGAGCGAAGGCCAGAAGGGGAAGGGGAGCGGAGGGCGAAGGCTTGATATCTGAGGCAGAGGGATTTGCCGCTGAATAGCGAGTTAGAAGCAGTTGGGTCTGCGCAAAGGTTGATTGATATGGGAATAGCGGAGTATCGGACAGTGTCACGCCGGATCAGGTCCAGCGCTCCTGGAATTGCAGATTTGTTGTTAGAGAAGCAGAGGCTGCTGCTGCAGCAACAGGGTGATAAATTACTGCAGCTCGATGTAATCACTAGGAATCTACATAGTTCGGAAATTTGCCTCAAGCACTATTCAGGGTTTTTCGGAGGATGGAAGTGGAGCAGCAGATCGAGTGGCGGATCAGCTATTCTCTTACAAAAGAATTCTTCTCGAGCTGGTGGAAGCAGTTCGGTTCGTGATGGACCCAAAGGACGAGGGGAGAAACGTTTGCTTTTGTTCAAAAAGGGAATTGGAGCGACCAATCTGGATGGGCAGAGGACAGTCCGCCGAGCCCGTCCATGGATCTCCCAAGGCAGAGGTGGACCGGAGAGCTTTCAAGACGTGGGCAGGCTACCATACGGTCCGTCCTCTGGGGCCCTTATCGAAGGCAGGGGCCTCGCTGTGCGGTACCTGGAAGATGCCGATTCTAGAAGGGAGAATGATAGACTAGCCGGAGAGGCAGGTTTCGTGGCTGGTGATCATGGTGAGGAGAAGCAGAGTGGTGCAAATGTTTCGACTTTCCAAAGTGGAACTGGTTTCAGCACAGCCAATTACTCTCCAAGATCGCCATTTTCAACTTTTGCGGTATATTTTCTTTCTTTCCAGGAATGGCTGGATCGCTTTGCTCGTTCTTGTTGGGAAAATTCTGCATTAGCACTGGGTGCTGAAAAAATTCTGTTCTTGTATTGCATGCGTTTGGATGAGGAAGACATGGTTAGTGAGATCGCAAAGGAGAACCGTAATCTCGTAATGTATATGATTGTCAGATATAAAAGCTGAGTTCTTGACAGAGAGTAATTTTCTGCTGAAGACTGTCCTCAACACTTTATTCTCACTGTTCAGTATTTCGAAAATAATATTTTTTTAGGATATTTGAGTAAATCTTTAGGTCTCTTCACGCTGCGAGTGAATTGTAGCATTTGAAAATCGTTGGATGCTGATGCAGTACTTTTCTTATCAGACCTCCGCTCTCTTGCTCAATAGCCAGTCAAGAGCTGCTTCAACTTCTACAGGATCAGACATTGCAGCGAAAAAACCTGTCAATAATCCGGCGAAGGTGGCGGAGGAAGATGAAGTGATTGCAGACATGAGGATTTTGCGGACTCTCTCATCATATTTGTGGCCTAAAGAGAATCCTGAATTTAGAAGGCGAGTGCTGGTAGCTCTGGGTCTTCTGATTGGATCAAAGGTACGAAGAGATCAAAGGTGAATCTGGATTGCTAAATTGAATGCATCAAGTCATCAGAAAGATGTTTAAATTGCGAGATATTATTGATGTCAAAATTAAGGGTTCGGGTGTCTCTGTTCGACTTTAGACTTGGACTATAAGGAAAAATAGAGGTTTGAATTAATACTTCAAACTTTTCTATAGGCTTAAAGCATGTTCCAGATGAAGCAGATCAACTGGTTATGCTGTAAGGTTGTGGAGGTTTTCGATAGGGAGCTACACGCAGTCTGCAGAATCCTGCGAATTATCCTAATCTACCTTGGGGTCTCCACAGAACACTTTTGGAACAAAATGCTGTGACGTATTTTTGAGGCAGGAAACTGTGAATTTTTTCTTTCATCAGAAGTTGTAAAAGTTGACCGGCACATTCTTCTTTTACACAAGAGGCTCATTGCCCATTCGGAGGCGAATGCTGAGAGAAAGGTTGTCAACTTTTTAGTCCAGTATGATGATAACCCCAGTCTTTCTGACTTATATCTTCCTGGTTTGAGTGTGTATGAAGGTATTGAATGTGCAAGTACCCTTTCTCTTCAAGCATGCTATCGACAGCCTATCCACGGCCGTCGGTGCTACAGGAGCAACTGCAGCAGCTTCGATGGGTAACCCTATGATTCTTGCAGCCCTTGGGACACCTGCAGCAGTTCTTCTGGGTTATGGTATCGCCCGAGCGGGTGCTTCTGCTTGCAACGGTAAAATTTTAAACTCGAGGAACAAGGATTGCGCGTATTTGATCGACATTTAAGTTGGGTCAGAAAGGTTCTGACACATGGCAAGGGCAGGAGGTCACTAATATAATCAACGGCAAAGGTCATGCCGTACCACTTTAAGCTCACTAACTTGTTCCAACCAAAAATGTGAAGTGTCAATACTATAGTATAGCACCAGTAACATCTCTTGTTTGTTGGTTAACCAGAGCTTCGAAACGCAGTATTTGCCAAAGTGGCTCAGGGCACTATTCGAACAGTGGCTAGAAAGGTAAACTACACTTGGGGACCCAGTTGAATTTTATATGTTGAAGCTGTTATAATCAAAGGCTTTTGAGGTGTGTTTACAGTTGAAAGCTTGCCGGTCTAATTATGTCTCTTGTTACATCGGATTCAGGTTTTTTTACATCTACACAATCTTGACTTGACGTACCATTTGAGGTAAAAGCTTTTATCAATTCTGGGTAGTTATTTGTTCTAGATGGAGTAATTATTGGGGGTCGAGGAATTTGTAGCCCTGAAGTAAAAGTAGTTACCTATGGTAAAAGTGGTAAGTAACTTTAATTTTTTTCAAAACTTCTTTTATGTGCAATTCGAAAAGAAACCAACTCCGGGATTAAAATCTACATCACTCCTATTCAAGGAAGAGTCAATTTCATTTTCATTTCTGTTATGCCCTTTTTTGTTTATAATCTGGAAGTGCTTGGTTAAGCACATCAGCAGTCATGTCCTCATTTGGGCAGTAGACTAATCTAACTTTTTCTTTCTCTTCTTTCTTCTGAATGAATTCTGAAAGAAGTTTGTGCGTATCAGAACATGTTATGTCCTTGGAGGGTTTTTAGCGAGTGCAATATCTACAATGTTACAATCACACATCAATATAGTTTGAGTTTTTTGATCACATCTAAGGTTGTTGAACATTCTCCTGGACCACATTAGCTTTTGAAGTGCTAATGAAGAAACAATGATTTCACGTTCTATTAGACATACATCTACTGACTTCTGTTATTTGCTCCCCCATCTGATAGCTCCATCCACATGGAGTAAAGATACCGTCACTGGTGGTCCTATTGTTGAGATGATCACATCCCCAACAAACACAGGAGATTTTCTTGACTGTAGGCTTATATCCTAATTTCATGTACTCCAAGCCTTTTAGATACTTGAGCACCCTTTTGACACACCCAATGAGCTGGAGTTGGATACTTTAGTGTATATCGTCAAAGCTCCCATAGAGTGAGCCATTTATTGTCGGATACATACCATATCAAACGTTAATACAACACTGAGGTACAGTAACTGCAGATCCTCTATTCTCTTCTTTCCAATTTATTTTATGTCTTTTTTGGTTCACAACCAGAATCCAACAGGTTGCAATAGATTTTGCATCCTCCATCCTAACCTTTGTAAACACTCTCAATTTACTTGGTCTGGCTGATTGTAATCCACCATCCCTTCCTCTTCCTTTCAATGCTGATGCTAAATTGGAATCTTGGAGGACCTAATACTGTCATTAAAAAATGGAGCGAAGGAATGAGATAATATTTTTCTACGCCTTGAATCCTTTCGAGTGACTTCAAGATACACCTGCATACTCCATGCAACCTTCGACTTTCTTTACTATTTTCCTGCTAAATACAGAAAAATCTAACTCCTAGATTAACAATCACATCATGATGATAATCTTAGATTTCTTTTAGTCTGGATTTGAATCGAGCAAACTAAAAACAGGAGATTGCAGCCGACAAACAGGTGCCTTGAACCGAACTATCGATCGTGGAACCAGAGCAATCAATTTCATCCTCACTTCAATGGTCTTCAATGTCGTTCCGACCATCTTAGAGGTACTTGATGATTTTTACCTTGGCCTGATGTACCAGAAATTCTACCTTGATTTACGTTCAGTTTCATCTTGTGATCGCTGTTGCACGCTGGATATTATTTCGAGCTTGAAGCCAGATGAACATAAACTGTCTTCCTGCCTTTTCTTCTGATCAATTTAAACCTCAACTAGAGTGTGGCAGATATCCATGGTCGCTGGAATATTAGCGTATAAGTTTGGAGCACCATTTGCATGGTTGACATCTTTCACTGTTGCTGCGTATACGGCTTTCACCTTAAGTGTGACCCAGGTTACAATTTCTCCCACATTGTTGTTGTTGCACTTTCTCTGGACTTGACGTGTATAATGGAGAAAGAGTGTTGAACTTTAAGTACTCATGTTCTCCATGATAGAACATTCCTCGTTGTAATATCTGTTCTAGGCCTGTGGCGCAGAAAAAATGCTAGTCTTATTTTTTAAGTGTTCTTGTTCTTCCTTTGTGAAAACTTGTGGATCGAATTTGGATTACTCGCGCGGGAATTAGTCGTAAGGTTTTTATATCAAAATTTTGGTGGAGCAGTGGCGTACAAAGTTTCGGCAGGATATGAATAAAGCTGATAATGCTGCCAGCTCTCGTGCAACCGACTCACTCATCAACTATGAGGTTAGTTGCCGTTTAGCAACCATGACGTTAGTATAGTGTACTTCAGTTATCAAAGTTGTGCGGGCCAGGAGGGTTTGACCATGAACATCGCTCGTACGTTTGCAGACTGTCAAGTACTTCAATAACGAGCTTCATGAAGCGAGACTATATGACCAACACTTGCAAAGTGAGCATTAGTTTGCTTTCAATACCTCTCATTAAAGTTTGCTTCCCAGCACTTATCTGGTCCGGAAATGCAATGACAATTCGATTGGTTTGCAGATACTCGTAGCTCTTCTTAAAAGATGTTGCTCCAGATTTCTTTTTGCAATTTAAGAGGACAGGTCTAGTGCGATGGAAAATGTAGTGCTTCCTGTGCTGTTCCAGAGTTGAGTTTTTTGATAAAAAATTTCTGTACAGAGTACGAGGATGCTGCTTTGAAGACTCAAACCAGCCTTTCAGCTCTAAATTTTGGACAAAATGCGATATTTAGTGCTGCATTGTCAACTGCGATGGTCATGTGTGCACAGGGCATCACAAGTGGGGAGATGACAATAGGAGACCTTGTAAGATCCTCGGACAACAAATGATGTCAGTTCTGTTACGAGTTGCAGAGAATTGACTCAGAGCTAGGGGCTGTTTAATTTGTCAGCAACATGTATTCACTTTTTCATCAATAGGCCTAGAAGTTCTTCCGTTTTAGTTCAGACCGTTACAATTGTCCAGCTGTGCCACTGCTGCCGTATTTTAAACACTACTTTTCGGAGGTATATAACGACGATGATAATTCTCTTACAATGTTGCTTCTTATGCTGTTGCATGTCCTCTTATCTTATGTCTGAAAACCTTTCCACCGGCTAAATGCATGTTGTGAATGGCAGGTCATGGTCAATGGTCTTCTCTTCCAGTTGTCACTACCTCTGAACTTTTTGGGTACAGTGTATCGCGAAACTCGGCAAAGTCTCATCGACATGCAACAGATGTTCTCATTACTTGAGGTAATATGAGGAAAGACTTAAGTGTTGAGTTATCTTGTTGCAATTCGTACAAACGTTTTGCATTTTGTATCTTTTATTCTATGTGAGGCTATTTTCTTGTGGGGATGCGACTAACTGCTTACATCACAGGTAAAACCAAGCATATCCGACTCACCCGACGCCAAACCACTTCAACTCCATGGAGGGAATATTTCTTTCGACAATGTTCACTTCGGGCACGTGAAGTCCACCTTAGCGCTCTACTTGTTTGATGAGATTTCTATTCATGATTCAGGTGTTTAGTGAAACTAAGCTGCGTCAGGAACTCGTTGATTCTGGTCGTCGAGAAGTCCAAGTTGATCAACCCATCTCTACGTGGTTTCGAGTTATAATCGGATAGTTGTAATATTGTATCAACAGGTACGTGTCAGATAGGCCAATACTGGGAGGTGTTTCCTTCGATGTCCCAGCCGGGAAGAGTGTTGCTATCGTGGGTACAAGTGGAAGTGGTAAATTTCAGCTCCTTTTTGCAACCCTTTTTTTTGTACTTCATTTTGGACTTTCATGACTTCATCGAAGACGACGCCTTTAGAGCTAGTTGTAATAACCTTTTTAATGGAGATTTATTCCAACGTACTTAACCACATTTAGCGCCAAATTAATAAAATGCTAGATCCCACTTTTCATGTGAATTTTTTAGTATCTCCTTCATGCCGGAACAAAGATTTTTCATGTTCAGATTTGTTTATTTGGTGCTAACCTCACACATGCGATTAACTTACGCAAGTAACTCCTTAGGACCTTGTTATCATTGTGCAATACTGTATATGTTACAATGAAGGTGACAATCTTTATTGTAACTGGGACTTACTTTGGTTGCAACATGGGTTGGGGCTTTTTTCGGCAGGAAAGTCAACCATTCTTCGGCTCATCTACCGTTTCTTCGACTGTCAGTCTGGATCTGTAAGTGAAAAGTAGATGAGAGTATATTGAACCTTCTTTGATAATTCCGGACTTGATTGATCTGAACTTTGTAACGATAATAGAAGAGTCATAAGCACTCGCCAAGCTAACGATGAGTTCATCAAATTGTCCAGGTTTAAAGTGACAGACCAACTTCAACGTATTGGTGTAGGTTTACTCAAGGGTGCTTTTATAATCACGTTGTTTGGACGGACACGCCATTTATGGTTCCGTGGCTTCTACATCTGATCTCCATACACTGGCGTTTGTACCTTTGCAGGTCAGAGTTGATGGACAAGACCTTAAGGATGTTACTCTTGACAGCTTGCGGAAGTGTATTGCTGTCGTTCCACAAGACACAGTAGGTTGTGCCCGTAGTGTATCTTTGGACTCGGTTGAAGGGTTTTTTGCTTCTTTCAAGATGATCTTCGCAAATCTTGCTGCCTAAGACCATAAATCATTGAATACCTTGGTTTCTTAGTTGTTTTTTTAATCTATCTAGAAGTGGGAGGAGAGTTCAGTTACAAGGAATGGAAGTGGGTATCAGCAGCTACATGGCCTTGGGCCTTATGCGTCAATGTTCCTCTCCGTAGCCACGGAGAGGAACGGATGATTGGAAAGCTCTTACTAAAGTAAGAGGTTACTCGCAGGTGTTGTTCAATGATACAATATATTACAACATACATTACGGAAACATGGCTGCAACGGAGGAGGAGGTATTGTCTCATCCCTCAAACTGAATTGTGAAGCTCAGGAGCAGTAATTATGTAAAGCGTTTGTCCTTGACCTACTTTAGTTCATCAGTGCCGGGGTTTGAACTTACTTTGTCTGACATAGAGAGTCGGAATGACAGGTATACAAGGCTGCAAAACAGGCAGCTATCCATGATGTTATCATGGGATTTCCCGAGCAATATCGTACACGCGTTGGAGAGAGGGGACTGAAGGTAAGAGACTGGTTGTTATTGACTCAGGTTATACACGTGTACCTATAATGTTGTCGGTGATCTTGTTGAGGTTGGTCAACGGGTTTGAGGCAGCACGGAATTGTATCTTACCTGCAGCGACCACTTGAGGTCTTAGTCTGAAAGTGAACTGAGGTAAGGTTGTTCTTGATGAGCAAGCTACGCAGTTGTAAGCTGGTTGGATTGGTCAGAATTGCATGTTATTTACCTCCAAACAAGCTAATACAATTTCCGTGGAGTTTGTTCCTGCTGTGTAGCTTAGTGGTGGAGAAAAGCAACGGGTAGCACTAGCACGGGCTTTTTTAAAGGCTCCTCCTATATTGTAAGTTTCCCTCTCTAGTTTCAAACTTGACACCGTGATTGTAATTCATATATATTGCGATATACTCATGCTTACTTGATGCGCAACAGATAATTCTACTGTGCTTGACCTTGTCTTTTGTTCATCTTATCGGTAGACTCTGTGATGAAGCAACTAGTGCTTTAGACAGCACAACTGAAGCAGAGATTCTTGGAGCATTGAGGTCTTTGGCACAGAATCGGACAGCAGTTTTTATCGCACATCGTCTCACGACCGCTATGAATTGTGATGAGGTAGGCCTTTCATAACATGCTATTATCATTTTTACAATGGAACTGGAAAGTTCCAGTTTTCCTTTGCCGTTAACCCGATCCAGAACTATAAGAACGTTGCGCTACTCTCTTAAGGAATCTCTTTTTTTTTTACCTTTTCTTAATCTGCTCTATGCTATCCAGAGGCACAGATTGGTTATAAACATGATGTGTCATTTTTGTGTTCTCCAGATAGGTTTTAAGCGAGATGTGTCATTTGAGTGCGAACCACTAACATTTTGTCATTAATTGAACAGATTGTCGTACTTGAAAATGGACATGTTGTGGAACGCGGACCTCATGATGTGCTCCTAGAATTGGGGGGTCGATATGCTCAACTTTGGAATCAACAGAACAGCACCGAAGGTGATGATCTATAAGCTTTTGGCTGCTGAGGAAAGCAAGTCGGAGGTAAGATGTACCAGCATTTGTTTGGCATCGACCTGGAGGTAGAAAACTATGACCTCTATCAAATTCATTCTTTTGTCTTGAAACAATCATGTGTAAATCACTGGAGGAGGAAAAAATCAATGCGGATAAGGAAGCTTCAGTTCACAACCAGATAGCTCTCTAGTCAGTTGTGTTGCCGTTAAAGAGATAGTAAGTAATATCCACTTGTGGACAGAAGCTGAGGGTACGACAATTTTGATTACCTTAAGCGGATTGTGATCATTATTTTCGACTTAAAGAATTGTTCGTTCCATCTTTCGTTTGAGGAATTAAAATCGCAGTACGTCGTAAAGGAATCAACCTGGAGAGGTTGATGAAGTTTGGAATGCCTAGCTTGCTTTCATCCCGGTATTCACGTATCCTGATTCCAAGGAGTGATCTGTTCCGCGTCAGTCTTGAAGCGGTATAAAAGTAGATATTGTCAGCCGAAAATAAGATATAATTTGTTAAGAGAAAAGTCGAAAGTACCATAGTGAACTAAAACGGCCGACTCAAATGAACTCAGCTTGTACCATTTATATCAGAAAGCTAAAAAGAAATGTGAGGCAGAATATCACTTTTAATCTACTTTAGATGATCTGCCACGGGTACTCCTCGTTACGTATGAGTATGGCAGGGCCCTGGCATTGGTGAAAATAATTTCGTAGACACGTTCTTCACTATCTTCTTCAAAGGTTCAATATGTCGTTACGATGAGTTCATTACAAATAATCTGCTTTTTTTCTGTCTCCTAGCAACCTTTGGATGACTTGACTGTAGCATAGGTTTCGTCTTTACTCAATTACCCGCATGCTAGCGTTTTGTATTCAAACGAGCTTTGCTTACCTGTTTGGTCTAGTGTATATGCTGTATATCAAATCAGGAGGACTCTTAATCTTGATAGAGACTTGAATTGTTATATCCGAACATTAAATGCTGAGTACTCCCAGGAGTCTCACGGTCCACATCTAGCTTCAAATCAACGTTGTACAGGGTATGACGTCACGGATGTCAGTCTGACGTCCTGGCCTTTACATTTTGCATAGGCCATCGATAGTACAATATTTTGTCATCTTGTCTCTTGCCTTCGAATATAAGAAATTTTTAAAAGCCAAAAATGCATATGCTTTTATAAAATTTACAGGATCAAAGAGGTGCAATCTAATACTCAAGAAAAAATTTCAGTAAAAATTTTCAGTACAAGGATAACAATGTTTCCCCACAACAACTGAAATATAAATCAAAATCAATGGTTTAACTTAGTGGACTACTTAGTTGAGAAATTGCATGATTTCGATGCTGATGGCTAGAATACTCAAGATTCAAAGCTGAATTACATTCTTCATGTCGATCAATTTTACATATAGTAGAAAATGACACTTTATGATATCATATGGAAGTTGAGAAATTCAAACGAAGTATTTCAAAACAAGTGAGAATTGTTTGATTGAATTGACATTGTCACTGATTTGAGCGCTTTAAAAGCTTTGCACTCAAAACTTTAGATTGAAAAATATAAATACGGTAGGTTTACGAAGAAAACACAATCCGAAAGTTTTAATATCTTACTTTAGTTTTCGTTTTAAAAGAACAAATGTACAAATTATGATAAAAAACTTCCATATCTATATATACATTTAGGCAAATAGTTTATTGTATATTCAACTTTCGTTGTGTATTGAAGTGAGCATTTATGTAAAATGTATATTCAATTAAACAATTATATATTATAGTGTAAATATATTATTTGGGTTAAATTTTTTATCACTTTTGTTGAATTATTTTTATCAATGTTTTTCACTAAAGTCTCGATATTGTCTAGTAAATCATTAAATTTATAAAGTATAATATTCTATAGATAATGAAAAATCTATTTCATTATTCCCCGTTTCATCTTTAATAGATTTGATATGTGACGGTTCATTTTGTATATAGGTAAAGTAATACCAAATTTTATACACACTAGCAAATACATTAACTTGTGTGCGAGAACTCAATATTGGATGGACATATCCATATCAATGTCCACGGACTTTGGATAGTTATGAATTCAACATTATTGTTTCTGGGTGAAAAAATGATGCTTATTGTTTCCAAGTAGATATGGATAGACATATATTCCAAATAGAAATGAATCCCATGCTAAAAAAATCCAATTTTTCATTTCTACAATGTTCATCATTTCGCACAAGAGATGAACTGTTTGATATTGTCAAAATTAAAAATCTAAAGTAATTAATATGATAAAATTTTTTTATGTAAAATTAGTACATTAACAATACACTTTTGTAAACTACATAGGTATTAACTTTGTCATTCTAGTCTAATGTCCAGTAAGTCATACTACTTGGGGTGAAAACTTTGAACCACATTGGCTAAAAGAATCTCAACAACTTTGATGTTCACGAATACCAAACAAGATCTAAAGATCACGTTATATACACTTAAGATCTTTCTTATATTTGCACTCTTGTCACCTTCCAATACATTATCGTCTTCCTCTTTGAACATTTATATCTATATCTGAATTTACACTTGTATATGTAAAGTATATGTTATAAATTAATAAAAACCAAAAATTTGTTTTCATTTTCCTCTAAAATTTGATTATTTTCACTTTTGTATGGTAATTTTGATACTTAAAAATAATAACTATAAAAAATTTTGATATTTATTTTCAAATTCATTTATACTGATAAATATTTACTTTTTACGTATTTACTTTTAATTTTCATTTACGTATTTACTTTTTAAACGTTACATGCATGCACACACATAATATAATGGACATCGCACATACCTGCAGATTACATCCATAGAACATCTCATGCATGATTAGAGAAATTTAAAAAAATCACTAGTTTGCTGGTATTTTTATATAGTGACAAGATTCTAAAAACATTTATTTAAAATTAATCTAAATTTTAATCTCATTAATTTAAATTAAAAAATTAAAATGAATTACAAGCAATCTATTCTTTATTTTTTATGTATTGAAATATAGATTATAAATATAAATAATTTCTAAAAAATCCTAACATACATCTTTCATTTAATTATAACCATCTTAAACCAAACTATGGTCAAAAGAATATATATATATATATATAATTATTAATAAACTCTACTTATGTGAGATTTACAAATGAACTCTACGCCCTTACAACTATATGTAAGACACAAATGAAGAGTATACATATCGAAATTTTGACCTGACGAAGAAAATCCTCGTCTTTTCTAGAGGACTTGTCATGATTATGGCAACTTGTAAAAAATCATGTACAATAGCATTGACGGCTATATCACGAGGATTGCAAAAGCCAAATTTGAGGACCAGGAAGTAAGATAGCAATATTCAATCTTGATGCAGTTGTTCATTAATTCGTATGTCCCGCGCCTCCGACCGTATGAAATCAATCTGTTCACACTAAAGCTCAAGATTGCACGCAGCTTTGTCCAGATTTCGACTGACAGTGGACGTATTTTTAAAATTCTGATTTACTGCAGAACAAGTCGAGCTGTCACTTTAACACCACTCTTCACATCACAGACATGTGAATTTCCTTCAATCCGATACTCCGACTTTCACCCGTTAGCTCGCAATACTTTCTACCTGTCATTTCGGATGCAGGGCTACAAGTGAAATCACACAAGTTCAGCAAGTTGCTCGCCTAGAGTCCGTCCTCACAACATGTCATCCATGCCGTTCCAGTGACATTTCCTTGCTTCCAAATTTCAATGGTGGTGCTCCATCAGGGACCTTTCCAAACATTGAGGTGAGCAGCTTGTATCCCGCACTCGATACTCTTTAGTAGAAAGCGAAAGAATGGTTCGCTCTGAGCCGAACACACAAGACATACTTGCTCGCATTCCAACAGACCTAACTGAAGCCCTTTGCATTCCCGCAAGCCTCTTCTCCTGCTCAAATCAGGATCACAGTACTTCTCGTAAGCGTAATTTTTGCTCCTTCGGATTTAGCCATACAAGTAGGAGCTCTTTGGTTTCAGCGTGTCGATTAAACTCAGACATTTCGGCTCATCTTAATCTTGATATGAACCAGTTTCTTTGCCCACACGGGAGTTCAATGTCACCTAATCGCCGATCTGTAAACTGATGTTCTCGTCAACAGTGTCCAATTTCGCTGCTCTGGTGATTGGGTCATCTGCTTGTAAACTCCAGAGACATCCCGATAGACTCCTTCGATCTGGTCTGCCGTCTCGGCTCGGTCAATGCCCTGTGTTCATTTCTGACGTGCTCTTTTTAATTGTTGAAGATAAATGACTCTTCCTATGATTCGATTCCCATCAACAGACATCAATTCTTGTTATGGTTGATTGGTTCTCCGTTTGGGGAGAGAGGGCTGCGCCGGCCAAGGAGGTAGTGCAATACCAAGGCGACACTGGCGGATCCGAAGCAGCAAGCTACTCCATTGGACTCGCACCCGTGAAAGAAATAAGATTAATATCGTGAGGGTCGATGACCCTCGTATCAGATATTAAACTGATAAGAACAGATACTACACTTGATCTTAGCCAAAAGGCCGAGAAAGGTATGCTTCTACAGCGGAAGTCGGGAGTTTATAAAGGTCACCAGAAGTCGACATCTTCATCTTTACTTATGGGTTTTAGGGCAGAGACTTGTGTTCGTGAGTTAGTAACAGATTCCTCGATACTTTGTGCTACGAATCTTGCTAACGTGAAGGCCGACTGCTCGCACCTTCAGAGCATTCCGTTTCAGTGAAACGTGAGCGAGGTTCCGCTGCTCTCCGAGCTGAAGAAACGGTGGCCTGCTCGTGCTTCTCGGAGAATCGAGCATCATCAAAACTCTCAAGTGACATTGTGCTTGACCCAGAATTTGCCCGATCCGCCAGACGATGAAGAAGACGACTTGCCAGTGAGAAATCACGATTCTAATCCACTGGAGTCATGCACCGTTAATTAACATCAGGAGTTTCTAGATAGACCTCTGTAAAAATGGAAAGGGGCCTAGTGGATAGCAAAAAGGATCGGGGAGGGAAAAATAAAATATTGTACAGGAGCTGAATAATAATTTCTCCGACTTTTTAAGTGCTTATCCTTGCAGGAATTGGTGATTTTAGGACAAATCTTGAAAAGACAATCCCCTATCGTGCATCCTTAACTTTGTAAAAAAGAATTTTATGTTTAAGATATGCAGAAAAGATATCATTTTTTTTATGTCCTCGTTTTACAAAACTATTGCAGGATGGTTTAGAATCCACACATTCAACGGGTTGCGCTTCAATGATCCTGGAAATATTTATCGCCTCACCCATAAGACTTTGTACGAGATTGCTCAAGAGGACAAGCGGTCAAACATGAAACCCACGTTGTAGATTTTGATTATATCTCACGGGTATTCCAATCGAACCTATTGGAAGAATATTTCAGGTTCATGTGCAACAAGCGCGGCAGAAGATTTTCATGTTTACTTCGAGACAAGTGTTATATCAAGGGGACAAGTACTTCACAAATGACATTAAACGTCGCAAGTTATGTTGACTTTTATAACCTTTATATTTTCATCTTGATGCTTGAGGAACTACTTTAAAGAAAAAACTAAGTCGAGGTTAAAGCATAAAATAACAAAAAGTCTGGGAACACCATGGAGTTAGTCTTCAGTACTG